GACATAACTGGGCGTCGATTTAAATAGGAATACATTAGGGATAGGGGCTGATGGGCCAGTTTAGGTACTATAACAAATATATAGCATACAAATAACATAATTAAATAGGATACAACTAACCATATTATGGTTATTAGATAAATAGTTGAGTCAATAAATTGTTGTCTCATTGAATATTGTAGATAAACAAAAAATGAGCATGCTGTATAGAATACTATGCAAATCAATGTACAACTATATTGATTGCATGCTGAACAAAATTTTGTTATATACTGGTGCTCTCGGATGGCATACTGTAAGAGTACCGATCTATTACATACATATGCCAATCGTATTTTATTATTAATTTCCATATATTTTAGATACAAATATGATATTATCAATACAGTCATTATTGTTATCAATATAAGATAGGCTAACGCATGTATTAAGTACAATATGGTTACAATTGACCACCAAATAAATAGCAACCAGTACATATTGACTTGACCTTGCTGATTGAATATCAATGTTAGGATGGGTATACTAATAATATAAAATAGGTTTACTATTGGAAATACTATTTTGCAATAGTATTTAGTCGAAAATGATAGACCAATGAGAAATAGTTTCCGATTTTGTTGGTTAAGCGGATATTTAATTACCGTATATTTCAATCGATATAAATACGTCCAAAATAGACGATCCTGTTTGCAATCGTCATATAAATATATATACATAGCAGTCAGTACTGGTAGTACACCAATACTGCCGGGAATTGAAAAAAATACTTGTTTCTGATATTGAGTACTAGACCAACCTAACTGTGCCAATATATAGGTGTCATCAACAAAACCGATTGCAACAATTCTAACCAATGATAACAATAAACTTATTTTCCATAGCAATGATTTCAGTACACGTTTCCGATCGATAGATTGTCTACTATGTTGAGCATCTATACTATCAAAAGCAACTAGATAATTTTGTCGACAAAATTGTTCCAGACGTTCAAATGATCTAGCTACATTATTATAGTTGCCAGCACCAAATAGTATAATAATTTTTATAATCACCCAGATTAATTTGATTATCATATTTATAACATTAATTACAATTTCGTAAAGTTTAATAGCAATTATTGAATAGTTGTATAGTTTTTGTAAAAGTTTTGTTATTTTCATTTTGTTATTTCAAAGATATATTTAATTATTTTGTTTTTAAAAATTAAAAAATTATTAGTTTATAAATTCACTACTAAACGTAAACAAACTATTAAAATATATCTATATTTATAATTATAAAATATATTTATATATTATTTATATATTAATATAATGATAATAAATTCATTGCATTATATATTTTTTTGAATAAACATTATAACTTATGTGTTAGTAGAAACTAACAAAATATATTTAATTTTATAGATTTTTATTTTTTGTTTTATTAATTATATATATATATATATAATATAATATTATTTTAATAAAATGAAAATTACTATATTATTAAGATAACTAATTAATTGAAAAATCAATTTTTCTTTTATTCAATTATTTTTATTTGACTTGTGATCTGAGTTTAATACTATTTATATAAACTTGTGCTAAATTTTCTGATATTGTTATTGTTTTTTTTAATTCAATATATAATAAACTATAAAATAAAATAATTTAATGTTGTTTTATATAGAAAAAAATTGATACAGGGTACATTAAGTGTAAGATAAAAATAGTAGTCATCTAATTTTTGTTAAGTAACTAATTCAATATAGATTTATGCTACTATTTTTTTTTAAAAAATATTATATTAACAAAACGTATTAACATTGAACATATACTTTATTTTTGTTTTTTAGCAATAATTGCTATTTATTTATAATATTATAATAACATTTGTGACAAATAATTGCATTGTTAGTCAGTATTATAAATAAATAAATAATATATTATGTATAGTATTAACATTCACTAGTAATTAAAGTAACAAAAAAATACTTAATTATTTATAAAAAAAATAATTAATTTTAAAATAAAGTAACATTTAATATTATGACATTAAATATTAAGTATTATAAGATTAATATATGCAGTATATTAGTATTGTAAAATCTATTTTTACAGTTTTGTGTAATTATTATATTTACTAAAAAAACTCAAAATATTTAATTAAATATTTATTATAATTAAGATTGATTTTTGCAATAATTATTTATAAGTATTGTATCTAGGTCATCTATATTATTATTATTATTATTATTGTTCTTTAAATGTACCAATGAACATTAAATAATTATTAACCGCTGCCACCATAAACATTAGTATTTCATAGCTATTCATTGGATATAAGTCTAAACAATAGAAACCAATCTGAGGTCCGGATAGTTTACCGATAAACTGTTCGACACGTAGTCGATCACCGATTGACATAACTGGGCGTCGATTCAAATAGGAATACATTAGTGGTAGTGACTGGTGGGCCAGTTTAGGTATTATAACAAATATATAGCATACAATTACTATGAGTAAATAGGCTACAACTAGCCATAGTATAGTCATTAGGCGTATAGTTGTGTCGATATATTGTTGTCGGGTTGTATACTGTAGATAGACATAAAATGAGCATGCTGCATAGAATACTATGCAAATCAATGTACAACAATATTGATTGCATGCTGAACAAAATTTTGTAACATACTGGTGTTCACGGATGGCATACTGTAATAGTCTAGGTCTATTACCTAGATAAGCCAAACATATTTTATTATTAATTTCCTTAAATTTTAAATACAAATACGTTATTATTAGTAACATAAGTATTGATATAAATATGACATAAGCATATGCATGTATTGTGTACATTATCGAGATAATTGACCACCAAATAAATAGCAACCATGTCATTTTGACTTGACCTTGCTGATTGAATATGAATTCTAGTACAGGTATGCTAATAATAGACAATAGAATTACAAAGGGAAATGCTAGTTTACAACACGATCTAATTAAATAGGATAATCCAATGAGAAATAGTTTACGATTTTGTTGGTTAAGCGGATATTTAATTAGCGTATATTTCATACGATATAAGTACGTCCAAAATAGACGATCCTGTTTGCAATCGTGATATAAATATACATGCATAACCACTAGAGCTGGTATTACACCAATACTGCCGGCAATTGAAAAAATTACTTGTTTTCTATACTGACTACCCGACCAACCTAACTGTCCCAATAGATATTTATCTTCTACTAAACCAATTGCAATAATTCTGGCCAATGTTATGGATAAACTTATTTTCCATAGCAATGATTTCAGTACACGTTTCCAATTGATAGGTTGTCTACTGTGTTGGGCATCTATACTATCAAAAGCAACTAGATAATTTTGTCGACAAAATTGTTCAAAACGTTCAAATGATCCAGCTACATTATTATAGTTGCCAGCAATAAATAGTATAGTAATTTTTGTAATCACCAAGATTAATTTGATTATCAAATTTATAACATTGTTAACAGTTTTGTATAGTTTATTTGCAATTAGAAATGATAAGTCCACTAAAAGTTTAGTTATTTTCATTATTATTTTTTTTATTATAGAATATATTTAATTATTATGTATATAAAAATATTTTATATATTTTTATGAATCCAATATTAAAACTAAAAAAACTATAAAATTATATCCGTATTTATATATTTATTACATATACATGTAATACATGTAATACATGTAATACATGTATACATGTAATAATAGTTATTGTTATTATTATTTTTTATTTTGAATATTCTGTATATAATGTTAGTATAATCTATATAAGATTATATACACAAAATATATTAATTAGACTAAGTTTTTTTTACTAAATATATATATATATATATACATGATATTATAATAAAAAAAATGGAAATTGCCATATTATTCAGATTAATATTTAATTGAAAAATCAATTTTTTTGTCGTATTACTTAGATTTAGATTTGTTTTTAATTTAAACAATACATTAATGTTAATTAATTATGTCATACACGTGTAAATATTAATTTGATATAAAAATAATAATAATGTTTTTGTTTACAATTAATGATAAAAAATATATTTATTATATCAAAGTATATTATTACATAAATAATTATTTTACTATCTGTCATGCAATATATTAATTATTTAATTCATATAATTTCTTTAATATCAAATTAAATATATTATGTTAAATAAAAATACTTCATAGCAATAATATTTTTTGCAGTTACTTAATTAATATTTAAATATAATACAATTTATTTTTATTTACAAGTAATATTGTGCTATCATTTTATAAACTATATACTGATTATTATACAGTATACTAATTGAAATAAAAATAATTATTTATATTTTTTTATCATATTTAAAACATATCATATAAAGTAACTGAATATTACATTAATTAGTCATAAAAGACTAATAAATCAAATAATTTTTTTTAATCTTAATAAAAAAAACATTTTTGATAAAACTATTTTACATATTGTTTATATATATATTTTCTTTAATATATAAAAATTTTAAGATAATTAGTTTTTAATTACAAAATCAATTAAAATTTTTCCACATAAGTTATTTTTTGCTATTTAATACATACATTTGTTTAACAAATTTACATTTTAAAGAAATATTTTTAATAAATCATTTAAACTATTATTTAATCACATGAAAAAACATTTGAAAAAACATTTGAAAATATATTATATAATATATTAGTAACAATATGTACAACAATTACAGCAAATATAATATACAATTAATAATCATTTGAATAAATAAATTTTTAAAAAATAACTCACTAACAAAATTAATTTTTTTATACATTACATTGTTATACTTTATAAATAATATATATTCAGCTTTATATAAAATAAACAATTTTATAATGATACTTTAAAATAAATAACATTAATCACTAAAAAAATATATAACTTTAAATAATATTTTTACATAATGAACATTTTGTAATAATTTTTATTTAATTATAATATAATTAATGGCTAAACAACAAAAACAACAATTTTTGATAACAAGTATTGTATTTATACAAAAAAAAAATTAAAATTACAATAAATTTGTAAAAATTTTATTTTAATTTTTTCTCTCTAATAAATATTTTTTTTTTTTTAAAGTAGCACTGGTAGCTATTTTATGTATGTGCCAACAATCATGGTGTCAGGAACAACATGTTGAACCGCATCATGGAACCGGTAGTCATGTCAAACGTCATCCACACAAAGTACACTATACTGTCTGTCCAGATGAGGCCATATTGAAGCCATGTTTGTGTCGCCGAAGCATTATTACCTGTGACGAGGAAATGGACTTCAAACTGGCTGCCATTGTCGACGCCATCAGCGCAATGGCCAACAATGACAGTACTGTTTCGGTCAAACTTTTTGCACGTCTAGACATTGCGTTTTCCACTGAAACCGATTTACCTGACAATGCCTTCAAAGAGATTGTTGCCGACGGTATCTGGATTATGGCCGCACCTAATCTGAAAACGATAGCTCCGAATGCCTTCCAGGGTACCGACAACCTAACCCGATCGCTTGATTTGCGTAACTGTCCACAGTTGGACACTGCCGGTTTGTTTGACATAATCAATAAGTTTGTCCAATTGAATCGGCTGTCGCTGATGAACATCAATCTGGAAACAATACCCGGACAGGCATTCAAATCGCTGGACCGATTGATTGGTCTACATATAGCCGACGCTAAATTGAAATCGATTGGCGATAAAGCGTTTGTCGGACTACCGGCACTCAGACAACTGAATCTGATGGACACACAACTGTCCCTAATTGGCAAAGATATGTTGGCATTCAGTTTGAATTACGATCAGAAAATGAATGTCCTGTTGAAAAATAATCCACTATTGAATGGCAGTACATTTGATCCGGAAGCACTGGTTCAATTGGGTAGGCCTACCTTACTGGCCCTGATTGCTGTCGATCATAATCCAAGACAATTCAAAGTACTGGCCGAACAAGTATTCAAACCGTTTCTGATGTCAAACGCTGGCAATCAGTTAATTATGTCATCCAATGGCTACCTGTGCCCGGATAAGCGCAACGAATGGCTAGTTAAGGATCGTAAGCTAAATAGACGACTGTTTTACGATCAGCCATACAAACATACAGTTCAATGCTAATCTGTTATTTGATTAATAAGCCTAAAAAATAATTAATTAATTAATTCTGATAAACATAATAAATATAAATAAAAAAAATACAACGATTTAATTATTATTAATTTTTGTTAATAAAATAAAATTAAACATTTATTAGCAATTTTTTTCACTTGTATTATAAACTTATAAACATTTATTGCTTAAAAAATAATACAGTTTTTCAATATTGTTTGATGACTTTTCTAGCAAACTGTAGTACATATTAAAAAAATTACTATTTTTTTGACTAATAATTTCTATATAATTTTTCATTAGTTATTATTATTTTTAAAAATTTATTGGATAAATAAATAGTATTAAATTAAGTTGAATATTAATTTTTTTTAATTTAAAAAACGGTAATTATATTCTCAATTATAAAAACAATTTTATATTTAAATAAATGTATTAAACTAAAAACAATACTTATATTTTATTTATTATTTATTTATTTATAATGTTTTTTCAGATATACTGTATTTATATAAATTATAATATATTGAAACTTTATATACAGTATATAATTATTTTAATAAAATTATTTTATGCTTTTTCTTAGTATTTAATAATAAAAATTATTATATTTTTTTATATTAGTAGCTAATATGAATGAAAATTATAAACAATAAAACAAAATATTAGAAAACATTTTTATTTTATTAGAAATAATTGCAAAACTAATAAAAAAAATATTTATTACACGTCTATAGAATTGTCTATAATATTAATATACTATATATATAATATATAATAGAAATAACAAAAATAAAAAATAAAATATAGGTTCAATTTATAAAATCAATAATATATATAACTAATATAACTATTATAAAATATAATTATTTGTCATATATTTTTTTTGCTTAGTCTATTGGCACACTTATTTAAGCATAACTAACCTAGAAAAATTTATAACTTATAAATATTTTTGTTAAAGAAATATATCATTGATTTTGTAATTTAATAATGATTACACTATATATTTATATATTAAAAAATAATATTAATTACTTTATTACATATATATGTTTAATATACAGTATTAAGTACATTAAGTTTGAATAATGTTAATTCAATATATATATATATATATATATATATTGGCAACTAAATAAAAAAATGATTTTATATACAAATATATATATATATAAAATCATTTTTTTATTTAGTTGCCAATAGATATAAAAATTATTGTTATTATAAATATATAAATAAATCTAACTTTTAGTTTCTTATTTTTGTTTTTTTTTCTATTATACTATTATAATAATTATTGGATTTATAATATTTATAATATATTGTATTATAATAGTATTTATTAAATATAATTGCATATAAATTTTTGTAAAATCATGAAAATTATACAATTATATAGGATGATAAAACAAATTAATAAAAAATATATATTATTTCTCATGTTTTTTTTGTTTTGTCTATTGGCACATTTATTTTTCACTTACCATAACCTAACCTAGAAAATTTATAAACTATAAATATTTTTCTTAGTATATATACTAGTATAATTGATTTTGTAATTAAATAATGATTACAATATATTTATACATTTAAAAAAATAATATTAATTACTTTATTACATATATGTTTAATATACAGTATCTATATATTAATACTATATATTAAGTACATTAAGTTTGAATAAAATTTATTCAATATAATTATTTGTATATAAAATCATTTTTATTTAGTTTTTTCCTAGTATTCTATAATAATAAATATTGGAATATTTTTTTATAATGTTATTAAATTATATAATTTTAATATAAAAATATTAAAGTATACTACAGTATAATATTTATAATATATTGTATAAAAATATAATTGCATATAAATTTCTAAAATCATGAAAATTATACAATTATATAGGATAATAGCAAAAATTAATATAAAATATCTACAAAATATAACCAGGGCTATTAATTTAATAAAATCATTGATTATAAATCTAACGAAAATAATTTTATTGTTTATTGCTGGTAATTATCATAATGTAACTAGATCGTTTGAAATATTTGAAAAATTTTGCGGCAAACATTATATAAACGCCTACATAACTATTGACGATCAATTCAATAGACCACCGGTTCGTCTAAAACGTCTACTGATAGCACTGGTATGGAAACTAAGTTTCGGCCTAAATCTACTTAGATTTCTAACATTTGGACTGACCGATGATCGCGGCTATCTGGCACTGGTATGTTGGATAGATAAATTTGAAACAGTCAGATACTCACTATCGATTGTCGGCACTTTTGGCATATTAACAGTTTGGATGTTAATCAGCATATATTTTCTAGAAGATTGGTTGACTAGTCAACTGATTTGGACATACCTGATCCGTATGAAATACAATCGGCTCAGATATCCATTGATAGGTCGAAATCGTAAATTATTTTTGATAACATTTTCGCTTATGGTCTGGTATTTTTGCGGTCCATTTTTCTGGGGTACTATGCTATTTGTTAATATAATCAATATATACATTTCCTGGATAATTTATACTTATAATACTAATAATATTACTGGTTTGTACATAATTAACATTACTATTTGGTTTATAATTTTATTTATACAATTGATTCATACAATTGCCTACGTTGTCTATATTATTGTACTATTTTTCATGATGATGGGCTATTTATTTTTAAAATTTACCGAAATTAATCAGAAAATACGTTTAGCAGTTAAGCTAAATAATAACCGATTACTACAGTACGCAATACGTGAACATCAATATGTTACACGTTTTTGTCGCGCGTGTAATCTATATACGCGTCTATTGTTACTGATAGCCAGTTACTCTGCAACAACTATTTACGTTTATCTACAATATAATCAACGTGGCGATAAATATCATGATTCAAATTATATATTAATATCAAGATTGTTTTTGATAGTTGCCTATATAATATTAACATTGGTCATCTATTTGTTTATATTGATACCGAAACTGGCTCATCAGCCATTGCCGCTAATGTATACGTATTTGACTAATCGATGCACACGTATGTCGATTGACGACAGATTACGTATCGAAACATTTATTGATAAACTGTCCGGAAATGAAATCGGTTTCTATTGCTATGATTTTTATGCAATTAATTCCTATGAAGTATTTAATCTGATTATAGCCGCCTGTAATAACTATATGATGTTTGTCAGTACATTTAGTTAAATTTTTTTTTCAATGTATCAATGTTTGTACTTTTTTAAAAAAAAAAAATTAATTTTCATAAATTTCTATAAATATATTATAGTTTATTATAATGTGTGAGTGTGTGTGTTATATTTATTGGTAAATTAAAATTAGCAAAAAAAAATAAAATAAAATTATTAATAACATGTTTATTTTAATTTGATAAATTAAAACCAAATTTATTTTTTTTAATAATATAAAATTAATATAAAGTTGTACATACAGTATATAGTATATATAAATTGTATATTATTGTATGTAAATTATATATATATATATATTATGTTATATAAATATATATATATATATTATTGACAACTTTTAAAGTTAAGAACATCCATAAGCTGTCTACTCTGTATAATACATCTCAAACCCAATAGCTTTTCATGAAGACTGACCTCTTTTTTCAACCACACGTTCTTACAGTTTTGACATTCAAACTCCTGTCCGTAAAGATTTATATCGTTTAGTTCGTGGGCTTTGAAAAACGGCCGAAACACGTGCTCGTGTATGACAGGCATCTGTCGGCGATAGTGGACACTCTCGAAATTATAGCCAGAAAAATCCAATGAAACCGGTCGACCCATATGGGCAAACGTATGGGCGCTAAGGCCTTCGGCGGTTAGCTGCCGATTGTCAAACAAACCGATGGTCAGCATATGACGTGAGGGGTGTTCAAAAACAAACGAGTTGTCGTGTAGGCGAGTCAGGCCAGTGTTGACAATGTCCAGTCGGGCCAGGGATGTTAGCTTGAAGAATGCCTTCTCGTGCAATGTACGTACACTTGGGCCGCATATCAACAATTGGCGCAATTTGTTCAGTTCCTTAAAGGCCAGGGTAGGTATTTCTCTCAAATTTTCCAGTTCGCATAGTTTCATTGATGATACCTCTCGGAGCTTATTGATCAGTGTCCACAAAGTGTCCACTTGTAGCTGCGGACAGTTATGTATAACCAGACGTTTGGTAAACAGTTTGGTTCCTTTGAATGCCGTATCGCTGATTGTCCGTAGTTTTGGCGCATCTCTGATGACAATCTCGTTGACAGTTATATCGCTGAACACGTTATCGGGTAACTGAGTGATGGCTATACCGCTGATCTGTACCATATGTATGTGCCGGTTAATGTACTCCAATTGATTGCTTAGATGGGCAAACATTTCCTTAATACGGACACCTGTTTGGTCGTGACATATGATTATGCCGTACTCGCAACGACATGGCCGGACCAGTGCCTCATTTTGAGGACACGAACTACTCACCGGTAGATTACAGGAACAGTAGGTAACTGAGACTATCAGTACTAATAATAGGTTTAAATCTAAATAAATACAAAAATAGTAATAATAATAAATATTCAGTCATAAATAATTGCAGTTTAAAATACTAACATAAATTATTTATCATTATCATTGGATGATATTTTTTTAAATTATATTAAATTATTGTAATTATTGAAATTTAATTTTTTTAGATAAGTAACTAATTTACTACTTATTACAGTAGTTTTAATAGTAAATTTTTTTTTACGAAAGTTATGCAATCAATTTTATAACATATTTTTCAATAAATAACTAACAATTAAATAATAATTAACTTTTTTTTGTATTGCGAAAGTCAAATAATGCTATTGTTTTAGATTTTTAAAATTAGTATTGTTTTTATTGATTCAGCAGTATACACTTAAATTTTTTTTAAAAATTGATTAAACTTGAATTATATATTACAGTACAAATAAACATTTGCATGTTAAGTTGTATCCTGTTACAGATTTAATTAAAAATAATTTTTATATTTAAACATTAAACAATTAAAACAAAATAAATGTAGTTTTAAATACTATTTTTACTAAATAATATTTAGGTGCTTTAAAAACTAATATAAATTAAGTGCATTTTAGTTTATAATTAGCTAATTATATATATCTATATTAAATTAATTATTATAAAATATATTTTAGCATAATAAAAATATTATCATAGTTTACTAAAATTAACAAGTAATTTATATTGAATGTAATGATTGAATTAATTATTACTAGAGTACTATAATACATATATTTTTTATTTTTAAAAAAAATAATTTATTGAAATAATAATAATTATTATTTTTTAAATATATTAAATGTTGTAATATCATATATGCAAATAAATTTTTTTAAACATATTTTCTTTTATAATTTACTAAAAATAATATATATTTTAATCATCAAATAAATAATAGACATGTTTGGTAGTTATTGTATTATATTTTATTTATAGTACTGTACTGTATATCGATTATAAATCTAATGTTTATTTAACTGTTTAAATAATTTACAATTTATTGCTATTAAACTTTGTTTAATATATCATTAATAAATTTTCAAAAACAAACTATTAATATAATAGCTAAATAATGAAACAGCTCAACAAATGTTAAACAACATCACAATTATTGTATTAAATCATAATTTTTTATATAACTAAAAATAAATCATATACAGTACATACGGTAATTATTTTTATTATACTTAATTTAAGTATAATATTTATATAATATATATATATTACACATATAAAAAACAAAATTACATATTTAAACAACAAAACAACAATAAAATAATATTATAATTAATAAATTTTTTTATCAAAATTCATATACAATTATTATTATTGATTTTTTGTTATTATAAATTATGTAATATCTTATTAATTAATTATTATTATTATTATTTTACTGAATTTTTCTAATATAGGCTTTCAATGCAATCTGTTTCAAGTGATGCTCCATTTGATGGCCAGTAGTTTCGATCATCTGTGCAAATATGCCGTCCCTGTCCTGTACCAGATTATGTGGTGCATCGAACTGTGCCAATCGGCCGGCATCGAGCACCAGTACCTTATCGTAGTCCATAATTGTGTGCAACCGATGAGCTATTGTCAGTATAGTACAGTTGCTAAACTCGTTACGTATGGTGTCCTGAATCAGGGCATCGGTTCTGTAAAAATTAAAAAAATATTTATATTATTTAAAAAATAATTAATTTTCAAACATTTTAAAAATAACAAATTAAAAGTATAACTTAAAAAATAATAATAATTATTATTATATAGTTATATAATATTAAATATAACTAAAGACAAGATTATTAAATTTTTGTTGTATTAATATATCAATATTAATGTGTGTTACTTAAAAAAAAATCTAAAAAAACTTACCATGGATAATATTAATAATTAGTACACCAAAATTATTAATATAAAAATAAAATTTTCATAATTAATAGATAATTTTTTTCAAAAAAAAAACATTGTCAATGATAATTATTATTTTTTTTTAATTTAGATATATGTTATTAAGTTAACAAATAAAAAAAACCCTGGGTATTTTAATTCTATACAATTTACTTAAATATATAATACAATGCTTACTGTGGATCAACATTAGCAGTAGCCTCGTCGAGGACCAGTATCTTATTGTTGCGCAATATAGCTCTGGCCAAACATATTAGCTGTTTTTGGCCGACACTAAAACTGCCGCCACTTTCGCTAATACGTTGATCCAGTTTCTGAGGAAACCTATTGATAGTGTCTTTTAGTTGAACTTTTTCAAGTACTTCCCAAATGAATGAATCGTCACATTCGCCAAACGGATCGAGATTTTTGCGGACAGTTTCGGTAAATAGTATCGGTTCCTGAGGTATGATCGATATGTTTCGTCTCAACGAAGCCAAACTGATTGACGCGGTATCGATGCCGTCGATTTCGATCAGTCCTGACGGCGGTGTCATACGAAACAGTGTGGCAATGATGGATGATTTGCCGGCACCGGTACGGCCGACAATGCCCACAGTTTCGCCGCCATTGATAACCAGATTCAAGTTTTTCAGTACCGGATCGGCCGATTCGCCATATTTTAGGCAAACGTCTTGCATAACTATTTGTCCAGTTTTTGGCCAATCTATTTTCGGTTAATTAAAAAATGATAAGATATATACATACATATTGACATACATGAGCTGTTTTTTCAATAGGACACATACCTTCCGGCGGTTTGACATCACTTTCAAATTCGCGGTCAATCTTACGAAGTTCGGCCACTCTTTCGACTGAAGTCATCTGAGTCTCGACTTCGGCCGACTGGCGAATAGCCCATTGAAAACCACCGGTCAATTGTATAGCTTGCGATAGGGTCAGTCCGATAGCGCTACCGTTTTCGACATTGGCCACCAATAGGATAGTAGTGGCAATAATATATACTAAACACAGTTCATCCAGGACAATACCGAACCATCGATTGCATGTCATAAACATAAAGTAGGTGTTGGTATGTCTGTCCTGTAGGATGTCATACTTGCGCGAAAACTCCCGTTCCATACCAAACGATCGGACAGTGGCCAAACCGCTCAGTGTCGAAGCCAAATGACTGAATATCGGTGTCCGGGCAGTGCCCTCGACTTTCTTGAGCCGCCTAATAGTTCCCAATGCAAACTGACGGACCAACATCAGGCATATGATCAGCGCCACAGATGGTATGACCAGCCAATAGTCGACTATTACACAGAGTACCAAAATGGCCAGACATTCGGCTAACAGTTCAATGGCATCGAAAGCCGTGGGCGGCAACAGGTCATCGATAATACCTTTAAATATATAGAAATAGTAATTGATATTAAAAGCTGTTATTATTTTTTGGTTAGATATACAATACAAACCTAAATCACGTGAAACCCTATTTAGTATCATTCCTATTGGATATCTATCGAAAAAAGCTATCGGTGCCCGAATAACCGATTCCAGTAATTTATTATGCAGGCGTACCGATGCGCGCATACATGTAGTAAAAAAACAGACCGTTCGGGTAATGGTAAACACAAAACACACGACAACCAGTGCCGTATAGATGGCAATATTAATGGTTTCATCGTAGGATATCATCCAACTGGTATCTACCTGGAGGTCAGCACCGGTATCTTTGGCTATTTGTTTGTCTTCGTGATATTTGGTCCACTGTGACAGCCAATACTCGCCGCCGGTAAACGTTACTTGAGTCAATATGTTTGATAGTAACAGTGTCGGTAGGAGTACCCAACCGGCACCGGCACGTAAAAATGTCCAATAGATTTTTGGCGATGTTTGGCCGGCCCGCGACGGATCGGCCGAATACTCTTCGTTATCTTTGTTGGCCAGTATTTGTTGACCAATGATGTCGTCTCCGGCTGAGCCGCGGCCACCACCGACTCCGAGATCGACATCTCCGTCGTCGCCGAACGAATGCATGGATGAAATTGTTGGCAATCGGGAGCCAAATATATCCGATACGGACGATGTCCGGCGACGGACGTCCGAAAAGTGTTGCGATTGTTTGTTTTGGTCGTCTTCGGGCCGGAGAAGCTCAGTATCGCCGGCATATTTGATCAGATCGATACCTGAAGGATATGGGAGGAAAGGGTTGTAAGGATCAGATAATAAGATATGAATTACCGGTATATATATATATATATCACTTAAATATATGATTTTTGATTTAATTTTTATAACACTATGTAATACATTAGTAAAGTTTTTTTAAAAAAAAATAAAACTAAATAATTAATTAAATAAATACCTTCTTTGAGTAGATCAGTATAGCTGCCAATCGCCCGGAGCTTTCCCTGCGATAGTACTACTATCTGGTCGGCGGCTTTGATAAACTGTAGCTGATGTGTGACCAGAATCACGCAATTTCGTTTCAAATAACCTTTTATACACTTTTCGAAAATATGTTTGGCCACTGCCGAATCGACTGCCGACAACGGGTCGTCCAATAGATAGCAATCAGGATTACTGTACAACGTACGGGCCAGCGATACCCGAGCCCGTTGGCCGCCGCTCAACGTTACGCCTCTGTCGCCGACAATAGTCTGGTCGCCAAACGGCAACTGTTTCATATCTTCCTCCAGTGCGGCCACATGGACTACTTGTTTGAATTTGCGCTCGTCGTACGACTTCCCGAACAGTATATTGTCTCTGACTGTACCGCCAAAAATCCACGACTCCTGACTAGCGTAGCCGAGTCGGCCGCTAACCGAAACTGATCCCTGCTGAAGTTTCAGTTCGTTCAAGATGGCCATCAGTACGGCTGTTTTACCGGAACCGACGGCACCGATAATTACGGTCAGCTTACGCGGTCTAACCGTAAACGATATATCCGATAGAATTTGTTGGACAACTCCTTCCCGAGTCTCGAATTCGGCCGAAATGTTGTCAACAGTTATTTTATACGGATCTTCATCTTCTTCCGAATCGTTGTCGTCGTCGTCTTCATCGTCGATAGTCTTAGAGATGGCCACATATTTGTCATTGATTTCATTATCAGCCGATTGTTGATTAGTTGGTGGAGTAGTAGTAGTAGTAATAGTAGTATTAGTGATAGTCCTGTCTTTGAGTTGTTGTTGTTTGCCATCAAACTCTTCGGATAATAAAAATTTCTGTCCAAACAAATATTAAAAATATTAGTCATAAATAAATAATTAATTAAAATGTATAATAATATTAATTAAAATGTATAATAATATTAATTAAAATGTATAATAATATTAATTAAAATGTATAATAATATTAATTAAAATGTATAATAATATTAATTAAAATGTATAATAATATTAATTAAAATGTATAATAATATTAATTAAAATGTATAATAATATTAATTAAAATGTATAATAATATTAATTAAAATATATAATAATTATTATTATTACTTGAATCCTGTTTAGCGAAATACTTGATTCGGCTGACAGTGATATAGCATAGGGAAACAATAGGGTCATAACCTCCCGGAGCTGATTGATTAGGGCAATGCTGACGAATACATTTTCGGCAGACAGTTCGTTACCGTTGACAATGAAGACAATCAACGATATAAATGTTATCAATTTGGCCGATATATAAAAAATGGATAAATTAATTGACCGAAGTACCATTGCTATGTGTATTTTATTTATTTCGGACACCCTGGCCGCTTGGACTAACTGGCCAAACGGTTTCTCCCAGACATACATTTTGATGACACGCATTGCCGGTATTATTTCGTTCATCAGCCGTAGCCTTTCATCTGTTAATATCGATGACTTGGATCTTAGTTTTGAAAACCATTTGCCCATCAATCCCTGAAACGGTATGTAGATGATCAGTAGGGCTATACCGGCCAAACACGACGCACCAATATAATACCAGAGCAGTCCGACACAGACGACCATCAGTATGGGTCCGGTTATCAAATAGTGTGCATAGACTAGACTAATATCAAAACGGTTGACATCGTTGGATAACAGGTTGACAATAGTACCGACTGTTGTATGACGTAGAGCACCGTTAGACAGTCGTAGGGCTTTATTGTAGATTAGATTTGAGTTGGCCACCCTGACCTCCATGCCCATACGATAGTTTTCAAAAAAATACGGATGAGCCACATAAATGTTAATACACTGTATAAGACATATGGCAGCGGCACAGTAGTAGACTTTAGCCCTGGCCGATGTCCAATCAAACGGCCCGTCGGTAGCATTGTCTTCCGACTCATTACTTTCTTTTAGATACCTAACCAATAGACCCAACGTTACCGGTATGGCCATCCGTACAATGCAATGCTATATATTTATAGTATATATAATTTGTTTGTTAGTTTTAAATATATGATTTATTTTATAATATCTGTTATTATTATTATATTTTACAATATATTATTTTAAACTAAAAACTTACAATAAATAAATTGTAAAATCCGATGCATAAATAGTGTGGTCCAAATGTACGCAAACAGGCCCTCAATAAACTGGCCGATTGACCTGATTTATGCCGATTCACCTCCAGTTCCCAGTTTCTGAACATTTAAAATAATTTTTTGTAAAAAAAGATTTTTTTTGCAATTTGTTTTAAAATTTTACATATTATTATTACTAAGAAATCTAGTCACTATCTATAGTTAGTACATGTTTTTTTAGTCAAAAATAAATGGTTATTATTTGCTATTGTTGTTGTAGTAGTTTTATTTGTGATATAAAAATTTTTATTTATATACAGTAACTATTTTTTTTGACTACAGTTTTATTTTCAATCCCTGAAAAATTTCAATGTCAAACATATATATTTAAAAAAAATAAAACAATTATAATATTATTAGTATTGAAAAAACATGATAATTACTGGTAATCTTATTGGAATATTTTTAGAGATAATATTTATTTTAATATTTTTTTTATATATAATAGTTATTTGTAGTGCATTGACACACACATACACACACACACATAGTATATTAAATATACATAAATATACAATAGTTAACATTATAAATAAAAATATTTTATGTACAATAAAAAATTTTTTTTGAATATCTCAATTTTGTTGTTGTTGTAAATTTTACTATAAATATTATCAATAATAATCACATTATTAACAGTACATATATATATAAGTAATATTTTTACTATAGTATAGTGTATGTATTATACTTATATATATTGTATATAGCATTTAATGAGCCATAAATAATTAGTATAATTATCAATTGTGGCATTATTATTATTATTTTGTTATATTTTATTTTACATTTTCAAAAATTGTTGATAAGTTTATACATTGTTTTGATTACTACAATCATGGATAGAGTATTAGATATTATTAATTTTTCTTTTTTAAAAAATATATATATATATATAAAAAATATATGAAAATAATAAAATTATTTTTAGGAACAAACACGTGTGTTAACATAGTTACCTAAAAAAAATTAAATTTTATAAAAATACTAAATTATAGTTTTTTAATAAAAAATAATTTCTATATAAATACTTGAAACCAACAAATAGTTTATATATTTTTTGATTTTTTTAAAAAAATAGTATAACTGTTAACTAAATAAATAAATAACTATGGGATCAGCTTATAAGGTAAGCCTATTAATTATATTAACTGTTAATTAAATAATTTTGATTATTGTTAATAGTAATCAATATTTTTTTTTGTATAAAAATATAGTTATTATCAATATTGTTACCACAACTGCTATTAATTATCTATTGTATTAATATAACTACTGGACAACAACAACAACAACAACAACAACCACCGGATCAGTTATCAACTACCAGTGCTGTCAATACTAATAATGAAAATATAAAATCAGATAATAATAATAACAAAGAGTTTACTGTTAATGAAAATCGTTATAATAATAATATTATTAATAATGATAGTAATAATAATAATAATAATACGATTGATAAAATTGATAATAATACTACTATTAATATTAATAATACGACTACTAATGAAAAAGTGTTAAAAGTAAAAGTATTAAAAAGTTTAAAAGAGTTGGGAAACAAATTTGGCAAAAAAGTCAACAATTCAATAGTTAGCGAAAGTTTAAAGGGATTGAAAAATATGACTAACATTAAGAAAGTTTATAATAATTTTGAAAAAAATTATCGATCACTGAAAAAACCAATAGTTTTTGATAAATCATTAAATTATGATCAATCGATAGTCAATGGAGAAACTGTAGACATAGATCAACAGCTCATGGCTGCCGACAGTCCCACAGATAGTAGTAGTAGTAGTTATGGATTACGGCCACCGAAACAACAGAGGAAAGGTATGTAAAGTTTTTTAAAATAAATAAATAATTATTACTAAATAATAATAATTTTTTTTAAAAAGATAAGTCAAAGCGATCTAAAAGATATAGGGATTTAGTGGATGAAGTGGTGAAGACCAACAAAAAACGGGTCAAAAGACGGACTAAAACTAATAGTAAAAGTGATAAAACTGACAGAAATATAGGAGAAGCGGTAAAATAGTATATTATTATATAACTAATAATAATAATAATGTTTTTGTTATGTTATGATTTAATTGAAAATTTTATAAAATATGTTAGACCTTATACATAAAAATTAATCATTTATTATTAAAGTTAACTAGCTAATTATTTTATTTTTAAAAAAATATAATTATAAAATAATAATAATATAAATATTACTAGAAAATATTTTTATATTTATAATTTATTTTTATAAAAAAAAATTAAGAGACAATATACAGGCGTTAGTGATTATATAGATTGCAACAAAAAAATTTTTTATTATTATTATTATTATTATTTTAGATTATTTATTACAATTTTATTAGCATAATAATTGTCTAGTAATATCTTACTGGTTAAGATAATTTTTTTCATAGATATTTTATTAATGTTATTAATAAAATTGTAGTTTAATTACTATTAATTATTATAATACTCGAGTAACTAATATCTGTATAACAACAACAATAATAATAGTAATAATAATAATAATAACTATTATATATTTTGTTGAAACTATCTATTAATTACATAACATTTTACTGCAATTGTCTTTTTATATTTTTTTTTAATATAAATTATTTGAGCTCAAGATATAAAAATATTTTATAGGAAAAAATTTATTAATATTTTTATTATATAATTGTATTTACTAATTAATTAATTAGTTATAAACTTTGATAATTTTTTGCTTGTATTGTATTTTGTAAAAAACAAAATAATAAATAATAAAAATTGTTAAAAATAATACTAAATAATATTTTTTTTTATTCAATTGACATTAGTATATATCATATTTCTAATACTACTTATAAAAACAAACTTGGTGACATACATTCTAGCAATAACATTTTGATAATAAAAAATTGTTATTTTAATTATTTTATTATTTAAGTAAAGTTTCATCTATATCATTTAATTATCCTTTAAAAATGGTTATAATAAATAGTTGATTTTTAGTTTTTATTTTGATGATATAACTATTTTTTTTTTAAATCTCAATAAAAATAATGTTTAGATTAGATTAGTATTATTTAATTGACGGTTAATTTCAACATTATTATAAAATTGTACTTGTTGTTTAAACAAAAAAATTTTTATTATTGCAATAAATTATACCGCTAATTTGTTTTATAGTATTTTTTATTTTTGTTTCAAGTGTAATATTATATAATTTTTAACATTTTTATGTTGTTGAAAAAAAATTACATGGTAATGATTTTTTGAAAAAAATCTCTATGTATTTATTATAAATTATTATATATATTACCTTGCTAATCGTTCACCTAAAACATGTGATCTGTCATATTTTGAGCATTTAAGACAATCGGATACTTCAATGGGTTTGCCGTAAAATTTACGAAAAAATGGAAATGTCCACCTGGGTATTTTAAAAAAATAAATTATTTATCATGTTAATTAGAAATAAATATAAAATTAAATTTGTTTTTAAATAAAATATTTATTTTAGAAAAAACTTACCAAAAAATTGTTTTCGATATATAATTAGCTGAATCATAATTTGTTAGATTTTTATTATTTGTTTTAATATTATTATTATTATTAGTAGTAGTAGTAGTAGTAGTAGTACTAGTGGTTGTAGGTTTCATTATACAAATTTATATTAACTTATTTTTTTAAATATTAGTAATATATATAGTATTTTTAAAAATTATATCAGAAATAAAGTTTATCACAACAACTTCATAGTTTAAACATTTTTTTGTAACACTTTTTTTTATAAAAAAAATAATATTAATAAATTATATAAATATTTAATAATTAAGGAATTTTCTAACTTACTTTAGTTATATATATACACATATTTTAATTATCTATTATTTTTAATCATAGTAATAAAATTTTTATTATTATTATTTGAATATAATTACTCAATCAGACAGATATTTTTTTTATCGTTACAACAAATAAAAATATCTTATGTTTTATACTTAAAATCATAAATAAATAAATTAGTTGTAAAAATAAAAATATTTTTTGTGTATTATTTACTAGAATAAGCCGGTTATGAATGACTGATAAATGTATTACTCTTTTAGTTTTATTTTAAATAGTAATTTACCGACAATTTCATGTTTAATAATACTTTAACTTTTTTTTTTGTTTTACTCCCATATAATTATTGATTTAAATAATGATATAATTAATTGTTATTGTTAAATTTTTGTGTGTTAAAATATTTATACTGGTATATTAAGTAATACTTATGAGATCATAATAATTAAACATTTTATACCAATATATTTTTATAATTATAATAATAATATAAAAATCATATATAAAATATTAAAATGTATGATATATTCTAAAATTTTAAAATAATAATTAAAATATTATATATATGTTATACTATTTAAAATATATAAATAAAAGTTTAAATAATTTTTAAAAATTTATTAAAATATAAAAATTATTATATTAAGTTTTATGATGATGATGTTGATAGTTGTAATATTATACAATTAAATTTTATTAGTACCGTATATTTCGTAATTTTTAAATATTTTTTTATTATTTAATTTATGAAATCATAACCTAAATGTACGCAATTTTAATTTCTATACTAAATACTACTTAATTTAGTAATAAAAAAATAAGTGTTAATTAATAGGATATTATAAACATTTATTTTTAAAAAAACGTTTGATGAATAAATTTTAAATAATATAATTATATAGTGATTTTGATTTTTATTAGTGTCTGGATTAACGGTAGAAATATTTTTAATTAGTTCACCAAATTATTATGTTAAATTAAATATATTTTTATTTAATATTATCAGTAGAAGCCATAAGTTGGCGGCGCCTCCTGTTGTATTTATACATATATTTAATACTAATAATATTTATATATTAAGTTAAAATTAATAAATAAATAAATAGACATAAAGTCTGTGACAGAAGGGTGCGAACTGGTTTTTGCTTAATATCTCTATAAATAATTGATCTAGATCAATAAAAATTTTATGAGAAACATGGAATCCTGGGACGTATAACTTAGTATAGTTAGTTTTTATAGATTTCAGCTTATGTAGCTAAGCACCGGTATGTGCCATATCTCTAAGACTATAATAAATAGCTAAATTCTGATAATGTGAATTTAAACTAGGTGAAAATTCATTAGACACGTGTTTCGGTAATTTTTTAAAAAATTAATAAATTTTAAACAAAAAGCAATAAAATGTAAAATTTGTGATATTTTGATATTATCTAGGAAAAAAGTGTCTAGGTATTTTGTTATGAAATTAATCTATTATTATTTGTTATTTTACAAGGAATAATTATTCTATTTACAATTTTTAATTATCATGCTTAGTTTTTGAGATATTAAATTTTTACCATTATATAAATTTAGTAACAAATATAATTAATAAAATTTTATAAGAAAATATAATATATTATATATATATTAAATTAAAAGACAAAAAATAGGGGGAAAATATACTATTCCCCATTTAAAAACATATATTTAGATATATTTCCCCCACATTTCCTGACAAAATCAAATCTAAAATGTTGTAATAATAAGAAAATAATTGCTAACAGCTATGGCTACCAACTGATAGAATTCCCAGGAATTCATTGGAAACAAATCGTAACAATAAAACCCGATCTCAGGTCCCGAAAGTTTTTCAATAAAATCCCGAATATGTAGTCTATAGCGTAAACTATATCTACATAGTTGTCGTTGACGACTAAGATATGAGTACATCATATCTAACGGCTGGTGCGCCCATTGGGACACTGCGACACTCATCCTATTGATCGTCAGTGCCATACTGCCGACTACCAGTAGTTGTATGCCGGATACAAATCGTATCAAAGTAGGTGTGTCCCTGTGATGGACAGTATACAAGACAAATGCTTCGCCAGGCATTGTAAAAAAGTATATCAAAAATATGATAATCCGTAAGAATCGGTTAAACTGATGACAAGCATAGGTAACGTATTTGTGTTTATCAATGGCTGCCATTAGACGGTGTCTCTGATTAAACCGGATGGCCAGTTGGATTTCGGCGGAAACTTCCCTGAAATTTATTTTCATGCACAAAGTTGATACATACCACAAATAATAGGCCATACAAAACTGTGAAGCACAGAAATGTATGGCCGGTATGGCCAACAAGTTGCAGACTACTAGATTCAGCAGACTAACATCCGGATAGTTAGCCCGATCCAAATACATTAGTATACCAGTGCCCAAATGTGGTATAATCATATAGACCAGTGCCGATCCGGTCAATTGCCACATAATGAATCTGCATATTAGATTAGATCTGATAGCCAAATAGCGTTCCCATTTCGGTGACATTGGATATTTGATTTGATTAGATTTGCTTAGATAGTAAATGTCTATAAACAGCCTGGTGTGTCCATTCTAGATAATGATAGTATAGATTACCCAGTACCATTGGTATGACCAATATCAATAGTATATATAATATTAGATATCTATTATGATTTAGAAAATAGGATGAATCCACTAGAAATGTTTGTACAGTTATGTTGTTGTCTTTGATCAGCACCAGTACTATGCCCCGTATTACTGACAGTATTGTCATCAAACGTAAGGCTATTATAATGGCCAACCGTTTTGTTGATATCGGTGTCCGGTTATGATAGTCATCCAGTGATCGAAAACTTGTTATATAATTAAGATCTACGAAACGTTCATACGATTCAAACGCTGTGATTAGTTGATCGGATTTTGTGAAATATTCAACAATTTTTTGTCTAATTATTAACATTTTTTCTGTTTGTTTGTTTGTTTGAATACTATTTTATTAATTTTTTTACTATTTTATAAAACAAAATATTTTTTTTTAAATATATAAATTAAATGTTTTATTTTATTAGTGTTATATCAGAAATTAAGTTAGATATCATTTGTGTACAAAAAAAAGTAAAACAAAAAAATTATGAAATACTAATATTTGTTGTTTTGTTTAATTTGAAAAACCATTATATTTAGATAACTATTATATACTTTATTAGACTTATTGTGAAATATATTTCATATCATATATATTTGTTTTATATGGAAATAATAACTAGAAATTGTATTAAAAAAAATTATATGTTAAACTATAGAAATAATTATTATAATTTGTATTTTGCGTGTAAATAATAGAAATATAATTAATGATATATTTATATATATAAGAGTAAATTATAATAATTTATTAAATATAAACAACATGTGCTTAAAATTACATCAAATAAAATATAAACAATTAATTAATTAAGTGATATTATACCATTTAATATCATATTATATATTAATAAGTTCTAATTTATTTATTTTTTTATTTTTTTTATTTGACATATATATATAAATATATAGTATTTAGTATAAGATTAAATTATAATTTTTTATTTAATAAACAACATGTGCTTGAATTTACATAATATAAAATAATTATCTAAACAATTAACAAAAATAATTTATTCAACTATACTATACTATACTGTATATTATATATTAAATCTTTAATTAATTAATTGTTTTCTATAATATTATTGCAAAATATTATTAATGAAATTCTCTGAATTTCAAGGCTAGTATTAATTATAATTATTGTGAAATTTTCTTAAAATAATATATATATAACAATTAGAGCTTTCATTTTATAAAAATGAATGCAATTTAAATAAAAAAAGATAAAAAAAAATATATTAATTTTATTAAAATTATAAAAATTTAGTATTTAGATTTTTTTTCTAAAAAAAGTTATTATTTCTTAACAAAATTTAATTTATTCAATATATCATATATGCTATAAAATATATAATTAAATATAGATAAAATAGCATTAATATTTTTATTTATACTCTTTGATAAATAGATTTTTATAAATGTAATATAATTATAATATTTACATATTTAGAAAATTATTATAAAAAAATAATACATTATTAACAATAAATTATCAATAATTTAACTAAAAATTTAGTTACAATTATATATCTAAAATTGTAGAAAAATTTATTGATACAATTTTATTAAATACAATTTTTAAAAAAAGTAAATTTCCAGTTATATAAAAAAAGTTTTTATATTTATAAAAATTATTGTAATCTTAAAAATTTTAAACACAAAATAAAATGAAAGTAATGCCTCAGGAGGCGCCTCCTATGGTATTGTATGTAAATTATTAAATTTTATTTTAAGTTTGTTAAATATATTGCTTATTAAGATACATTAAAAAGTTGTAAAACAAATAAATAAATTATAAAATAGTATTATCAATAAAAATAAAACTAACAAAATTTATTTATTTAAGTTATCTATGTAGATATTATAATAGCAGGAAACAAACAAACAAACAAAAATTCAATCAAATATTTAAAATATATACATTATTTGCATATAATTAATCTATTTTTTAAATAAAAAAACATTAATTTATAATTTGATGCAAAAAAATATTGTTAATAATAGTTGTAATGTTCAATCAAAAACGTTTGAATAATTAGCAAATAATTGTTGACAGCTATGGCTACCATCTGATTAACCATTCCTGTGGCTACCATTCCTGTCAAAAATTTTCCTGAAAAAATCAAATCTAAAATGTTGTAATAATAAGAAAATAATTGCTAACAGCTATGGAAACCAATTGATAGAATTCCCAGGAATTCATTGGAAACAAATCGTAACAATAAAACCCGATCTCAGGTCCCGAAAGTGTTTCAATAAAATCCCGAATACGTAGTCTATAGCGTAAACTATATCTACTTAGTTGTCGTCGACGACTAACATATGAGTACATCATATTTAACGGCTGGTGCGCCCATTTAGATACACCGACACTCATCCTATTGATCATCAGTGCCATTGAACCGACTACCAGAACATGTATGGCCCATACAATTCTATAGACAGTAGGTGTGTCCCTGTGATGAACGTTATACAAGACAAACGCTTCGCCGGGCATAAAGAAAAAGTAAATCAAAAATATGATAACACGAAAAAATCGGTTCAATTGATGGCAACAATTGTTGATGTAGTCGTGTTCATCGATAGCTGCTATTAGACGGGTTTTATGGTTATACTTAATGGCCAGTTGTATATTATGGGAAATTTTACGAAAATTTAGTTTTATGCATAGAGTCGACACATACCTAGTGTTAGCAAAAAAAAAGAAAGAAAAATTTACAAAAAATAATAATTCCAGTTTCTAAAAGAAATTTCTATTTATGAGATACCTATTGATAATTATGTTTAGTTTAATTTTAATTTAGTTATTAATAAATTTCCCTGAGAAAGTTTCTAGAAAATTTTTTCAGGAATAAATTTTCTAGAAACTTTCTCAATGGAAAATTTATTAGAAAATTTTCTATTTGCCCATCTCTACACATACCATAAATAATAAGCCATATAAAATTGAGAAACAGTAAAATGTATGGTTACTATGGCCAACCAGTTACAAACTATTAGATTGATCAAGCTAATATCAGGATATCTAACATTATCCAGATACATTAGTATACCAGTTACCAAATGTGGTAGAAACAAATACAATAGACCCCCACCAGTCAATTGCCACATAATAAATCTGCACAATATATTTGATCTGATGCTTAGATAGCGTTCATCTTTCGTTGACAAACGGTATTTAATTTGAAATGTTTTTGTCAAATAGTAAATATCGATAAACTGAGCCTGGTGTGTCCATTCTAGATAATGATAGTATAGATTACCCAGTACCAATGGAATGATCATTAACAATAGTATATATAGTATCATATATCTATTTTCATTAAGCATATAGGATGAATCAACTAGGACAGTTTGTATTGATTTGTTATCTTTGATCAGCACCAGTACTATACCCCGTATCAGTGACAGTATAGTCATCAAACGTAATACTACTATAATGGCCAACCGTTTTGTTGATATCGGTGTCCGGTTATGATAGTCATCCAGTGATCGAAAACTTGATATATAATTGAGATCTAAGAAACGTTCAAACGATTCAAATGCTGTCGATAGTTGATCCGATTTTGTCAAAAATTCAACAATTTTTTGTCTGATAATTGACATAATTTTATATGAATATTATTTAATTTTTTGTCTTATCAAATAAAATAAAAAAAATTTAAGTATAAATCAAATTTTTTTATTTGTGTTATAAAAATAAGTTTAATAACATTTTCCTAAAATATAAAAAAACAAAAATTATAGACTATTAAGAAATGTATATAAAATTTATATTATACATTTCAATATAATTGCATTTTTCATTAATTAAATATAAACTGTTGAAATTGTATAATATAGTAGAAGTATTTACTGTATATATAAATATTAAAATAAATTATTTTAATATAATTTGTATTTTGCGTGTGAATATATATATATATATATATCAGGGTTAAGCAAGGTTTTGGATTTTAGGGGGGTAGACCGGGGTAAAATTTACAAAATTCTCGAAAAATCTTGGGGGGGGGGGGTATTGGGTGGGGTAAGATTTTTATTGCATTTTTAAACGGCAATTTTTTCAAAAATCCAAAATCAAGGGGGGGGGTCAAGAGAAAATTCCCTAATATTCCCTTAAATTCCCGAATATTCCCATGTAAATTCGATAAAATTCCCATAAGTTCCCGTATAAATTCCCAGGAAAATAGGTAAAATTTACAAAAATACTAAAAAAAACTTTAACAAAAATAAAAAAAAGTTAAATTTTAACAAAAATAAATATTTTTAAAAAAAAATTTTAAAAATTAATAAAAACTTAAATTTTATCAAAAAATAAAATAATAATGTATTAAATACTTAAAAATAGGTGATAAAGGCATTAATGATACACTGAGTTTTTTAGTATTTTAGTAATTTTTAACTTTTAAAATAATTTTTTAAATAATACTTAATGCTTATAGTTTATAGATATATATTTTTATTTTTTAATGTTATTTTTATGTAAATACTGATTGAATACTAATTATAAAATTAAAAATATTTTAAATTTTTTAGTTAAAATTTTAAAAATTATTAATAAAAACCTTGTAATATAAGTATTTATTTTTTTATTAACTTCTTAAACTATCTCAAACTTCTATTTATATTGTAATATGATTATTCTTTTCAACAAATTGGTATTTTTTAACTTTTTAGTTTAATATTTTAAGTAAAATTATGTTATTTTTTGATGAGTTTTAACGTTATTTTAACTTTTTTACTTATTTTTAATCAATAATTAGAATCATATAAATTTTAAAAACATAAAAACACTTACTAAAATAGTATTAACTAAAATTAAAATTTTTATAAATCTCTAAAAAATTTTCGGCGCCTTCGGCGCCGAAATTTTAGGGGGGGTCATTTCTCCTCGTTTTTAAGCGACAATTTTTCCCATTTGGTCAAAAAGTCTGGGGGGTAAAATCCCAATTTCTCGATCTTAGGGGGGGTATTTTGGCCTTACCCCCCTACCCCCCCTTACTTAACCCTGATATATATATACTATTATTAATATTAATATTTAATTAATTAGTTTAAATTAAGTAATAATTTATCTAATAAAGAACATGTGTGTAAAATTACGTCAACTAAAATATTTATTTATTTATTTAAATAATTTACAAATTATTTTTCTATAGTATTATATATAGATTTATTAATAATTTCTAAATTATAAACTATTTTATATATTAATATTATAAAAAATACTAAATAAGTAATATATATACTATTTTTTATCTAATATTAATTATTTATTATGAAATTCTTTTAATTAATAAAAATAAATTTTCGTGAATTTGCTTTATATTAATAAATTATTAATTAACTAAAATAAAATTCTAATAAACTATAAAATTATAAAAACTAAAAATTTAATAAAATTAATGTTTAGATAGAAATGAAATTGTCCGCATTATTTTTTAGAGAATAAAAATATATTTTTTAATTATTTTATTTAAATTAAAATATACAACTTTTTTATAATGATTATAATGATTAGTTAATTATGATATTTAATTAAACAGTATATTATTAATTAAACTATTAAAACTGATAACTATAATAAATATATGTATCGATTATTTATTATCATTATACTGAACACATATATATATAGTATATTTATATATATTATACATGTATATTAATAATAAAATATTATTGTAAACTTGTAAAATCATTGTTATTTAAAAATTTTTGCAATATAATTAAATAATTTTATTACGATAACAATTAATATGAAATATGATTTTTAAAAAATATAAATTACACATAACTATTGAGACATTACAATAGCATATAAATATGAGTTGAAAATTTTTATTATAAAAATATTAATACTATTTAAGTTAAATATTTTTTCTTAAAAAATATTATAATTTTAACTAGATAATTTACTTGATAATAAATAATTATTTATAAAAAAACAATCAAACAAACAAAATGTCTATTATTTTCAATAAAATTAATCTAATTGTATTAATCAGTATAATAATAATTGTTAATATTTCTATACCCTGTCTATGCTTTCCTACCGGTGCTCCAACATGGGCCTGTGCTGACCAGAAACCTGGACACGGTTTTCCACCGCAAAACTCGCCGTCACCCTATCAACTGGATGTCCAGCCACAGCAAAATGGACAGTCGTATAAGCTTACTATCAAGTCGTCCAGTGGCCAAACATTTCGCGGTTTCCTAATCGAAGCCCGACTAGTGGTTGGCAATGGTGTCGGTAGCCAACCGGTCGGCCGTTTCGAGTCGACAAACACGACTATAGCTCATACAATCAATTGTCCCGGCGGTCAAAACAATGCTATTACACACTCAAATCCTGTTGACAAACATGAGATAATTGTGCTCTGGTATCCGCCACCGCAAGGATCAACACCTGGACAGCACTCGTCGGTCAGATTTGTGGCAACAGTAGTGAAGGTATACAATACCTATTGGATGAACCTATTATCAGCACCGATACAATTGAACTAAAAATTTTATTTTGTTGTTAATAAGTTAGATATATTCCCCCCCCCCCCCCCCCCCCCGAAATATTTATTGTAATTTATCTAATTTATTATTTATTTATTTAAAAACTTTTTATTAAAAATCACTAATTATTATATTTTTTTAAAAATTAATTACTATAATTATTATAATTAAATTAATATTTTTTATTATATAAATACAGTATATTATAATTAAATTAATATTTTTTTATTATATAATATAAATACACAGTTAAAGTATATTACAGTAAATTTTTATGATTATGAAGTCATGATTTATCACAATTTTTTTCAAAAAAAATCTTTTTAATTGCTATAATTTTAATTAACAAATATTTTAATATATATATAAATTATATGATACATAAAACTTATGTATAAGTATTCAATGTCACAATTAATAAATAAATAAATAAAAGTTATTTTCATTGAGTTTTATATTTTATTGGATAAACCGGTATATACTGTATATATACAGTATAAAGTAATATAAAATTTTATTACATATATTACTGTTATTATATAGTACTAACATTGATTTTTATAGTTTATGTTAAGTGACACATAAACTTATTTTTACTTTTATTAATAAACTATTTCATCACTTATTTTTATTAAATATTTTAATTAATAATTTATTTTTTGCTTACACTTTACTATTGAATCTAGTTTTCTTGAATATTAATTAATTTTTTAACTTTAGTTTTCACTATTTTATTAATACTCTAATAGAAAAGTTTTATAATTCATTAAATTTTTAAAAAATATTTACTCAATAGTAGTTTTATATAAAAATAATAATAACATTTAAAATGTTTGTTTCGCTGTGTTTAAACCCAAACTATATGTAATAATAATTAATAATAACTTTTAATAAATATATGAAAATTTGATTTCACATTTAATTAAAAAAATAATTTTAAGCCGTAAATAACTTTTATTTTTGTTGTTATTAATTAATTAAAATTATTTATATCAATAAAATATAAATATATATATATATATTTTATCATTATATTGAAATATGAAATCAATGCTATCATTAAAAATAATAACTATTACTATTATTATTATCATAATTAACTTATTATGCATAGACTATGTTTGTACAGTTAGCTTGAATACTAATGATGCTAATAATAATAATCTGAATACTACTACTACTACTACTATTAATTACGACATGTGTGAGCTGGCCCTACCCAAGTGTACCGGCCATCAAGACTGTGGTCTGGCACTACACGACTTCAGGATTGGCTGCCGATCGGAACTGTTTGGCCGACAATCGGATGACAACAACAACAACAACAACAACGGATGTACAGATGAGTGTCGCATATCGGTGCTCAGGCTAACCAAATCTGCACTGGGAGTCAACTATCTGTACTGCCGGTGCGGTGAAAGTTCGTACTGTAATCTAATACAGAAACGATTGAAACGATGTTATCCACAGTCATCGTCGTCATCGCAGTCGGATATGACCGATTGTCATACTATTGAACTGTATTGTCGGGCCGATGCTAACTGTGCACAACTATGGAGTACCTATAGGGACGCCTGCGGACCGGTAGTAGTAGTCAACAGTAACAATGGCAATGACGGCCTCTGTGACGGCAAATGTGTCGACTCGTTTGATGTACTAAGCAATGAGATTGCTATGCAGTTTGGCACTGACCTACTCAAGTGTCGATGCAATAGCAGCAACAACAACAATGTTATTAATTATAATAATAATAAAAATACTAAATTAAATCATTGTTATATTGAGCATGCTAATTTTATACGTAAGTGCTATAAATCGTTTACTGAAAAATTAATTTTGTCTATCATGATATCATCAATATCAATTTTAAGTTTATTTATTTTTTAGTTAAACTAATATAATATTAAAATAATAATGTACATGCAATATTAAGTTTTTTTTTGTATATAATTTATAATTTTTTAAAAATTCTATTAACTTTTAAAAACTTTATGTTAAAAAAATATATATTAAAATAAAGTTACCTTTATCAATATTTGATTTTTCAATAATTTTATTAAATAATTTTTTTAAAATAAAAATTAATTAATTAATTTAATAGTATTGGTTTTAATTGTCTTATAAAATATATAACAATAATATATATAAACATTTTTTATTTAAAGATTTTAATACTAACATATTATAACACACACACACACACAAACACACACACACATATATATATATACTGTATATATAATAACATATTATTATTATTACAATCAACAAATTAAATTATTTATAAATATTTATTCAGCAATGTTAAAAATGTCAAACATTTTTATATATTATTTTTTATAAATATTTATTACACTCAAAAGTTTTTATTTAATGTAATATATATTGTAATATATAACTAATACAGTATATGATATAACAAAAAAAAAATAATTTGACAATCATGCTATACGGTAGATTATTATTATACTAATAGTTGTATTTAGGTACAGTATAGTCAATTAAATATTGTCCAAATAAAAGCAACATTATAAACAAATAATATTAAAAATTAAATAAATATATATTCTTTTATAAAATATTTTTTTTGAAAAATGAGATATTTTAAAATATTAAAAAAATTTATACATTAATTAATTTTCAATATTTATATGGGAATTATTTTATTTTTTTAAATAATAATAATATAATTTAAAAAAAATATAATAATCATGGACAATTTTTAAAATGTTGTTCATCCATAAATTGCAAACCATTAGTACAGTTTAAGTCCTCAATTTGTATACCAAATTGTTTATGTTGTTTATATAGCCAATAGTTTTGACAATCAGCACAATTGAACTGTTGGCCCAATAAACCGATAGTATTCAATGGATTTGCCAACAAAAATGGCTTAAATATACGTTCAGCCAAATAGGTTATCTGATCCGGATCATTGTAGGTAGTTTCATAGTATCTGCCACCAAAATCTAGATAGATAGATTGATGTTTGTTATCTAAAAATGATCCCTGAGCATAGCTTGAACCATTCAGGAATGTATTTTTAGCCAATCCTATTACTAGACCATTATCGCGATTGTGATCATTGAAAACAAACACTTGACTATCAATATAGCTAATCGATGTCCATGATATACTTATATGTTCGAGCACTGGTAGATTGTAAAACGGTTGCCGACCAATTGTTTTGATAGTCAAACCATAGAGACTGAGTTCTTTGAGTTTGGATAGCCTACCGAATGCCCGGTCGGGTATCGACTGGATATTACAGTGTCCGACACTGATTTCCTCAACATTGATAAACTGGTTGAGTATGTCAAACAAGTTTCGCGAGTCAAGTACCGGACTATTGTATAGTTGAAATTTTTTAACCGTATCTACAGTTCCACGGAAAGCATTGGTATGGATCTGTTTCAGGCCAGTCGACTCTTTTATATCAATATCTTCAAACTTGATACCGTGCAGAGCATCGGCAGGTAATTGTCTAATTGATTCAGTGGTTAGCGTAAAATATCTACGTTTCCAACTGTTTGTTTTACCAGTATTTGCTGATAATCTTTTAAATACCGGTTCAATATCTTTGACATCATCTGTATTGCAAAATATGCCAAACCAGTCACACTGACAGGGCTTAACCAGTTCAGCGTCGGGACACTGGTGTTGTTGACAATAGTAAACTGGTATTAGTTTAATAATATTAGATAGCGATGCTATTATAATTATTAAATCTAAAAAAGTAATAATAATATTAGTTAATAAAATAATCATTTTTATTAATAAATATAATAGTATTAATTAAAATACTAATATAAAATTTAATTTTTATATACAGTATATACTATAGTACTCAATACTTACTCAATAAATTTGTAAACATTTTTTTGTGGTTTATTTTCAAAATGATAAAAGTTGTTAATAATTATAATACTGTATTTATTATAAATTATAAATATATAAAATTTAATTATATTATTTTTAATATATTATTTGATGTTAACTTATATACATTATTATTATAATAGATTTTAAAAATTAAATAAAATCAACACATCAATTATATTTTGCTGAAACATTTATTCAGCATGTTTTCAAACAAAATTTTTATATCTCTAAACTTAGTTTCAATTATTAAAAAAATTATTGCAATAACTGATTGAACAAATAATCAATATTATAGTTATAATTATTATAAATGTAAATAATTTTATAAAATAATATTTATTGCTTAATTTACATGTCAAAACTAAAAAAATACTAATGATTGCATAAATATGATGACATTATTATTATTATTATTATTGTTATATAGAATATGAATAATAATATAATGCAGTAAAAGATTATTTACTAATAAAAATTTATAAAAAAACAAAATTATTTATTGAAATTTTAGAATAATAATTATAATACATTTTTTCTTAAAAAAATATTATAATTAATTAGATAAATCAATTTAAACATTTAAATAAAAAAAAATTGTATCATGCACAATTTTTGAAATTACTTTTATCCATAAATGTTTGACCATTATTAGTACAATTTAGGTCAAGAATTTGTGTCAATAAATTGTTATTATTATTATTATTATTATATAACCAATAGTTGCCACAATCGCTACAATTAAACTGTTGTCCCAATAGACTGATAGTATTCAATGGGTTTGCCAATAAAAATGGTCGAAATATAGTCTCAGTTAAATAGGTTAGTTGTTTTGGGTAACTATAGATAGGGTAATTGTTTTGAACATAACTAAAATTTAATTGTACCGGTCTATGTTTAATACATATAAAAGTATCCTGGTGAAAACATGATTCACACAGGTGCTTATTGAGTACCAGTCCCAGTTTTAGCAATTTAGTATTGGTAATGCTATCATTAAAACTAAATACATTGTTATCTAAATACGGAATCGATGTATTAAATATGATTAGATCGTTGAGCACTGGTAGCTGATAGAACGGGCGGTAACCAATTGTTTTGATTGACTGACCAGACAAATAGAGACCAACCAGTTTAGATAGTCGACGAAAAGCGTGATCGGGTATCGACTGGATATTACAATTGCCGACATTGATTGTCTCAATATTTTCAAACTGATTTAATATGTCAAACAAGTTACTTGAGTCCAGTAGAGGACTATTCAATAGTATAAACATTTCCACTGTATCTACTGTTCCTCGAAATGCATTGATGTCGATATGTTTCAGACGGTTTACGTCAGCAATCTTTATATATTTAAACGCAACTGTTTGTAGTGAATCGGCCGGCAATTGTTCAACTACTGCACTATCAGATAACCTAAAGTATTGTTTTGTCCAATTATTTGCAACAATTTTTTGAAATATTGGCTTAATATCTACTATGATATTGTTTTGACAAATTATGCCATCAGGGTTACACGTACACGGTTTTATAGTATCGGTACTGGGACATTGATTACTACAGTTATAAACTGGTATTAGTATTATACTAATAGTTGATAGAAATGTTATAATAGCCAAATCTGTTTAATAATAATTAATAAATAATAATTTGATAATATATTTTTAGAGATATATAATTATAATAAAGTCAAACAATTTTGTTTTATATATTTTTTCAAATATACATACATATTAATTTTGTTGGCATTTTTGTTTGCGTTGAAATAGATAAAGTTTGTACTAATTTTTTTTTGTTGACAAATTAGTATTATTGCTTTTAACTTACAGTATATATATATAGTATATTATTTTTTACAAAAAATCAAAAATTATAAAACTAAAAATCAAAAATAATTATTTACATTCAATAAACAATTACATTGTTTATGATATTTATTCATAATATTTTTAAAAATAAAATTATTTAATTTATTATTAATTAGCAAAATTATTTAATCATTTCATTTATTATTGCAATATATCAGTTGTACAAATAAATTGTTAATCTTTAAAATATTTAAACAAAATTATTTTTATATATGTTATTACAAAAACTAATAGTTAATAATTTTTTTTTTTAATTGAATTTAAAGTTGAAAATGTATCAAGCACAAGTTTCAAAGTCATAATTTTCAGTCAAAAAATTTCATACCATTAGTACAGTTTAGGTCAACTAATTGTTTCAAAAGTTTTGTTATGTTATTTATATAACCAATAGTTTCAGTCCAATCAATACAATAAAAATTTTTGTTTGTATACAACTATAGTATTGTATAAAACAATTAAAAAAATGCCTTAAATATACTATCAGCTAAATAGGTTATCCAGTCCCTATTTTGAAAAAAAATATTTACTAAATTAATATATTACAAATATTTTAACATAAATGTAAGCATAATAAATACAAAACAATTAACAACAACAAAATAAATAAAAATAGTAAATCACATTTTACATGTACATTATATTGAAATTTATATTGTTAAATTTATATATAAATTACATTAATTTTAAATATTATTGCATAAATATTTATACAACTTGTAAAAATTATTTATTTATTTCATGTATTTTATAACTAATTTCAAAAGTATTGCGCAAATTAATGTGTAATTAATATTAAACATAAAAATAACATTAAATATGATAATCATTTTAAATTATTTTGAAAAAAAAGTTTATCTATCTATGAAAATTAAAATAAAAAAATTATTATTGTGAAAGTAAAATAATTAATAACAAAAACTAACTTAATTACTAAATATAATATAATAGATATAACATATTATTAGGAGTTATATTTCAATTATAATTAAATGTTATATTAGATTTTTGATAAATATATAATTACAAAAATAAGTCTTAACATTAGTTAAATACAATTTTTTATACAATTATTTTTAGTTAAATTTCAAAGTTATTAGTAATTGTGAACTCAATCTGTTAACTACTTTTTAATACAAATATTATTCATGTAATTCAAAACCTATTGTTTGCCGTCGATTCAAACCAATGTTAAAATATTTAATTAATTATTTTAATTGTTTACAATTAATATTATTTGCCCACAATTTCTATGTTTATTAATTAATATATGTTTTAATTGAATAAATTAGTTTTATTTAGTTATTGATAAAAATAACTGTGTTTTAAATCATACAATTATTACACACACTATTACCCGATATCCGGACAATCACTCGGACACAGGTCACACAGCAAGACATACCAGTTCGCATCGGGACCTGAATTAACAACAATCAACACAGCAAGACATACCTGTTCGGCTGTTGATAACCAGTTGGTACATCACATATCATTGCAACGGATCTACCCTAAGGGCCGTAACCGCTGTAATAGTGGTGAATCGGGAATCACACACCCCATAACCCACACAACTCGGTCCACGACCGCAATAATTGGCGCAGTCGGCAGGATTCCCGACTCCACGTCAAATCAATAGCAAAACACATGCCGTATAGGCATACATACGTACCAACGCGCACCTATCCACTCCGAAACAGAAGTCGATCAACACCACAACTGAAAGTGAAGTCACCCGAGACTCACCTCTATATACACCTTTCAACTCATCTAATAGTAACAATACAGTAATAAATACAATGTCACTAGACGGCAACAACGACAATACACAGAACAGACCACAAACTACTAATCGTCAACTCAAATTACCGCGATTCAGTGGCAGTGCCGATAAAATTGAAATAAGCGGACACTTGAGACTATTCGAGAGAGCATACAGCCATCTCAGCGATGCCGAAAAAATAATAAAAATTGCAGAATTCCTAAGTGATGACGCGTACAACTACTACACCAATGACATCATATCAAACCCCGACGCTGATTGGGATGATGTTAGCACAATGCTCATCATAGCCTTTGGTAACGCTCACCGCGCATCTCCAGTCGCTGAAGCAAACAAATGTAAACTTATGCGCACAGAGACTATATATCAATATTATGAGCGAAAATTGAAAATTTTACGCCGTATCAAAGGTCTCGAACCACGAGATATATGTCAATTTTTAACAGAAGGTCTTTATCCAGACTTTAAGGACAAATTTTTAGGCAAACGCTTTGACTCAATTGTTGAATGGCTTGAACTCGCACAGGACATTGAACTCGACATGAATCGTCGTCCACAACAATCAAAAAGCCACAGCACTCACTACACCGACCATCAGTCTGGTCACAAAAGCAAACAACCATTTAAAGGAAATAACAAATTTAAATCACAACCAAAGAAACTCCCACCATATGATTGCAAATACTGTTTAGAAGAAGGCCAACATAATCGCCACTGGCATAGTGACTGTCCACGCAGAAGCAATCGTGTGCAAAACAGTACTACTTCACGCTCATACTCAAGAGCACAGTCACCAACAGCTGAAACATCTGACACCAATCATTTTATTGAGCAAAATATGTCAGCACAGACCTACAAAACAAATGATCGTATTTTAATACCGGGATTTTTAATATACAAAAAAATAATGTGTTTTGCAGACATAGGCTCAACTATTGATATCGTATCTCTCAAAGCAGTCAAACACTTTCGCCTAATACTAGACACTCGCTATAATAAAGTCGTACAGCTGGCAAAGGGACAGTGCAAGACAATTGGTCAATGCACATTTCAATTAACAATTAATAATACATCAAAACAAATCACTGTGCATGTATTACCTGACTTTGCATATTCACTACTATTGTCACTTAATACATTGGGTCTATTTGGCGTAATAATAGACACAACCAACAGATCAGTAACATACCATGATAATCTGATCCCGTCACACAATTATCTAATAAATGATAATTTAAATAAAATTTCAATCAATTCAAATGTACCTAATCACAAGGTAATCAGCGAATACAAACTCAATGCACTCAATACATCAATGTCTATACAAGACATGTCAATCAGTACTAATAACAGTACTGTAAACACAAATAAAATCAGTACTGAAATTATTAAAAAAAATCAATAATAAGCACATCACGGACACACGATGTTATCAATAAAACTATAATATCTATTGACAATCAAATCAAAGAAATTCAATTGCCACAAACATTGCAAAAATTATTATTCAATTACAAACATATTTTTGCCACCGATTCATTTGATTTGAATCGCATTAAAGTCGAGTCTCATCGGATCATTTTAACCGACAATATCCCAATATCACAACTGCCATACCGTCAATCTTTCGAAAACTCAGTTGAAACTGAGCGCCAGATAACTGAGCTATTAAGCAAAGGATTGATACGCGAAAGCAAGTCACCCTATGCTGCTCCTGTAACACTGGCGTCTAAAAAAGATGGTACTAAACGTTTGTGTATTGATTATCGTCGCCTTAATGCTAAAACCGTTGCAGATATGACACCACTTCCTAACATTCAAGATATTATGAACCGATTACAGGGTTCACAGTATTTCAGTAAATTGGATTTTGCTTCAGGGTATTGGCAGGTACCCATACACAATGATGACATTTCTAAGACAGGATTTGTCACACAAACCAAACACTACGAGTGGTTAGTACTACCGTTTGGTCTTAAAAACGCCCCATCAACGTTTCACCGTATCGTACAGACAATTCTCGGTACTCTTCTATATAATGGCGTCATATCATATTTAGATGACATTATTGTTTATGCCGACACACAACAAAAACATGATACTCTTTTAAATCAAGTCTTTGACAGATTATCACAACACAGCGCACGTCTAAAGCTATCAAAATGTCAATTCAATGTCAAACAAATTGAGTTTTTAGGACATAACATTGATGGCACAACTGTCCGTCCACCAGATGCCAAAGTCAAAGCAATAGTTGACTTCCCAATACCAACAAATCAAAAGGATGTTCAACGCTTTCACGGACTCATTAATTATTTACGTGAATACATAAATGAATTCGCTTTAATAGCTGAACCTCTCACTCAACTTCTACGCAAAGGGAAAGCATTTCACTGGACAGAGAATCAACAACAAGCCTTTGAACGATTTCAATATCTGTTAACACAACAACCGGTCAGACATCTGTTTGACCCAACAAAACCAAGTGTGCTCTATACCGATGCCAGTACTATTGGTATAGCAGGCATACTCACTCAAGATAACCACCCAATTGGCTATTTTTCTCGCAAGTTATCCAGCGCTGAAACCAGATATTATGTCACAGAACTCGAGTTGTTGGCACTTTACGAGTCAATTCATTACTTCCGCATATACATAGAGTCAACCAAATTTACAGTATATACGGACCACAAAGCTCTTCAAAGGTTATCAAACTTCAAGTCAACCAAAAAAAAAACTTTATCGCTGGTCAGATGAACTCAGCACATACGACTTTGAAGTCATTCACAAACCGGGCAAATACATGGCTCATGTCGATGCCTTATCACGAGCACCTGTCTGTAATTACATTTCAGACACAATAATCATGCAATCACAACAACTGGCAATCAAAGACAATGATAGCTACACTCCAGTTGTCAATACTTCAAATAACATTACTTTATCGAAAGACCTGTCAGTTGTATCAAACACACAGATGCCTTTACAACAATTAGCCGATAAAAATAAATTATTTGCTAAACTGGTTGACAAAACAAACACTACTGGATTGCAAACAAAACGACTATTTGGTCGCAATCTCATAGTTATACCGCCAAAATTGGTATCACAAATATTGACATCCAGTCACGATGAATGTGGTCACCCTGGTATAAGGACAACCAAAAGACAAATTCAATACAAATATTACTGGAAAGACATGCACCGAGACATCGAGTTATATGTAAAGTCATGTCATATCTGCCAACTCACTAAACCAGTCAATCACAAACACTTTGGTCAACTACAGCCCATACCAACACCAACAAAACCATACGACTTATTAGCTATGGATACAATGGATTTCCGTTCAAGTGATGGAAAATACAATTATTTACAAGTAATAATTGACCACCACAGCAGATACATTTGGGCCTACCCTACCAAATCTAACACCGCACAGACAGCAGTTGACTGTCTAAACAAAGCTATTCAATCAGCAACAACACCTGTTGCCCGCCTATTGACAGACAATGGCACCAATTTTACAAGTAAATTATTTAAAGATTATCTCAGAAGACAAAATATTAAGCACTCGCTGACGACACCCTATCACCCGGCATCCAATGGAACTGTCGAACGGGCCAATGGATCACTCAAACAACGTCTTAGATCAGCACAACTCAAGCACCGTAACTACAAATGGTGTTCACTCGTCTCACAGGTTGTTGATCAGTACAACCAATCAATCCATTCAGTTACAGGTTATACACCAGCATATCTCATGACTGGCACTGATAATCTTAACACAACTGGTGACTTGTCTAACGCCAGACAATCAGCAAGTGCCAAATCAGACAACGAAAAAGCAGTTGTAAAACAAAGATATGATAAACAGCACAGTCCTCTCAATTTACAGATCGGCGACTTAGTTAAAGTCAAACTTCCACACAACCGACCGGACCGTAAAAAGTTGGATCCACTCTTCGAGGGACCGCTTGTTATCACCAAAATAACATCACAGGTCAACGCTGAAGGACATCATTTGGATAAACCAAATGCACCAACACTTAAGCTACATGTGTCACAACTAGCTCCTTATCTCAAACGGATCTAATCTAGGTCGCGGGGGAGTATTAGGAGTTATATTTCAATTATAATTAAATGTTATATTAGATTTTTGATAAATATATAATTACAAAAATAAGTCTTAACATTAGTTAAATACAATTTTTTATACAATTATTTTTAGTTAAATTTCAAAGTTATTAGTAATTGTGAACTCAATCTGTTAACTACTTTTTAATACAAATATTATTCATGTAATTCAAAACCTATTGTTTGCCGTCGATTCAAACCAATGTTAAAATATTTAATTAATTATTTTAATTGTTTACAATTAATATTATTTGCCCACAATTTCTATGTTTATTAATTAATATATGTTTTAATTGAATAAATTAGTTTTATTTAGTTATTGATAAAAATAACTGTGTTTTAAATCATACAATTATTACACACACTATTACCCGATATCCGGACAATCACTCGGACACAGGTCACACAGCAAGACATACCAGTTCGCATCGGGACCTGAATTAACAACAATCAACACAGCAAGACATACCTGTTCGGCTGTTGATAACCAGTTGGTACATCACATATCATTGCAACGGATCTACCCTAAGGGCCGTAACCGCTGTAATAGTGGTGAATCGGGAATCACACACCCCATAACCCACACAACTCGGTCCACGACCGCAATAATATTATTATAAACTAATTTAATTATAAAATTATTATTTTATTTCTTCTAATTAAAATATTAAACTAATAAAATTTTAGTTACAATTTTTAATATACAGTATAATAATAAATAGTTTTTAATACAACTATTAAAAAAATATTTTTAATCAAATAATAAATTTATTATAAATTAATTGATACAATGATTTTTTCATAAGTATAAACATTTTCGTTTGTTTGTTTGTTTTGATGTTAATTAAAAAAATGAATTTTATGAACATTTATTGAAATTATTTTTATCCATAAACGCCAAACCATTAGCACAATTTAGATCAACTAATTGTTTCAATAATTTTTGTTGTTTATGTAGCCAATAGTTGCGACAATCATCGCAATTGAATTGTTGTTTATATAAAGTAATAATATTCAATGGGTTGGCCAACAAAAATCCTTGAAATACTACCTCAGCTAAATAGGTTATTTGATTTGGATCCGTATAGATACCACCGTATACTTTACCACCAAAATCTATGTTGACAGGTCGGTGCTTGAAAACATTGAGAAAAGTATCTTGGTTAAAACATGAACCGCCAAGTTGACCATTTTTGAACAGTCCCAATGTTAGTGGTGGTAGTGGTAGCTGTTTATTATCATCATTGGTAGTAAAATTATCATTGAAAACAAAAACATTGCTATCTATATAGCTAATGGATGTCTGAAATATGTATAGCCGTTCGAGCACTGGTAGCTCAGAGAACGGTTGCCGACCGATAGTCTTAATTGTCTGACCAAACAATACCAGTTCCGTGAGTTTAGATAGTCCTACAAAAGCCCGATCGGGTATCGACTGGATATTACAGTCGCCGACACTTATTTGTTGGACATTCAGAAACTGGTTTAGTATGTCAAACAAGTTGCTTGAATCAAGTAGTGGACTATCCCATAGAACTACGGACATCACTTTATCTACTGTCCCACGAAATGCATTGGTATCTATATGTTTCAAACTACTGGCATCCCATATACTTATCCTCGAAAATGTCAGTCCCTGTAGGCAATCCTCGGGCAACTGTTCCAACGATGTACTATGCAATCCTAAATCCATAAACTGTTTGCCGCCCCAACTGTCCGTATAGTTGGCAGCTATTTGCTTGAATAGTGATTTAACATCTCGTATGTCGGCATCTGATTTACAATTGATGCCAAACGAGTCACACAAACAGGGAGCTACTACTTGAGCATCAGGACATTGGCCACAGTAGTGGACAGGTATGTTGTAAACTAATACAAATAAAGCTAAATCTATTTAAAAAATTTGTTAATTTTTAAAATATGTATTAATTATTTTACCATAACTTTACTAATAAATTTTTAGTAAAGTATAATATTTTTTTATGAAACTTACTTAATAAATATTTGAACATTTTTTTATATAAATGTTAATTAAAATTTTATATTATATTTTTGCTAAAAATAATCAATTTTTTTATTGTCTTATATACTAAATTTGTTTAAATCATCTATTTATACATATGATATATTACAGTAATTCAATGTAATTATAAATTAAATTTCACTAAAAACATTGAAAAAATACAAAAATATAAATAGAAAAATTTAAACCTAAATAAACAAAATTATTATGTACTAAATTGTTATATAAATTAAAATAAATAATAAAAGTTTTTACATGTATAACTTTTCTAATAGATTTTTTTTAATCAATTTATTTATCTATATTTGATATTATATATAATAAAATGTTTATTCAGCATGTTTAAATTTACTAATATTTTTGTATATAAAATTTATTTAATTATATAAAAATATATATTAATATCAATAAAATTATAATTATATTATTATTTGTAAAATATAAAATATAAAAAGTTTTTAACATTATTAAACAATTTTTTATGCATACAATAAATACTGTACTAATGAATAACAACTTAATAATAAATTATAATTAAAAAAAATAATAATTTATACATAATATTTGCAAAATGATATTATTTTTTTAATTAAAAAATTTAAAGTTATAAATATTGTATGATAATTATGCAAACAAGTATAGTATAATTTTTTAATTAGATTTACATTTAATTAAGAAATATAATTTTTTGAAAATATGGCGAAATATAAATTAAAATAAAATAAAAAAAATTAATTAAAATATTATAATAATAATAATAAAAAAGTATTTGTTGGTAAATATATTACATAATACATAATATATAATATTTAAAAAATCCTAATAATAAATCATAAATCAGCTAAAAAACAAACCGTTCAACAATGTTGACAAAATTATTGCAAACCTATATTATTATTGTCCATATTATACTACCTGGATGGTTTATTTATAAATCAATGGCCGAAAAGACAGTATTAAATGCCGATGCATTGGATATATTGAAAAATATTGGCCAACAATTATGTACGGATACACTAACTGCTAATCAAACATTAGTTGCTGACCAATGCCAGTATTGGATATCTACAAAGGTATTGTTTAGTTAGTTTTTATTTTAATAAAATTTTTTTTTTAAAAAACGAATAAATACAATAGAAAATAAATATATTTTTTTAATTTTATTTAAATTAAACTATTAGAAAATATTTGTTTAAGTAGTAACAAAAAATAAATTATTACAAATAATTATAATTAATTATAATATATATGTATGTACAGTAAAGTATATACATATCAATTGTTAACTATTTAGTTTCATATTTTTTTTATTATTATTTAACTATTCATATTATACTATTTTTTTATTTAAATAAAACTATTAGAAAATATTTGTTTAAGTACTAACAAAAAATTAATTATTACAAATAATTATAATTAATGTATAATATAAATGTATATATATAGAATATACATGTCAATTGTTAACAATTTATTTTAAAATTTTTATTATTATTATTATATAACTATTCATATTATAAAATTTTTAAAAATTTATTTAAAAATTAATTCAAAATTAATAATAATAATAATAATTAAAAGTTTATGAAAGCTTTCAAAACTTGTCTGGCAATAGTTAAGCAAACAAACAAAATAACTAAACCGTTTCCATGTTATTTCATACCAGATAGAAAAGATGCGGTACATAAAAATATTTATTATTTTTTATAAAAAATATATATTTAATTAATTAATATATATATAGACTTTTTTTTTAAAAAAAATAATAATTTAATTTAATATTAGTTTGGCACTTGTATGACAAAAAGTAAAGGCTTAGGCAAATATGTAGGCATTGATGGCGACTCCATAACTGCTGAAACATATAACAGTTATTCGGTATTAATTTATTTTATTTATTTTTTTATAATAAATTTTTGTTAAAATTTATTTTAACATTTTTGTTGTTGTTTTAATTATAGCATTTATATTTAATTAATAATAAATATTGTTTTTGTTTTTTTCTAGATATGCATGAAAAAACTTTTATAAATGTTATTATTATTATTATTTGTTGGTGTTAAGTTTATTACTATTTGAAACTATTATTAAAAAACTATTATATATATATAAATTATTATTAAAATTATATATCTAATAATCTGATAAAATTTTTAAAAATTTAAATAAATACATTATATTTAACATTGATTATTAGCTATTTTATATTAATAGAGATATTTATAATTTAAATATTTTTACATTATAATAATTAGGTTATAAGCATTAAATACAGTATTTATGTTTTTAAATATATGTATAGTGATGTTAATTAATTTTTTTTAGATAAAAAAATATATTTATTTTTATCAAATTAATTATAATAATATATCAAAATCAACTAAAAAAATAATTTTATTGTTTAAAATAAAATTAAAATAACAGTATTAATAATAATAATAATATTAATACACGTGTGAACTCATTATACTGAACTCAATGATACTGATAATTATGATGATATTACTGAACACACTGTAATTTTTCATAATTATATATATATATAAAGTAATTGTTATGCATATATAAAGTATAGTATATTTGCACAATAAATATAAGGATAGCATCTTTTATACTGTATATCCGTTACATACATACAGTACACATACAGTACACACACACACACACACACACACACACACACACACACACACACACACACACACACACACACACACACACACACACACACACACACACACATACACATACATACATACAATCAAAATATAAGTTAAATAAAATGCACACAAATTAAAAGGCATTTTATTATTACATTTTAAATACACGGCTATTATCTCACGATTTTATCTGATAATCAGTAGCTTCACATCAATAATTATGCGGATAATTATAAACATTTGAAAAAACAATTGAAGGACAGTTAGGCTTTAATTTGTGACAGTTTTTTGTTGTTGGATAGTTGTATGTTATGTTATATCATAACTATCACAACACATTGTATAACTTGTTTTGCTATATTTATGATATAATATGTGTTATTTATTTATTTTAATTTAACATTTCATTTTGTTGCTGAAAATATAGACTAAATATTGAATATTTTGTGTTAAACATATTGTTATTATTAATAAAAATGTATTAATAATTTTGTATTATTTGTTAAAATAGTGTAATGTTTTTTTTTATTTGATAATATTTTATTATTATTATAATTATATATAATAATTATAATAATAGTAATTTGAAATAAATGTGTAATATATATATATAAATAAAATGATTAATAGATTTATCCATATAAGTTCAAAATATAAATTATATTATTAAATATATTTTATTGTGTGGAAATAACATAGATATTTAATGCTAAATAAAGTAATATTATGTTTTTAAAATTGTTAAATTAGATAAAAAAAATATTTATTTATTTTTAAAAAATTGTTATATTTTTAGAAAAAATGTTATTTTATATTCAAATTACATACTATTTTGAAAACTATTTCATTGTGTTTTACAATAATGTAAGTTGATTATTAGTTTTTTAATATAATATTTATAGTTTTAAAATTTATTTAATTAAAATAACATTTAGTTATTTTTAAAATTTTTAAAAATAACTTATTAAAATGTATAATAATTTATTAATAATATATATATATATATACTATTATACTACTATTATATATATACTATATATTTATTTGTTTATTTTCTTAAAAATAGTTTTATATACAATATTTTTTAGAAAATTTTTAAATATATATATATATATATATTTATAAATTTATTTTATTATAATTGTATTTACAAATAAAATATAAATTAATTATTATTATTTATAACGTTGGTTATAACGTGGTAATTAAGGTCTAAAAAAATGTTTCAAGTGATTGATGTTACCGATAGTATTGATAAAAGTTTAGCAAAACGTTTGAGCAATTGGGAAAGGGAATGGGAGCTAAAGCCAACTAAGCACAAGACATTGGATATTATCCGATGGCTGGCACTCGCCCTATGCACCGGTGGTCTACTATACACTACATACCTGTTACTGGAACAGGCATTCAGCGGCCGTACAGTTGTCAACATTGACGTACGTCGGCTGGACTATGATGTAATACCGGCCGTTACTGTCTGCTATCCGTATGCACTGTCCATACAGGGTATGGCCGACCGTTACGATGAACTACAGGAGCTGTATGATAGCTATTCGGAGATAGTAAACGGTATTATCGACGGTGGTTGTAATGTCGATGACTATTACAATCAAGAGATTAAACAAAATTTAGAGAACTTGTATCATAAGTTTGAAGACTTTTTTAAGGCCCAAAATATTCCCGTTTATGAAATGTTTGACAACAACCTGACCCTACAGTTTCATACACAACATCAACAACAAGAAACTACTGATAGGAGAAAAGGATGTCAAACACAGGGACCGTTAGTCTACATAAAAGTCGAAGACATTTTCGGTTCCGTCACTGATGATGGCGATAATGACAACTATTTTATTACCGATACGGATCCAGTTGTATCGTTTGTTGCCTATCGTCAGCACAATTGGCTAAAATGTTATACATTTTACAGTCAACTATCAGCTAACAACAGTAGTCGATGGAGTAATTTGAAAATACATTTCCAATCAATGAAACTGGAAATCCGTCACAACGATTGGAACTACCCGGCCACTCTATGGGATGATAAGCCGTATAATGGTATATTTTTCAATATACACTCACCGGCTGATATGCCATTTGGCGGATCCTATAACAAGTTTAAGGTACTGCGCTCCGGCTACAAGTATCTGATGAGCTATCATACACTGCAGACACATCTACTGGAACCGCCCTATAAGACCCGGTGCCAGAACTACGACCGCAACAGTAGCGATGGCCAGCGGACATGGTCTGACTGTATGTATCAGTGTTTTGTTAGGCAAGTTGATGACCAGTGTCGACAACACCAGTCTAATCAGTCATCGGTCGATAGCGAAATGTGTCATAACTGTCTGCTACCGTCAAACATCTATCTGAGACAGTATGCAATGCAAGACAAACAGCGAAACTATACCCTATGCGATGAACAGTTAACAATGTTGACAAACAAAGAGCTACAAATGTGGACCAAACGTATGCTATTGGGCTGCGATCAGGTATGTCCGCAGGAATGTCACCAATGGAACTATATGTTCCAGATTGACCAGAAACTTGAGCTCACCCTAAACGATAGTAACATACAGCCGTCGACAATGTTGGGTAATAATAATAATAATAATAATATGTGGATAAAAAACTTGGAAATACATATCAAACACAATCAGATACCCGATCAGGTTATTACACACGTACCCGAAATGTCTACTGTATCGATGATCAGTAATTTTGGTGGTCTAATAGGTGTATGGCTTGGTTTGCATGCCTACAGTATTTCGTGTATGTTTTTGAAACTATGGTATTAATTGATGAAAATTTGTTGAATTAAAGCAACAACAAAATTAAATAAATATTTATTATTTTGTGTCAACAAATAAATATGATTATATGATAGTATACTAATTATTTAATTTTATAAATTACTTGAAAATATACCGTATAATTGTTATTTCGAAAAAAAATAATTTATAATATATAAAGTAAATTGACATAAAAAAATAAAATATAATATAAATAGTTTTAATAAAATGCAAACTTATATTTATATGATATCTATATATTTTTAAAATATTAATATTAGTATAATATTAATTTTATTTATGTCATTATACATCTATAATAATACTAATACTAATAATTTGTGTTTTTATAATAATAAATATTTAATTTGTCTATTATTTTTTTGCTAGCGTAATATTCTACTAACTTGTAAGATAATTTTTTTTTAAATTTAAATATTTATTTAGAAAATTTATTAATTATTATAATTACAGTAATAACAGTACTGTAATAACTATTTGCCAAATGTTTGCATAAATAGCATATAATTATTGACTGCCACTATCATATTGACCTGGCGGGTGGTTATCGGGAAAAAATTATAACAATAGATACCAATAATAGGTCCGCCCTTGAGTTTCTCGATAAACATCATAATTTTCAACCTGTCCTTTACAACACTAGTAGTAGTAGGTGTAGTAGTATTGCTGTTTCGGTGTCGGTTCAGATACGAGTACATCATATTCAGAGACTGATGAGCTGATCGTGTAATCCTAATGAATACCATCGATATCAGTAACGGTATGCTGGTTGCTATCAGTACCCATAGATTGCCAATCAGTCTGACCACAAATACCATATCGCTCCGTCCGGTAGTGTACAACATAAAGACAAATATGGATACACACGTATAAAACATAACCATACAGAATATACTGTAGTAACCGTTGATTGCTTGACACAGTCGGGTTAGATACTGGTGCTCGCGAATCGATTCAATCAAACCGTTACGATTGTCCTGTTTGTAGGCTAAACGGATTTTTTTGTTTACCTCCCGAAACTTCAGCAACAAATACATGAGCGTCAATGTAGTTATTACGTACAGATAGGCGCAATAGGGTATAAAATATCTTAGATATAGAGCAGTTAGCAGATTCCAGACTACCAGTTCCCATAGGTTTAGCAAAATACCGGTGCTATTACTACTACCATTACTACTAACGTAAATTAAGCCAGTGATACCCAAATGAGCCAATATACCGGATAGTATACCGAAAAATGGGAATAACCGTATAAAATATGTCATCAGACCGTTGAATACAAAATGATAGGCGGTTTGATTGACCGGTGCTAACGGATACTTCTGTAGACTATACTTAATACGGTATATGTATGACCAAAACCTATGACCATTGGCTGTAAATTCCTGATAGGTTAGATTAGTTTGCAATAGACCAATAACTAGCATACCGCTTATGTAGAGATTTGATAATAGTTGACGATTGTTAGTAAAATGTGTGAAATCACAGACCAGACCGAGTAGTCTAGGATTACCAGTCGATGAACTGACCATAAAACGCAATATCAATGTTAGGCCAATCAGTTTGGTTACTATTGATAGGATTAGCCGTTTTTTGTCCACTGATTGTCGACTTTGTTGATAATGTTGTTGCCGGTGATAATGATCATCGATAGTGGCAAATGTTGTTATATAGTTATTGCGTAAAAAATTTTCAAATTTCTCAAACAATTTCTGTGTATTACGTGTACGGATAATAATTTTCAAAACAATTACTTTAGTTAATTCATATAATATAGATTTAGTAGTTGTTTTATGTTGGCTGCCAGTAGTTTGCATTATTAATACAATAGTTTAGTATTTATTTTATTTTTTTTAGTTAAATATCACTGTTTACTAAATTTCTAAAAAAAAAATTAAAATGTTATTTAAATTATTTGTAACTAATATTAGATGATAAAATAGCATATATATATTAGAGTATCTGGTAAATAATAATATTAATAATAATAATAGTTATTATTATTATAAATATTTTCTAGAAATAAATTAGTAAAAATTATTTTTTTAATGGAAAAATTAATGAATAAATTTTTATTTTATAAATATACAGTATATGATAGTATATTATTATTATTAAGTGAAAGTTATTTTAATAAGTAAATTATAAAATAAGTTTTCTTATTATTAATATGTGTATTATAATATTACATATACTACTGTATATTTTATTTCATAATTAGTTTGACTATTTATAAAACATTTATAATATGACTATAAATCTTTAAAACTATTTAATAACTTAAATATAATTATATTATATATTGAATAATAAATATAAATTATATAATTGTATAAATATTATATAAATACAATGTAATTATATTTATAGTAATAAATAGATTTTGAATAAATTGACATAATTATAATAAAAATATCATTTAATAACATAATTATAATAAAAATATCAATTTATAACATATTATAATTATAAAGGTACACGCATTTTATAATATGCTAAATAATAAACAAAACAAAATAGAAATATTAAAATAATTTTTATATTTTTGTATATTTATGTATTAACAAATGATAATAAATTAATAAATCTAATTTAGAAAAAAATATTTATTTAATTCAAAATTAATTCAAAAATTAATTAACTAATCATAATAAATAAAATAAATTTTATGCTACAATTATATTTTTGTATTATTATACTTATATTTTACTAATTTGTAACCTATGATATCATAATTGAAGAATCAATCAAATAGAAGATTATCAAAATAATTATATTAAATATTTTAATCAAATATACATTTTGTATTTTCTATACATACAATTTTAGTTTAATTATATTAACTGATATTTAAATATATAATAAATTATAGAGTTTAAAAATAAATATAATCACTTTTTTGTAAACTAAATATCATATAAAAATACATTAAATTATAGTTTTATATTTTACCATAAAAAGGATATGCATTTTCCTAATTATAAAAAAAAACTACAAAAATCTAAAACTGTATAACAAATAAAAGCGGATATAAAAAAAACTAATAGATAATAATTTTATTTGTTTGTTAATGTACTGTACAGTAAATATATAATATATTGTAGCTATAATTTTATCTAAAATAATAATAATAATGAATCATTTTTAAAAAAAATTAAATCATGTTTTTAATTACACTATCATTATTACTATCATATCAATTAATTACTAGTATTAATGGTATAGAAAAATATTAATATTTTTTTATTTATTTTTTCAATAATAATATTCAATTAATTATTTTTAAAAAAAATTTTATTTGAAGGACAGACCAACAATTTGAACAATACATGTATAGCCGCTGAAACATGCGGCCAGTGTATCTCAATAGCCAACTCCCAGTGCTACTGGTGCGATGATCCCCAGTTCAATCATCCGTACAGGTGCAATGGCTATCGGCAACTGTTACGCGACTACAAGTGCTCGGAAAGTCATATCATTGGCCGAGAATTGAAAACCCGGGCCGAACCTGTGGCCAACCGGGCGTTTAGCAAAGAAATCGGTCAAATTGTACAGTTAAGGCCACAGCGCTATCGGGTGTCGCTCAGGGCCGGTGAACAACTGTCGATACCGATTCATTTTCAAAAAGCTGATGACTATCCAATGGATCTCTACTATCTGATTGACCTGTCCTGTACGATGCGACAGTTTTTGACCAATTTGGCCGAAGTCGGCCAACTTTTAGCCGATACTATCAAACGTAAGACCAAGGATTTTAAGATAGGTTTCGGTGCGTTTGTCGATAAACCGGTTAAACCTTTTGCCGCCCATAAGCTCGAGTACGATATGACATAACCTAAAATAAAACTGCTAATGATTTTTTAATGGTATATATGACTTTCCCTACCCTCCCGTCCCTCCCACTCCTATTACTACACAGAACAATACCGTGTTGTCTACCGAAAAACCCGAACGACTGTATTAACGGCGAACCAACCTATAGTTTCTCGCATCGGCTGACACTGGACTCCAATGAACGCGAGTTTGTTAGCCGTGTTCGTGGATCGCGATCGTCGGGTAATACCGATTCACCAGAGGGAACGTTAGATGCACTGATGCAGGCACTGGTATGCAAGCGTCAAATCGGTTGGAGGGATCAGTCGGATAAGATTATTGTTGTCGCCACCGATGAAGAGTTTCATTATGCCGGCGATGGAAAGGTATTATTTCGGCTATTAATTTAGTTAATTGTTTTAATACAATACAATAAAATACTGGTATATATAGTGTACACAACAATAGATACCTAAATAGACAAAATTTTTGATACTTTTTTTTAAATATAAGGTTATTCATTATTTATCTAGTTCAATTTTTTGTTTTATTACACACACACCCTCTATTTATTTAATTAAGTAAAGTTAAAGTTATATAATAAATAATATAATATAAATAATTTTTAACTATTAGTTTAAAAAAAATTATCAAACAATCCTATTATGAAAAAGTTTAATATTTTGTTGACATATTTTTCTAATTATTTCAAACTTTTACTAATAAAACTATTACAAATTATGCAATTTTCAGACTTTAAAGTTTTCCGATTAAATTAATCATTTTTATTTAATTTTTTAAATTTATTAAGTGATGTTTAGTTAGTTATTTAATATAAAGTAAATAGAAAATTATTATTATTACGGTACAATAGTTTATTATTTAAAAAAATATAATTTGTAATATAGATATTACTATAAGTAATTTATAATAATTTAGCTAAATTTATACAGTATTAAAAAGTTTATTAATAATAATAATAATAAGTGGTGTCAATACATATGTGTTCAAAATTATATTATTGAAACAATATTAATATGAGATACCAGTGCTTAACAATTGAATAGTTACAGTTTTATAAATAAATTATACTATTGATTATACCCCTATCTCTCTCCCCTTAATTATTTTTTTTGTGTTAATAGTTAGCCGGTATAGTGACGCCCAACGACGGCCAGTGCCATATGAAAGATAACAACTATACACACTATCATCTACTGGACTATCCATCCATGTATCAGATTGCCGAAAAAGTCAGGGAAAATAAGTTCAACATTGTTTTTACGGTTACCAACAAAGTTCAGCCAATCTATCGGACACTGGTCGACATTATCGGCTCCAATGCCCGATTGGATACACTACAGGATACAAACAGTCGGGCTATTGTTGAACTAATCGATAAAGTCTACAGCGATATCCGGTCGTCGGTCGAGCTCCGGGTTGAACCGTTTGTCTCGACTAATGTTATCGATGTTGAGCTACTGTCCAATTGTAATAAGGGTGCGCTCAGGCGTACAAATAATTGTACATTTCAGGGAATGCCGGCCATTACGTTCAGTGCACGAATCGGTTTGAAGGAGTGTCCGAAAGACCGATCCCAGTGGAACCAGAAGCTCAAAATAGGTATCCTATTGTGAATCAATTATTTTCATTTTATTATAATTAACTAATTTTTGTTTTTTTTTGTTGTATTTGTCTGCTATTGTCTACCAAATAAACAGGTTTGGCTAATGTTAACGAAAGTGTTGAAATTGATTTAGAAATGCTATGCGAATGCGATTGTGAACGACCTGATCATGCAGTCAGGGATTCACCCGAATGTAGTAATAAGGGAACGTTTGCTTGCGGTATATGTGTCGAGTGCTATGATAATCGTATTGGCAAACAATGCGACTGCGATCCCGGCCGACCAGTTAATCCCAGTGATCCCGAAGCCCAATGCAAACTAAATAGTAATAATAATAATAACTTTTAAGTTATTAAACCAATTATGTTGTAATTATTATTATTATTATTCTCATTTTAAGACATAACCAAATGCAGTGGACGTGGAGATTGTGAGTGTACCTGTCAGTGCTTACCCGGCTTTTCTGGCGACTACTGTCAATACGATGAGACCAACTGTTTGCCGATTAACGGCCGGACAACACGTGGCGGCGGCGGCAGTTTATGTAGTGGTCAGGGAAAGTGTTTGAAAGGCCATTGCGACTGCAAACCGGGCTTTAATGGTACCTATTGTGAGTGTCCTACTGATGATAATGAATGTAAACCACTAACCGATCAAAAGGATAAGCAGATTAAGGTGTGTGTGTGTTGAATGTTTAATGATTATTATACTGTAATTAGATATCATAATTCTTACACCCTATCACCCACCCATCCCCCACTCGGAACAGTTATGTTCGGGTGAAGGCGAATGCCGGTGCAATAAATGCCAGTGCAATAACAGTTCACTGACCGGCCGATACTGTCATCTGTGTCCGCGTTGCGAAAGTCAACAGTACTGCGATCTGATAGCCCGCTGCGTACCACAAGTATGTCAACTGTATGGCTATAATTGTACGGAAAGTTGTCAGGGATTTACTTGGGATATGGTTGTTGGCGGCAATACTAATCAATTGACGACTACTGAAACCAATGGAGCTGCTGCTGGTGCTGATGGTAGTGACGATGATGATAGGATATACAGTTTTAAATACCAGTGTCGTAACCGTAGCTCAGATAACCAGTGCGATCTGTCGTTCAGTTACGAGAGACGGGCGGATGATCTGAACAATAATCTCCGTTTTCTCATAACAAATGTCGATAAAAATTGTATCGAAAAAGTCAATCTGGTTGTTGTGTCCAGTGGTGTCGTAGCCGGTGTTATACTTGTAGGACTGGCCCTACTGTTGATCTGGAAGCTGATCACTGAACTATGGGATCGCAAAGAGTTTGCCCGTTTCCAGAAGGAGCTGAGCAAAACCAAATGGGGACAGGTATGCTAAAAAAATAGACTGACTTTTTTTAGTTGGTGTGTTGAACTTCAATGACTTTACAATAATTTGTTTGTTTGGTTTTGGCTAACAGTCCGATAATCCTCTGTATAAAGAAGTGAAACAAACCTATCAAAACCCGATGTTTGGTTTAAGGGAGAGATCAATGAAACGATTGTCCCGTTTGACTGAACGAATTTCCCGACGATTTGATATCAATACATAAGAAATTGAAATTATAATAATAATAATACTTATATTTATTTAATTTAATCATTTTGTTGTTGTAATTTTTAGTTATTATGAAAAAATATTGGAAATATTAATATTAAAGTAAAAAAATAAAATGTTACAACTAGAAAATTTTAATGCATTGTAATTTTTATTGGGAAAAAAATAATTTTAATTTATTAGGATTTTTGTTTTCTAATTATCTAATTACTAATTTTATAAATTGCAAGATTACCGGTAAATAATTATAAGATTTTATTGTTTTTAAATTATAATTTTAGTTGATTATTATTAATTAATTTTTTTAATAATTATTTTTTAGGTATAATAATAATACGGCAACCCTTTTAACATAATATCCATAATATTAATACAGTATTATATTGAATAATCTGTAGACACCTATTCTAGAGAACCGGGAGGTTTGGGATCAAATCTTTTAGGATTAGTAGTAGAACTAGTACTCGACGGACGACTATTGACCAATGGAGAGGTTTGTGTACCGAAGTGCGACCGTTTTACATAGTAATGATCATCGGGCGAGTAGGCCGGCGGCGGTGACCACTGGCGGCCGACGCCGCCGATAGCATTGCGCATATAATAACCAGTCTTTTTGTTTGCAAACGGAAATACCTTATCGCTAATGATTTCCGGATACAGTCTATAATTATTGTTGTTGTTGTAGTCCTCTTCATCGTTATTATTATTATTACTGTTAATTGATGGCTCAGGTGTTGGTATGCGAATCGGTAGCACTGGGCTATCTGGCCGGGACCTAGAAAGCCTAACAGGAGCTGGACGTGATTGTTGTTGCTTAGTTAGTAGCTGACGAAACTATACAAAAAAATATTTAATAATTAATTAATTAAATATATTTTTTTCAAAAATCATTTATCATTTGTTTTTATATTTTATGAATACAAACAGCTTTTTGTTTTTTCCGATAATATCTAATAGTAATAACAATAATAAGTAATCCCAGTATCATTAGTGGATAATAACAATAGCCAAAAATTAGTAGAGGGTATAGACCCAGTGGAAATGTATATTCTAATATACCCAGATCATAATCCTGGAAAATAAATAAAGTGATTAAATGTAAATAATTAAAATATCAATATTAATTCATTTTTTTGTATCAAAAAAATAATACTATAGAATTTATCAAATGTATAATCAGTAATATTTTTGGCAATTAGACAATCATATACACTATTTACAAATATACTGTATATTGTATTTAAAAAAAAACTTATAATATTATATATTAGTAACTGATGATAGACTGATTGAAATAATAAACATACATATTATATTAAAAAATAATAATAAAATTTGTTAAATAGCAATAATATATATATGTATGTATATAAAATGTTTGTTTTTGTATAACTTATTTAAATTGTAAATATGTAAATATATAAATATTAAATTAAATGCATTTTCATCTACCGGTTCAATCCATGCAAACGGCAATACCGACTCTCCCAGATCCCCGAAACCACTAATTTATAAGTTGATAATAATAATTAAATATTATTAATAATAATATATAGTTACAACAATAACAACAAATTAAAAATCATATTACATACTAATTTAGTTTATTAAAAAATAACTTTAACAAAAAATTAAAAATTACAATTGAAAACATACATTAATTGAGATAACGGTTCCACAAGCAGATTCACCTGCAACCTGACCCTGGCATCGACAGGCATACCTATAGTCTAATAATTGATAATGTAATACAATATAATCATAATAAAATTAAAGTATTATATGCTTAACAAACACACACATATATATAATACTTACCGGATGTATATCTAGATAAGTCCGGTGCTTATCATAAACGGGTGTCAATCCGCGCACACTTTGCTGAATGATTGGGTCGGCATTGAGAAAATGCGGTTGTGTTATAGCTATCGGCGAAAAGGTACAGGCGCTCAACGATACGAGACCATTGCACAGTCGTGTATTGTCCGATGTCATACACAGACAGTGATCGTTACGTTTGCCGGCTTTGGGAGCCGACATTAGCTGCGGGTGCGGTACAAATCGCCACATCGGAGTCATCCACGACAGTGCCCAGCTCTGGTATTTGGCGTATCGTATGCTAGAAATAAATATATATATATATTAATTATTATATAATATTACACTAAATGATAGTATTGTATGTAATTTTTTTTTAAAAAAATGTTTATTGGGGGAGAGGGTGGGTAAATACCTGCAAACATTGCCATCAAAAATAAAAATCTTATCCGATTTGGTGGCTCCGGGACCAAATGAGTGGCCATTACCGAAGTCATCTATGGTGTATGACGTATCCCGTATGACAGGTATGGCACTCAATATTTTACAATCGGGATGCATAAAATATTTTATAAATCTTATGCCAACCCTATTTAATAAATAATAATTAATTATTTTGTAAAAAATTTAATAATAAAATTGAATATATAGATACAGGTATACAAATATATACTGTACTACTAAACATGCATTACAAACAATTATATACAGTGTAGAGTAATATTAATATAGATAAACATTGTAATTCAATACTACTAAAAAACAATTATTAACATACATAAACATATAAATAAACTTTTAAATAGGTACTAGGTAACTTTTATTTATTACTACTAGTACAGTGTACATACTGCCAGGCCATTTCGATAAAGGCATACTGATGGCGCCACGATTTGATTGACGGCATACCAATGAGTGTACCGTGTTGGCCAGTTTCTACTTCCAATGGCCGAAGCCATGTATTGTTAATCATATGAAACAAACCGATTTTGTTGTCCAATTTTTCGTAGATTTCGGGTAATTCGAAACCAAACCATCGCAACGGTTTCACAAATATATCCAACGTTTCCAATACACTAAACGGATAGCCAGTAAACACTTGGCCAACAGTTATGTTTTTCATTAGACCTTCGCCGTGGGTTAATGTTATCAGATTGAGTGCACCGACTGCTACGGGCACCGACAGTGTGGACATTGGAAAACGGTCCAGATAGTTTTTGACTACAGCACCCGCTATCTATTTATTGATATATACAGTAAGTTATATAACTATGGAACATGAGCTCTACAATATATATATATATAATTTATCTAATATAATTGAATAATATTACATACATAAACAGGTAGGTTAATAATTGTAATGTTATCGGATAAGCTACCGATGCTCCGGTCGGGTTCGTAGTTGTATTGAGTTTTAGCAGCAAATATTACCGTTTCCTCATTGGGACCCCAGTCGTCAATTTTAACTTCTGTTCTTATACTATATAAATATAAAGTATAGAAAAAACAGTTTAATATAATTATTGAAAAAAATTAAATAAATTTAATGTAAGTTTTTTGTTGTTGCGTATATCTACAGTACTATTTAACACTTATTGTTTAATATATAAATATAAAATTTATACAATTATTGTAATTAAAATGTGCTATATTATTATAATATAATATAAACATAGACTCTATGTTTGGGTAAATGTACTTTATAAATGTACCTGTATTAATATATTGCAAATTAATAATAAGTTTCAATAAACTATATATACTATTATTTAATATTTAACATGTTTTAATAATTTTTTCTAAAAAAATATACATACAAAATATCATTCATAATATTGTTAAAAATTATATTTATTGTTTATTGTTTAGTGAATTTATTGATAATTATGATGATTAGATCAATTATTTATGAGTATAGACTGTCATTGAAAATAGTTGTATATTAGGCCGTATTGGTTGTAGAGAGCACTGGTATGTTAAGCTCATGTCTACTCACATTTAAAAGCGTAATAATCTTTCGCCTTTTACTAAAGATTACCGTGTAGAGTAGATAAAATTTAATGAGCATTAGCTAATAAATTTTTGCACAGGGCCTGCCCACCCAATTGGGAGGTGTGGGCCCAATAAACAATACCAAAAATAGATGCATAATAAATATATTCATAGAAAATTTATTACTTCATCAACAAAAAGTAGTATATATTATATATATAATTTTTCTACTCTCTCTCTCTCTCTCTCTCTCTCTCTCTCTCTCTCTCTTTATGTATATTTATTGTAAATTTATAATATATTAATTTTATCTATACATTTAAAATTTTATATACTGCATGTATACTATACATTGTATAGTATGTATCTAAATCTATTTGAATTAATTTAACTTTAAAAAATACAATATCCTATCGATAAATATATATAATTTACATGTATAATACATATGTATTGTATTATATAAATTGATATAAAAATTTATTAAATAATACTTAATATAAACACAAAATCATTTACAAACAAAAAATTAATACAGTTTATTATACGATTGCTTTTATAGCTATTTATTATTTGATGAAACTATCGTATAATAAATTGTATTAATTTTTTGTTTGTTGTAAATGATTATGTGCTTATATTAATAATTTTAAAAAATGATTCACACCACCTACCGATAGACATACGGTCCCAATTCCCGGAGCTTAGGTTTAGCACCCTGACTAAACTGTCGGGGATTGTCAATAGTAAATATATAGAACTTGATATATACGCCAACAAACTCAGGTATACGACCGCCTGACCACTCTATACCATATCTGACTGGACTGAAACCTTTACTAATGTACAGTTGACTTTTGACTATGGTTTTCACTGTCCAGGTAAGACCCCATTCCATGAACGCACCGATCGAAAACATGTAGACACCTATTATCAAAAAGATGACTGTCCATTTTTTCACATTTTTACGTTCAATTTGAGCCGAATTGACTAATGGCATCTCTAAAATTAAATACTTTAAAAATAATTGATTAAATAATAAATAAAAATGTTATGACAAATTAAAATAAAATATTTTTAAAAAATAATTTTTATACCTGTTTTTAGTTACTTTTAAATTTTTAAAAAATTATTAATAAATTATCAATTAATTTAATTGTTTAATATTTACAGTAATATTTGTTACAATTAATATCTATTTATGAAATTTAATTAAACACTAGATATTTTGTGATATTTATTAATTAAGATTATACTATAGTAATTGCATCTCTAATTGAGTATTGAATTCAATATAATTGAATTAATAGATAATTTTTATTGTTATAAGATTAGTAAATTAATTAATATTTTTAAATATAAAAAATATGATTACCTTTTAGTTGGTTAGTTTTTTTAAAAAAAGTAAAATAAACTAATAATTAATTTAAATATTAAATATTTAGTTTGATTTATTTTGAAGTTGTTTTATAATTTATTCAACACTACAATTTTTTGACATTAATTATTTTGAAATTATAATAATTAATTAGATATAAAATAAATTATGTTTTAAATAATAAAAAAAGTCATTTAATTGAAATATATTTTCTACTTTCAATCAATATGCTATTAATAATAACACACATATCAATGTGCAATTTATCAATGTGCTAGTATATATATATATTTTTAAATATGAAAAAAATTTGTTTTCATTAATACATAAATATTTAATTTAAAAATAACGTGATATTTACAGTAAATATATTAAAGAATATTCTTGTATTTAATCAAGGTTAATTTCTATTTTAATATCTATAATATCACCATAATTGACACAAACATATAAAAAAAAGTTTAACAATATATCTTTAATAATAATAATAAAGTACTTTATTATATTAAATACTCAGTAGACACCTATTCTAGAGAACCGGGAGGTTTTGGATCAAATCTTTTAGGATTAGTAGTAGAACTAGTACTCGACGGACGACTATTGACCAATGGGGAGGTTTGTGTACCAAAATGTGATCGTTTTACATAGTAATGGTCATCGGGCGAGTAGGCCGGCGGCGGTGACCACTGGCGGCCGACGCCGTCGATAGCATTGCGCATATAATAACCACTCTTTTTGTTTGCAAACGGAAATACCTTATCGCTAATGATTTCCGGATACAGTCTATAATTATTATTGTTGTTGTCGTCATCATCATCATCGTCGACATCGTTATTATTGTTATTATTACTATCAATTGATGGCTCAGGTGTTGTCGGTGTTGGTGGTGGTATGCGAACCGGTAGCACTGGGCTAACTGGCCGTGGTGAAAGCCTAACAGGAGCTGGCCGTGATTGTTTAGGTGGTTGCTGACGAAACTATACAAAATATTTAATAATCATATTAGTTTAATATATACAGTATATATATATATATATATATAAATATATTTCAATTTAAAAAAAATTATGGATACAAACAGATTTTTGTTTTTTCCGATAATATCTGATAGTAATTATAATAATAAGTAATCCCAGTATCATTAGTGGATAATAACAATAGCCAATAATCAGTAGAGGGTATAGGCCCATTGGAAAGGTATATTCTAATATACCCAGATCATAATCCTGGAAAATAAACAGTGGTAAAAAATTTATTATAAATTTAGTTAACTAATATATTAATATTAAACTTTTTTTATCATCTGAATAAAATAATTGTGTTTATCAAATGTATGTGTACTGTATTATTAATAATTTTTTTAAAATTAAATAAACTGTATTAAAAAACTATATTTATATTAAATTAAATGCATTTTCATTTACCGGTTCAATCCATATAAACGGCAATACCGACTCTCCCAGATCCTCGAAACCACTAATTATTTAATATATTAAATACAATGAAAAAAGTATTTAGATAATTGATTAAAACTTACATTACAATATTTGATATTATTACAATAATAATAATAATAAAATTTAAATTAATTAGTTGAGGACATACATTAATTGAGATAACGGTTCCACAAGAAGATTTATTTGCACCCTGGCCTTAACGTTAATAGGCATGCCTATAGTCTAGTAGTAGTAGTAGTAGTAGTAGTAGTAGTAGTAGTAGTAGTAGTAGTAGTAGTAGTAGTAGTAGTAGTAGTAGTAGTAGTAGTAGTAGTAGTAGTAGTAGTAGTAGTAGTAGTAGTAGTAGTAGTAGTAGTAGTAGTAGTAGTAGTAGTAGTAGTAGTAGTAGTAGTAGTAGTAGTAGTAGTAGTAGTAGTAGTAGTAGTAGTAGTAGTAGTAGTAGTAGTAGTAGTAGTAGTAGTAGTAGTAGTAGTAGTAGTAGTAGTAGTAGTAGTAGTAGTAGTAGTAGTAGTAGTAGTAGTAGTAGTAGTAGTAGTAGTAGTAGTAGTAGTAGTAGTAGTAGTAGTAGTAGTAGTTATACCGGTAATAAAATCATAAAATAAAACATTATTACTTTGATATATAGTAGTAGACAAACAAACATAAAGTACATACAGGATGTATATCTAGAAACGTTTGGTGCTTATCGTAAACCGGTTTCAATCCGCGCACACTTTGCTGAATGATTGGGTCGGCATTGAGAAAATGCGGTTGAGTTATGGCTATCGGCGAAAAAGTACAGGCGCTCAACGATATGAGACCATTGCACAGTCGTGTGTTGTCCGATGTCATACACAGACAATGGTCGTTACGGGTGCCGGCTTTGGGCGCCGCCATTAGTTTCGGGTGCGGTACAAATCGCCACATCGGTGTCATCCACGACAGTGCCCAGCTCTGGTATTTGGCGTATCTTATGCTAGAAAAATATATATACATTAAAAATTTATTATATTAAACTTTACTATAAAATTAATATAAATACGGGAATATTGTTTTTGGGGGGGGAGAGGGAGGGTAAATACCTGCAAACATTGCCTTCAAAAATAAAAACCTTATCCGATTTGGTGGCTCCGGGACCAAACGAATGGCCATCCACTGGTATGCCGTTTATGGCACTCAATATTTTACAATCGGGATGCATAAAATACTTTATGAATCTGATACCAACCCTTTGTAAAAAAAAATAATTAAACTATTGATCTATATTTAATTCTTTAAAAATATATATTAAAAAAATAATTGAAATGAAATATTTTTAATTTAATTATATTACAGTATAGTACTATAAAATGCATTTACAAACACAAACATAAACACAGTTATAATTATATTGTAGATTTAATAGTGTGTTTACTTCATAATTTAGTATGAACAACTATAAATATACAAATAGATACTAGGTAATTTTAATCCTATACAAATACATACACACACATACACATACACATACACATACATACATATACACACATATATACAGACACATATGCACACACATATACAGACACACATACAGACACATATAAATATGCAACACATAAAACTATCTATAGGACATAGGGTTGTCGTCTATTAGTATACATACTGCCAGGCCATTTCGATAAAGGTATACTGATGGCGCCACGATTTGATTGACGGTAATCCAATGAGTGTACCGTGTTGGCCAGTCTCTATCTCCAATGACCGGAGCCATGTATTGTTAATCATATGAAACAAACCGATTTTGTTGTCCAATTTTTCGTAGATTTCGGGTAACTCAAAACCAAACCATCGCAACGGTTTCACAAATATATCCAACGTTTCCAATACACTAAACGGATAGCCAGTAAACACTTGGCCAACAGTTATGTTTTTCATTAGACCTTCGCCGTGGGTTAATGTTATCAGATTGAGTGCACCGACTGCTACGGGCACCGACAGTGTGGACATTGGAAAACGGTCCAGATAGTTTTTGACTACAGCACCCACTATCTAATATTATTAATATATAAGATAAAAAAAATATTTAATACTACATGAGCTGTGTACAGTTTATACTATGATACTACTACTATACAGTATATAAATTGTATAATAATTTTCCTATTAATAATACATACATAAACAGGTAGGTTAATAATGGTGATGTTGTCCGATAAGCTACCGATGCTTCGGTCGGGTTCGAAGTTGTATTGAGTTTTAGCCGAAAAAATTACCGTTTCCTCATTGGGACCCCAGTCGTCGATTTTAACCTCTGCTCTAATACTGTATATAAATATATATATAATCTACACATGTATTCAGTATATAAACAATTTACTTTAATATATTACTTAATATTACACAAACTTGATTACACGTTGTTTAATTATAGGAAATTTTAAACTAATTTAAAATATAAACTATGTTTACTAAGATATTGTTTATTGAATTTATTTAATAATTATATTATTATTAGATTTAATTATTAATTAGTACTTTAATTAGACTGTAATTGAAAATAGTTGTATATTATTATTAAAGTCGTATAGTTTGTAGAAAAACAGTGTTATGTTGAGCTTATGTAGCCTTTTATGTAAACATTATCGTTTAGACAAATTTTTTAATGAGTATTTGCTAATAATTTTTTGTTGCACAGGGTCTGCCCACCAATTAGGGAGGTGAATGTGTGGGCCCCAAATATACAATAGCAAAAAAATGGATGCATAATAATTATATACAACTAAAAATTTTATTACTAACTAACTATCTCTGTGTTTGATTATATATATATATATGTCTGGTATGTATTGATATGCAATGTGTTTAATATACAAAAGATAATAAAATTAATAATTATAATACCGATAGACATAGGGTCCCAACTCCCGGAGCTTAGGTCTAGCGCCTTGACTAAACTGTCGGGGATTGTCAATAGTAAATATATAGAACTTGATATACACGCCAACAAACTCAGGTATACGACCACCTGACCACTCGATGGCATATCTGACAGGACTGAAACCTTTACTAATGTACAGTTGACTTTTGATTATGGTTTTCATTGTCCAGGGAAAGCCCCATTCCATGAACGCACCGATCGAAAACATGTAGACACCTATTATCAAAAAGATGACTGTCCATTTTTTCACATTTTTACGCTCAATTTGAGCCGAATTGACTAATGGCATCTCTAAAATTAAATACTTTAAAAATAATTAATTAGTTAATAGATAAGATATTTATGACAAATTAAAATAAAATAGATTTTTAAATAAATAAATGTATACCTGTTTTTAGTTACTTTTAAATTTATAAAAAAAATTATTAATCAATTATCAATTAATTTAATTGTTTAATATTTACAGTAATTTTTGTTACAATTAATATCTATTTATGAAATTTAATTAAACACTAGATATTTTGTGATATATATTAATTAAGATTATACTGTATTAATTAATTAAGTATAATAAATTATTTTTTTTGTTGATAGCATGAAAACATTTCTACAATAATATATTGTATAAATTAATTACAATAAAAACTAGTCATTAATTATAAATATATTTTCTACTATCAATCATATAACTATATAATACATTAAATATTGTATATTAATTAATACATATGATATATTTATGCTAATATATTTTTGGTACACTACAAAACTATTGTGTAATTTTATTATATTATTTTTTTATATATATCAATAAAATATAGTTTACTTAAACTTAAAGTTTTCATTTTTAATAAATAAATACATACATTTATATTTAATTTAAAAATAACGTGATATTTACAGTAAAAATATAATAAAGAATATTCTTGTATTTATTCAAGGTTAATTCCTATTTTAAATGTCAACATTTAGAAAATTATTACAGTATTTACTTTTATAAATAAATATAAGATTAAACTTTTTAAAAAAATTAATTATTATAAAATAATATATGTAATATTTTTGTATATAGATGGCAATGGCTAATTTACTTTTACATACAGTTTTAATACTGTATTATTATTACAAATAATAATTATTTGTAAATTATTTAAAATTTAAGTACGATATCTATTGATCAAAATTGTTATCATTATAAGTCACACAAAATATAACTGTATATTATATATATATATATATTATGCTGTATAATCTTTATAAATTTAAATAATTTTTTTTTTAAATATTGAATTTTAATAATTTTAAAAATTTATAATAAAAACAAAAAATAATATGTATATGTCAAATGTTATAAATATAATATTGAAAATTAAATACGATATACTAGTATATTATTAATAAAAAAAATTAAGTTAAACAATAGTTAATAGTTTTATAAACAGTTATATTTATTTATCGATAGTATTATTTTTAATTACATATTTTATTTATTTTACAAGCATTTAGTGTATTGTGAATAAATATTTATATAATATCTTTAATTAATTCATAAATAGATAATTTATTAAATAAGTACATAATAATTATTATAAAGTTTAGTAAAATTTTTATATGAAGTAATTTAATATTATTAAAACATAAATAATTATATAAATACAGTAACTGTATATAAATTTTTATATATATCCTTATAATTATAATTAATAAAAAACTTATGAAAATATTGTTTTAAATTATAATATAAGATTAATATATAAATAAGTTATTTTTATTTATAATATGATAATAAAACAATACATTAACTGTATTACTCTACTGTTACTTAATTACTGTATTGAACCGGGAGGTGACTGAACTTCCCGTTTTCGGTCAGCACTGGTCAATCGGCGGCCCACATTCAGCGGCGATGTTTGTGTACCAAAATGGGCCCGTTTTACATAATATTTTTCACTGGGAGACGAATAGGCCGGCGGTCGCGACCACTGGTCAGCTGATACCGCATCGGTATCGTCGGTAATTTTAGCCGATTTTTCACTACTAAATGGTAACACCTTATCGCTGATTGTGGTGATCGGATATATGTTATTATTATTATTAATATTATTGTTATTGTCAATATTACGGACATTAGAGTTGATTAGCTCAGGGCTACGCTGGACAGGCCTAACGGGTTGTGGTGGTGCTGATGGTGAGGAAAGCTAATGATAAGTTATTAATTTTAAATATTAATTATTATTAAATATTATGGTCTTTAACTGTCTATATATATATACGGTATATATTTGCTTACAATGTTACGCTTGTTGTGGGCGTATAGACGGGCCAATACAATTAATGCCAGTCCCATAAACATTATGCCAAACGCACCATAGTCTAGCGCCATAAGCGGATATAAGCCCAGTGCCGGCAAATAGGCCATTACACCATCAAAATGAATCTCCTGTTTTTTTTAAATTAAACAAATAATATTATATTTGGTATAAAAACATATATTTTGTTTGATATTTTAATACCGGTTCAAACCAGAGGAACGGTAGTATAGCTTCGCTTAGATCACCGAAACCGCTGATTGAATATATATATATATCAATTGATAAATAGATAGTTAGAATAACAACACATAGTTTTTAAAAAATTATTAAAAATATATCAATAATAATAAATACATACACTAATTGAGATAACGGTTCAATAAGCAGATTAACTTGCAGTCTGACCATTGCGTTGATAGGTAGTCCAAGTGTCTAGTCATTCATTGACACCCACCCCACCCCCACACAAAAAATCACAAATACACAATTAAATACTTAAATTGATAATAATTATAAAAAATTGTATACCGGATGTACATCCAGATAGGGCTGGTGTTTGTCGGCAATCGGTTCCAATCCAAAGACGGTTTGTCTGATTTTGTGGGATGCATGCAAAAAGTGCGGATAGGTCAGGGATATGGGTGCGCCAAACGTACATGGTCCCAAATCGACCATACCCTGGCACAGTTCAGGATTGTAGGGTGTAGTGCACAGACATTTGTTGTTACGATTTTTTTCGGGTGCCGACATCATGTCCCGGGGCATTATGAAACGCCACACTGGTACGTATCGGGATAGGGCGTAGCTCAGGTATTTGGCGTATTTTATGCTTTCAAATATTATGCATTTTAATTAATTATTTTTATTAAATATATATATATATATACTGTAATTATATAAACAGTTAGATGATACAAAAAAATAAGTACAGTACATGTATGAAATACTCTGTAGTATACAATGTGGACATACCTACAAATGTTGCCTTCAAATGCATAGATTTTATCTGATTTATCAGCACCGGGACCAAATGTATGACCGGGTATGGACAGGCCGTTCATTGCTTGAAATATACGACAATTGGGATCGTTGAAAAATTTAATCAACCTTGATAATAATAATAATTTTTAAAAAAAAATCATAATCATTATTATTATTATTTTCAAATATTATAATTGCAATATTACTTAAAACTAAAATCAATGACAACATTTTGGGACATCGACCTAAAGGCCGGCCTAAATATGCTGGTGTCGTGTAATCCAGTTTCCACTTCAATGGGTTCAATAACAGTATTGTTAACCACATGAAACAGACCAAACTTTTGATCTAATTTATAGTAGATATCTGGCAACTGTATGCCAAACCATTTCAATGGTTGGGCGAAAACATCTAACGTTTCCAATAGACTAAACGGATAGCCTTCGAACAGCTGGCGCACAGTTATCCGTTTGATTAGTCCCTCATTATGTGTTAGTGTTATAAAATTCAGTGCACCGACAGCTACCGGTACCGATAGGGTAGACATTGGGAAACGGCGCAAAAAATTTCGTACAATAGCTCCCATAACCTTAAAAATGGGGGGGCGGAGGGTGGGGTAGGGATGATTAATTAATTAATATTTTTTGAAAATTTACATTAATAATCTATCTATTTATATATTTTTAAAAAATAGTTATGTTCACTAATCAATTGGGGGGAGGGGAGGAAAAAATATTTAATACATACATAGATAGGTAGGTTCACGATTGTTATGGTATCGTTGGGACTGCCGACACTCAGCTCAGGTACATAATTAAATTGTGATCGCAACGATAGGAATACTGTTTCATCATTGGGACCCCAGTCCATTATTTTGATCTGTCCTCTTAACCTAATAATAATAATAATTTACTAATTTGTATAAAATAAAAATCATATACAGGATAATTCATATACTGTGCATATATAAGTATCATATTTTTTATTAATAAATTATAATAATATTTTTGTAATATTTTATTTTCATCTATGCTATTTAAAATTTATGTTTATTTATTCTAATTAATAATTTAAAAAAAAAAATAAATTAATAGACTAAATAATAATCTATTAATGTATTAAAAATATAATCAATAAAAAAACATAAATTTAAGTTAACTGTACATAAAGTTTACTGCATAAAGCTATAATTACTGTATAAATATACACATAATATAAATAATATGACTAAAAAGCAAATAAAAAACTTACCGATAGACATAGGGACCCATCTCCCTGAGCCTGGCCCGGGCACCGGCACTAAACTCCCGTGGATTTTGTATACTAAATATACAAAACTTGATGTACACACCGATATGTTCGGGCAGTTGTCCATTGCTAAACTCGAGCGCATATCTAATCGGACTGAAACCTTTGCTGATATACATCTGACTTTTGATGACTGTCCTCACTAGCCATGGCATACCTAATCCAAGCAATAGGCCAACAATGGTCAACAATAGTCCCAGTACTGTTACTATGCGGACACGATTGCGTACCCGTTTTCTATCCCGTTCAGCTACCGTTACCAATGCCATAGCTTTGTTGTTGTTGTTGATGATGATGATTAATTAAATTATTATTTTAATTTTGTTTTTTTTAATCATTGAGTTTAAAGTTATTTATGTAAATATTTTTTGTTCACTGTTAGTAGTAGTAGTAGTAGTAGTAGTATTTATTTATAACATAATTTTAATAAATTATTAATAATTTATCAATATTAATTGAATCGATCAGATCAAATATTTATAGTAATAAATATATATTAAATAAAAATTGCAATATAAATATTTTTTGATGGTTATAGTATTAATATAAATAATTTTTAAAATAAAATACATATAAAATTTAAATGATCAATAAATATTTCTACTACTGTACTATAAATATATTTCAACATAAATATATTTTTATATTATATCATTAAAAAATTATGTTTAAATAAATATTGTCTTAATGTTAATAATAATAATAATTTTATTTAATGATTTTATATATTGTATATTCCCACGCTTTATATATATATATATATAATTTATAGTTTACTTTATAAAGTATATATATTTATTTATAATCTATTATTTTTCATTATAATTTCTTACAATAAATTATTTAAATGAATGTCAAGGTTATTATCATTATTAATGTTGTCTATAATAATATATAAAATATTATTTAATATAATAATATTATAAGAAAATTAATTTTAATATAATTTATTTTTAAGATACTTAAAAAATGATTATTTTGTATAGTCTATTTAATTTTAATAATTTTTAAAACATTATTTATGATTGAAATTTCAGTTAATTTAAATAAATACTATAATTTCAATAATTAAATAATTATTTTTAATAAATCAATAAATGTATTAAATGTGTAAACAGCATATAATTTATTATTATTAAATAATTTATAATAATAAATAAATAAACATAAATCGATTTTTTAATGATATTAAAAAAATTAAACAATAATTTTTTTATTGTTAGTAATTAACAAATATGAAGTTTATTATGTTTAATTTAGATTTACTAAAATACAAATTATTGTAATAACAAATTTTCATTTTTTCATTTCACATAATTTTATAATTATTTTTTCATGATTAATGTTAAATTACGTAAAAAATTATATTATAGTGTTAAAAAATAGATATTGTTTAGCAACTAAATACAATTTATCAATTCAATTTACAGTATATACAACCTATATATATATATATTTATATGATGTATAAGCTATCGTCAAATTTTAAGCACAGTTTGCACTGTATATTAATGTTGTCGACATTAATTAGGTATGAATTGTTGTCATACTATTCAAATCCCGACACTAATAACAAATCAGTCAGTGATTTGTTTGCCGATTATAACCATTGAATAGCATTGGCTATATATTTGTATAATCTATTAGATCTACTGTCACTGCCTATGAATTTATTTAGTATTATTGGACTACTTTTGTACAATGCTTTCAAAGATGATATTAAGATTAAAAAATTGAAATCAATTGAGAAAAAGATACCATTTCTATGCATACGTGTTGTCACGCGTGGAGATTATCCACAATTGGTCCGCAAGAATGTCGATCGCAATATGAAAACATGTTTATCGTCAGGTCTTAGAGATTTTATTATCGAAGTGGTCACCGATCGGGCCATTGGTATCAAAACGAGTACAAAAATACGTGAATTGGTTGTACCCGAAGGAATTTATAAAAATTAATAATATTAGTTAATAATAAATAAGTATTTAAAAAATTATAATTTTTAATTCACTATTTAATTCAATTTACTAGAATAAGGAATAGAAAAAATAAACTATTTACTATAAGTATTAATATTATTATATATATATATATATATATTATTAAATAACTATAATTATACTAATTATTTGAATTATATATATATATATATATCTAACTTTATTATAATTCTATAATGTTATTATAAAATCATGATTTAAAGTTGATATGACTTTGCAATTTTAATCATTTGTTAGATATAAATGATTTTTAGTTTACAAAAATACTAATAAGTAAGAATAAAAATATTATTTTTGTTTAATTATTAAATATATAATGAATAATTTTAAAAAAACATTTAAAATCATAAAATTAAAAAAAAACATTTAAAGTTGATATGATTTTGTATTTTAATTAATAAATCGTATACTTATTATTTAATATATCATTTAATATCAATAATAATATAAGAAAATAAATTTTAAATATATTTGAAAATTGATAGATTTGTTAAACTTGATTTTGAACAGAAACTTTTTACAATTATTGCAATTATCTATTAAAATATTTAGTTTAGAAATGTAAGTTAGTTTTTTTTAAACTTTATTTCTATTAATAACGTTATATTATTGTAATGAAAATTAAAATAAAATACAAATCATTAAAAAACCAAATTAAAATTTCGTTTAATTGATTTTTCTTTTTTTAATGATTATAAACAATTTAAATAAACATTATTTGTATATTAAATTGTAATCTAGTAATGTAAAAATATTACATATACAATTTACTTAGGTCAATTATTATTATTATTATTTTAATTAACATTAATTATTATAATTTAATATTTTTCTAAATAAATATTGTTTTAACTAAAACTATACTACTGTATAATGTATGCCCTATCGGCAAATGTTAAGCACAGTTTACACTGAATTTTAATGTTGTCGACTATCATTGGCTATGAATTGCGGTCGTATTATTCAAATACCGATACTAATAACAAATCAGTCAGTGATTTATTTGCCTATTATGACCACTGGACAGCATTGGCTATATATTTGTATAATCTATTTGATGTACTTTCAGTGCCAATCAATTTGGCCCACATTTTTGGTTTACTTTTATACAATGCTTTTAAATCTGAGATTAAAATTAAAAATGCTAGCACACGCACGTGTAGCAGATCCACGCGTTACATATTTAGCCGATTGTCGGCTTCTCTATTTATTTATAGTCAATTGTTTGGCGCAATCATACAGTTTGATTTGCGTAGAATAGGTGTTACCAAATATCTATTATGTTTGTTGGGCTCAGTCCTAATAATACCTTTGAATTATTTATGGTTTATAATAGCTATTTTATGGGCACTGTTAGCCAACAAGCATGGATTTTATGTGGTCAAAAAATAATTATATAGAAAATAATATTATTATTAAATATTTATATTTATATCGATGGACACTAAATCATTAATAATATAAATGTTTTTTTCCACTAATTTTATATTTTAATTTATTATAATTACTATTATTATAAATTTATTGTAATTATTTTAAAAATTATTTTTTTTAGTATTTTGTTTGTTTGTTTACTACTGTATTATTATTATCATAGTTTTTTTGGGGAAGAGGACATTGATGGCTAGCAATAATAAATTTTTAATCAGTTATCAAAAAAATACTAAAATTTAATTATTTATATACTGGTATAAATATATGTACAGTATATATTAATTATTTTATATTTATCATCTAATATAATTTATTATACTTTATTCACATACAGTATATTTGTATTTTACAGTTTTTTTTTAAAATTATTTTTCTAGTTTAATAATTCAATATTAAAACTTACTAAACACAGTAAAAATAAAATTCACTGTAATTGTTATACTAAGAAAAAATTAATAAAAATGTGTTATTTTTTAAATTAAGGTTAATGTATACAATTATATTTTGAATGACAAACTTATTTTTTTTGTTATAATTAGAGAAGTTCTTTAATAAAATTCCTTCAAATTTTTCCCCAAAAAATACGAAAAATATTTTTCATATTATTTATTAAAAAAAATAATAATAATTTGCATAAAATTTTTTATTGAAATAATCAACAACAAAAAATAAATCAATTAATTAATTAATTAATTTTTTCATACTATTTAAGAATATCACTCAAAATATACAGTTTAATATAAAAAAATATTTATTTATTTTTTAAAAAAAACTATATAATAAATTTTTTTAGGGTTCAATAAGTGGTAGAAAAAAGTAAAAATATGAATTCCTATGAATTCCCAAAAAGTATGGAAAATAGGGAACTTTTGGTTATTAAAAAACCATGGAAGGGAATTTGCCCACAATTTTAGTTATGGTATTAGTATTAATATAAAATTAATTATAATTTAACTGAATATATTATTAAAAAATATTAGATTCATTACTGTAGATATTGTTTACTGGAAATTTTTAACATTAGTCATATTAAATATACATTTTATATAAAATATATACTTAAATTTTATTTTATATAAATAATAACAATATAAAAAAATAATATTATTGTTATAAAACAGTCATTTATTTTTCTAAAATTAAAGTGATAACTAAAAACTTAAACAAAAAAAAATAATGTTAAAACTATCGGCAAATGTTAAACACAGTTTACACTGTATTTTATTGTTGTCGACAATCATTGGCTATGAATTACTGTCGTATTATTCAAATCCCAATACTGACCAATCGGTTAGCGATTTGTTTAGCGATTACAGTCTGTGGACAGCATTGGCTATATTACTGTATAATCTATTAAACTTGTTGTCACTGCCTATGAATTTATTTAGTATTATTGGACTACTTTTGTACAATGCTTTCAAAGATGATATTAAGATTAAAAAATTGAAATCAATTGAGAAAAAGATACCATTTCTATGCATACGTGTTGTCACGCGTGGAGATTATCCACAATTGGTCCGCAAGAATGTCGATCGCAATATGAAAACATGTTTATCGGCAGGTCTTAGAGATTTTATTATCGAAGTGGTCACCGATCGGGCCATTGGTCTCAAAACAAGTACAAAAATACGCGAATTGGTTGTACCCGACGGCTACCGAACAAAAAGCGGCGCTCTTTTTAAGGCCAGAGCTTTGCAATACTGTTTAGACGACGGGATCAATACATTGAAGGACAACGACTGGATCGTACACTTGGATGAGGAAACAGTTATCACAAAAAACTCGGTTAACGGTATTATAAACTTTGTCAGAGAAAGTAGACATCAGTTTGGTCAGGGAGTGATCACTTACGGCAAAGACGGTATAGTCAACTGGTGGACAACATTAGCCGAATCGTATCGTGTGGCCGAAGATCTAAGTGTTTATCGTTTACAGTTTTCAATGTTTCACAAACCGTTGTTTGCTATAAAAGGTTCATATATTGTGGCCAATTCAGGTGCCGAACGGTCGGTAACATTTGACAACAACGGTCCCAATGGTTCCGTTTGTGAAGATATTTTTATGGCATTCAATGCCTATCGCCGGGGCTATACGTTTGACTTCATTGAAGGGGAAATGTATGAAAAAAGTACGTTCACTGTCTGGGATTTTATTAGGCAACGAAAACGTTGGATTCAAGGTCTACTATTGCTTATCTATACGTCCAACATTGAGCACCGGTATCTAATATTGCTCGAGATTGTACACCTGAGCATGTTTGCCATGTATATACAGCTTATTGATCTAATCTATCCAGTACCAACTGTCTACTGGTGTCAACTAATCAATCGATTGACAGTATCGGTAGTAGTTTATCAACAATTGTTTGGTACAGTCATACAGTTTGATTGGCGTCAGATTGGTATCAAAAAATTCATACTATGTCTGGTCGGGTCAGTACTGGTCATACCATTCAATTATGTTTGCTTTTTGATTGTCATTTTGTATGCATTGTTAACAAAGAAACATGAATTTTTTGTTGTACAAAAATAAATTATTATAATTATTATTATTTAAAATATATAACTGTTTAAAATGTTTAAAATTTTATTATATGTTATAGATATATGAGTTATTAATTAAAAATTAATAATTAAAATACTTACTCAGAAAAAAAACATTTTACATTGTATTATGATTATTGCATTTAAAAAAAATTTAAGAATTTAATAATTAATTTTATTTATTTTTTTCCATTTGTTTAATAAATATATCAATTAAATATTTATATAAGAAAAAAATAAATTAAAGTAAAAAATTCATTATTATTTATTGCTGGCCATTAGGTCGGCAATCCAATCGCTATAGTGATCGGTACGGGTAAACACCGATGGATAGCCTTTTACAGCACAGGGAACGGTAAACGAGTCGAGACCGGCCAGCATCCATTTGCCGCCAATCATACAGTTGAGTGGTCCGCCCGAATCGCCGTTACAGATACCTTTTCCGTGACCACCGCCGGCGCATACATTCGAACCGAGAATGGTTGCCTGTCGGCCATACATTCGCTGACATTCCTGTTGGTCGAGCACAGGTAGCAACACTTTTTGCGGTCTGTCCGATACTTTTTCCTCTACAGTAACACAATATAACAAAAAATTGTATGTGTTTTGGGTGTGTATGTGTAAAGTGAGTGAATGAGATTACTTACTATCACCGGCCCGCGTAAGTCCCCAACCGGTGGCCATACATTCAGCACCTCTGCCCAGTACGGCCTTACGCGAGGGCGGATCTATCATACGGACACCGGCATTGAACTCCAGTTTCTTAGCCAAACGTACCAGTGCTATATCATCGGACAGTGCCGTCGAGTTCCACTTATCGTGAACCATAATATTGCGAGCACCCACCCGCTGCTCCATCGGGTCTCTATCGGTCAGCGAATGGGCTCCGACTACCACCTCAAACGGTTTGGGACCGGTTTTATCGACACAGTGTGCAGCCGTCAGTGCCCATTCGTCGCCGATAATACTGGCGCCGCAAAAATGCTGTCCCTTATACTGTAGGGAAGCCATCCACGGGAACTCATGTTTATGTACGTACTGTCCGCCAACTATACGCTGAAGTGCCGATTGTTTGGCACTAAACAGTAGATCATTTAAACTGATTTCATAATTAGTGGCACTATTGGTATTAATATCATCGGTACTATTGACGATACCGTTTGTTAACAATGCTAAGCACATCCATACGAGAAAAAACGGTAGTTTCCAGTTGTTGTTGGTGTTGTTATACATGATCTCTCTGACTATAAAACTGTGACAATAAAACTAAATTCATTATAAAAATATGTTTTTCAGTTTCAATTAAATTATTTTTAACCCCAAAATAATTAATTATTATTTATTAGTATTATAATTAAAAACATTTGATTCCTATTATTATATTATTTTTGTTTTGTTTTATTTGTTAATCTGTTTGAATGTTTTGTTTGAATACTTTAATAATATATTTAATATAACCATTTAAAATAAATTTTCCATTATTGCTATTAAAATAATATAATAGATAACATATATAATACAATATAAAATTTTCTATGTCAAATATGAAAAATATGTTAAAATTATATTTAAACATTTATTTAACTATTATATAGTAATTTTTTTACAGTATAATAAAAACATATATATTTAGACAATAGACTAATATTAGAAATATTAATAATTTTTTTTTAAAAACTTTTTATTACTTAACTCTATCAAAAAAAATACAATTTTATTAATATAATGGTTTAATTTATTTTTGTTTTGCTTTTAATATTAAACATATTTATATATATATATTAAACATAATAAAGTACACAATTAGAATATAATTAATATTAGTTATTATTATTATATATTTTGTTTTAAATATCTGTTATTTGTTTATTAACCTATTTTTTAAAAAAAATAATTAATGATAACTTATAAAATAAATATTAAAACAAATTAATAGTTTACATGTTAACTGACTATAAATTATCAAAAACAAAAAACAAATAATTATAAATGGATTGTGGAAAAATGTAAAATAAAAAATGTGATATTAATTATACTTAAGATTTTCAAGTCTAGACATTAAATTATTTAAATGTAAAAAATAAAAACAATTATTTTATAAAACATAGATATGATATATTGATTGTATAATACAATTGAATTAAATTTGTGAGTTTTTTTTGTGTGTTGTTTAACCTTTAGATAATTAATCAATTAATTTAATTATCTATTGTTTTAGTAACACTGGTATCCATAACTACTACTACTACTAGTTGTCTACAAAAATAACTGTTTAACAATTTATAGGATTGTCGGGCCTCTAGACTGACCATCGATGCCGTAAATATGATAAACACAAACTCCGAAAAACGGAATATTATGCTAAATATAAGTAAGAATTTGTTGAATAGGTTGAGCTCCTGAAACACTGATGAATAGACACCCATAATAACCAACAGTCCTAACATCCACCACATAATAAACAAATATTTTGACCAATAAGTTGTATTGTAATCTGAAATTTCTTTGAGTAAATCTTTCAATGTTTTGATAATTTTTGTCGAAAATTTTTGTCTATAATTTGATTGTCTTGTTTGATACCGGAGCCGATTGTTGACTGTCCTTAGTTTATGTTTAATATAATAGCATAGAAGATAAAAGTGTACGGCCAACCATAATGGTATCAATTGGGTCAGATAGGCAGCCAAACTCATCCATATTGAGTTAATAGTACCGTAGACTAGTGTATCCCATAGTGTACAGCCGTGATACAGGTTGCTAATGAGTGTAAAAAAACCTAACTGACTCATCATACGGGTGTTCAACAGGTGTGTCCATTTGAATAGTAGGCTGGCCTGGCTGAAAAACTTTCTAATCCATGGGCTACTATCGTCATAAATACCTAGCTTACTGGGCAAAACATGACCAGCTAGCATATCCATTACTTTTAAATAACTGGGCTGGATACCGTGCCAATAGTTATAAAACAGTGTCCATTGTAATAGTTGCAATATCAGATTGTACATTATAAACATCATATCCAGGTGCGGCTGTACGTGCATTAGATAGGGCATGTCACCCAGTATGATAAATAGACGCTCATTTATTTGATTACCATGATCATCGACACGGTTAGCCAATAGTGTCCAGGCTGTTTTTGTTGCATATACTATCGACAAAATATGTATCAATAGTGGATAGTGTAGTAATAGTCTCCGGGTATTATCATTATCATCATTAGTATAATATTTATCAATATGATAGCCAATTTTATATAATTGATTGCTGGCTGATTTTATTATTTGCAACTTATTAGCCTTAATGTTGTTGTTATTATTATTGTTATTATTAGCTGGGTGTACTTTTATATTCATTGTTTTAACTTATATTAAATTAAGACACTATAATTTATTGTTTAAAAATTATTATAACCAATAGCTTATTCAAATCTAAAAACAAATTAATAATATTTTTAAAAATAAATGTAAAATTACTTTATTATTTTACGTTTTCTATAAATAAAAATAATCTACATATGTACATTTTATATTATTATTATTATTATATATCTTATACTGTATAAATATCTATAATATATTTGTCTTAATTAGTATAATTTTAATAGTTAAACATTATTATATAAATGACAAAATATAATACATACCTTAATTTATTCAAAATATTATTTGAATTTAGAAGTAAAAAACATATTAATCATATTTTTAAAACATATTTATTTATAAGTAATAATATTAATTATATTTTTGATCAAAATATTATTTAATTACATATAAAGTATGAATTAATAATTTAATTTCATAATATAAAGAAAAGTAAAATTTAATGATTTTTATTAATAAAATTGTAATAAAAATAATAATATAGAAATAAATGTAAGATCTAATCATTTTTATTAATTATATAAATAAAAGTATAGATTAAATTAAGATATAAATATAGATATAACTATATTTATTTACATTACAATAAATAATAAATAATTATTATTTAGATAATTATGTTTTGATATTAATATTACTATACTATTATTAGTAATACTTCTATTAATATATTATAATCGGCTAATGTATAAAATATGTTTTAATTAGCCTGAAAAATTAATATATTTTATAAATACAAAGACCCTAAAATGTACTGGAAAACATTACTGTATATATAAAAATAAAAATAGTTATTATAGATTAATTATTTAAAAATATAATTATAATTGTATATTTTGCGTGAAAAAATATAATTAATTATTAAAAAAAATAATAGATAACAAACTTATTTATAATATTATGTGTTAAATACAAATAAGCAAGTAAAATTAATTTAAATTACAAGTTTTCTAAAATATTCTAGTTTCAATAATATTTAAAATTTTAGTATATAAATATTAAACTAACTATATTTACAAAATAAAACTACAGTAAATTTTTATTAAACTGTAATAATTATAATAATAATAATATTTATCGTTAATTGTTATAAATATCTTATATTTCTCACAACTTATACTGTAATTATATATTTTTTTAAAATTTATTTAAATATTTAAAATGTACAGACAGTATAATATTATGTTATAAGTTATTTCATTTATATATTTTTATTGTAAAGTACTGTAAAAAATAATAAACAAATATTCAGTATAATAATAAATAAATTATATCTTAAGTCTGATATTATTAGCGTTTAATAAAATGAAAATACATATTATATACTAGACATTTAAAAACATTTAATATATTTATAAAAAAACATTTTTTATTTAGATTTTTTTAAATATATATATATATAAATTACTTCTAATTGTAATTATAAAATAATTTTTCTAATAATAATTATAATTTTAAAAAATAATAGTATAATGCCAATCAATATAAAAAATATTTAATAAAAACAATAAATAAATATTATTAATCATATTAATAATGATTTTATTAATAATATTGTAATAATAATAATAATATAGAAATAAATGTAAAATATAATCATTTTTATTAATTAAGTAAATAAAAGTATAAATTAAATTACAGTATAAATATAGATATAACTGTATTTATTTAGATTAAAATAAATAATAAATAATAATTATTTAGATAATTATGTTTTGATATTAATATTGCTATACTATTATTAGTAATACTTAGATTAATATATTATAATCGGCTAATGTATTAAATATGTTTTAAATAGCATAAAAATTATTGTACAAAGACCTTAAAATGTATTGAAAAATATTACTATATATACATATATAAATATAAATAGTTATTATAGATTAATTATTTTTAAAAAAATATAATTGTTTATTTTGCGTGAAAAAATATAATTAATTATAAAAAATAATATTAATAAATAACAAACTTATATTATTATAATAATATTATGTGTAAAATACAAATAAACAAGTAAAATTAATTTAAATTACAATTTTCTAAAATATTCTAGTTTTAATAATATTTAAATTTTTAGTATATTTATATATTAAACTAACTATAATTACAAAATAAAAGTGCAGTAAATTTTTATTAAACTGTAATAATTATAATAATAATAATATTTATCGTTAATTGTTATAAATATCTTATATTTCTCACAACTTATACTCTAATTATATATTACTTAAAAATTTATTTTAAATATTTAAAATGTACAGACAGTATAATATTATTATATAATACTTATATAATATTATAAGATATTTCATTTATATATTTTTATTGTAAAGTACTGTAAAAAATAATAGACAAATATTTAGTATAATAATAAATAATTTATATCTTAAGTCTGATATTATTATTAGCGTTTAATAAAATAAAAATACATATTATACTGTATACTAGACATTTAAAGACATTTAATATATTTATAAAATAACATTTTTTTATTTAATTTTTTAAATATATATATATATACATAAATTACTTCTAATTATTATTATAGGATAATTTTCTAATAATAATAATAATTTTAAAAAATTAATAGTATAATGCCAATCAATATAAAAAATATTTAATAAAAATAATAAATAAATATTATTAATTATATTAATAATTATTTACTTTTTAATAATAAACATTAACATCTAAGTAATCTATTTTTTAGCTTATTAAATAAAAATAAAATAAATTATTTATTTTAATTTATTCAATAATTATTATATTTACGTAAATCAAGTTATTGTTTTGTCAACTTTTTTTTTTATTAAAGCTATATAAATAATGAGCAAAATTTAATAAAACAATTGTGAAAATAATAAACTCATATTTATACAGACATTATCAGTATTTTCTATAAAATTCTATATCAATTAAAGTTAATTACAATTAATAAAAAATAATTTCGTTGAAAATATTAACAAAAAAAAATAATTATTAATTACATAATATTGTTTGTCATTTTATTATATTAAAATTACAACAATAACAACAAAAATGATTAAGCTTATATTTACGATAATTGTTTTGCTAAATTATTTGTATCTAGCTGAATCTAGCGATTGTAAACCAGCAGCAAATAAATGTAAAAAACTATTTGAATTGGAGGCGGACGGGGGTACATTCAAGGAGTGGGCTATCAAAAAATGTCCTAGTATGTATATATATTTATATATTAAATAATCTATAAAATTTATCTTGATACAACAACAACAACAAAAAATCATCATCATCAAAATTATTGACGCTTAGTTAGAAACTAAAATATTATTATTTATTTTATTTTTTTTTGATATACATAATAAATAAAATTTTAATTAATTAATTAATTAATAATTAAATTATATTTTTTTTAATCTATAGCTGATAAAACAATTATACCACAATCGGAAGTTGATGAGTATAAAAAATGTGTTACAACACATCTAGAACCTTGTTTGGTATAATATTTTTGTTGTTGTATTTTTTTGTAATTTTTAATTTATTTTTTTAAATGGATAAATTTTCAACAACAAAAAATCCTATATTATAAATAATTTTTTAAAAATATATTGTAATATTAATTATTAATTGAATGAATTAATGAATATCTTTAGAAAACCGAATTATTGAAAAATGTTTTCATTAATCTATTATCGAAATTTGATTTAACAAAAGTTTGTACGGAAGCCGAACAAAGCAAAGTAATTGATTTTTTTAAGTTTTATTTTTTTTTATAAAAAATAATAATAATTAAATTACTAAATATAATATATATATATATATATATATAATCTAGGTCCAAAAATGGGTTATGGATATTATTGAAAATCATACAAATGAATTAGAAAAAGATGATGAAAATCAATGTTCAATACTAAGACAAGCATTGACTAATGTTAAGGTAGTTTTTTTGTTTAGTAATTTTAGTTTTTTAAAAATATTAAATTAATTTATTGTTAATTTTTTAGTATATTTTATTGCAAATTAATTAATTAATTTTTTTCGTTTTGTTTATTTTTTTTCCCAGAATTGTGCACATTTTTAAAACGTAATTTTAATTGAAGAAAAATCATATATTTGTTATTATTATTAATTGACTTTTTTTTGCTTATAATTATGTATTAATTATTATAATATTTAATAAATAACTATTTGTATAAAATTAACAAATTTAAATTAAATAATGTTATTGTTATTAAATAAAAATATGATTTATTATTAAATAAAAATATTAATTATTATTAAATAAAAATATTAATTATTATTAAATAAAAATATTAATTATTATTAAATAAAAATATTAATTATTATTAAATAAAAATATGAATTTTTATTAAATAAAGATTTAAAATTTTATTAAAAATTTATTAATACTTTTGTTTTTTAAAAATGTTATGATATTTTTATTTTTTACACTACTATAAACTTTAACAAATAAAATGTGTAATTAAAATATAGAAAATAATATCAATTTTTAAAAATTAAAATGTGTTTGTTTAGAATATTTACAGTACTAATGGTTTTAATTGTATGTAAAAATTAAATAGACAGCTATTTAAATATTTTTTACTAACAAAAATCACAAGTAACATATTTTTTAAATAAATTAATTAAAATAATAATTTAATTCATAAAAAACAATGAAACTTTTTCATGCAATAAAATAATTATGCTTTTTATTTAAGGTTGCCAGTAATGGTACACAAACAATACCGGAAAACTGGTAAAAATTTAGATTTTTAAAAGTATATATATACATATTAATAGTTTAATAATTTGTTTATTTTATTGTTATCAAACTAGTTAAAAAATAATTTACTTATTTAAATAAATAACAATTTTAGAGATCTATTTAAAAAAATTTTGTATTTTCAAAAAGATTTTACTATATTATTAGTTAACACTTATTACTATACAGTATATGTTTTTATCAATTTTATTTATCAAAATTAAATTGATATTATATTTATTCAAACATTTATTTAGGATATCTCTGTCAGATATTTTTAAAAATATCATCCAATTGCCGGATTGTCCGGCACTTTATATCTTTACATGGCAACTATAATTTTATTAAACGTTTAATTGATTTTTTTTTTTTAATAATTATTACAAAATAATATTTTGTAATATTATATATTAAATATTTACTAAGCTTGATGTAATTAGGATGGTGAAAAAATAATTGGCATATATAAACTCAATTTTTAAAAAAACTATTCATTTAAAAAAAATTAGTTTTTAATTTAATTTATAAAAAAATTATTTAATTTAGTTTATATATATAATATATATACATATATTAGAAAATAATGCTCAAACTACTGGTAACATTATCTGTATTACTGGCCAGTTTAGGCTACATAAGCTGCAAGTGTGATATGCTTAAAGAATTTAAGCCAGAATTTGATCAACTATCCGGTTGGGCTAAAAGTCGATGCGATAAAAGTAATATAATTTCATATATAAATAAATGATTAAATTTTTATATTAATTAATATTTTTTACTCATTAACTAAATACCGTATTACCCCATCTCCACCCACACACACACACACACCTCTAAAACATTAGACCCATCACTATCTCAGGCGGATATGGATAAAGCAAAAGGTTGTTATAATAAATGTCTTAAGCCGTCGATGACCAGTAAGGATGCCCAAGTAGTCGACGGTTTTCTAGCTAAACGTGTGTTTGTTAAGGAAACATTGGACGTGTGCTCTAATAAGGCTACACAGGATAGGGTAATGTATCCCTAACTACCCAACCTAACCCACCCCAGCCCCATTAATGCATACCACTAACCATATAACCCAGCAGATCATTATTTTTTTTTTTTTAAACTTTGTTTGTTTGATTGTTATATTTTGTTTATTAATAAAATAAAAATAATAGGTTAAAAATCAAGGCATGAGTGAAGTAGGCGTATCCAGGGGTATGAAATTGAAAAAGGAGGTCGAATCTGACTGTCCAAAATTCAAAGGTGCCTTCCAGTCATTCAGTGTATGTATAATAATAATAATAATAATAATAATAATTTATTTTTTAATTTATAAACATTTTTATTATTATTTTTTAAAAATATTTTTTGTTTTTTTCTCTCTCTCTCTTATTTTTTTAGTCATGTGTAAAAGCTTAACACTAATAAAAAAAGCACCATGTTCATTGGATTAGTTTATATAAATAAATATATATAGTTAAGTTTTATTATTATTATTATTATTATCAAATTATTATTGTCAAAAAAAATTTTGCTGTAAATTGTGGGTGGTCATTTTGTAAACAGATATTATGGGTGCTGTTATTATTATTATTTGGTGATTGATGGTATTAAAAAAATTATTATTTGTTATAAACTATTAATGTGTTTAATACTAAATTTATTTATTTAGATTAAATTTTATTATGTTTTGTTTGGTTGTTAAATATAATAAAAACCTAATTGTGTTATAAAAATAAATTATTTTTTTTTGAAAAATTATAATTCAACTATTTTTGTCGATTAATAAAAATTGTACAATAAATGTATTATTAAATATACTTTAATAATAATAATAATAGTGATTAAAATAAATATCATGAGTTTATTTACATTTTATTTTTTTATTAAAAAAATATTATATATATTATAATAAATCCGTTATAATATTTAATCAAACGTATAAATTATTTAAATAAATACAACACAAATTCAATCTATAATTAAATACTTATTTAAACAGTAAAATATAAGTAATATTATATTAGTATCTTCATAATGTAAATCATTAATATATAAAAAAAATTACCAAAAAAATCCAACATGTGTTTAAACATTAAATAAAATAAACATTAAATAAAATAAATGAATTCAATTGAATATAATTTTACTTATTTTGAAAAAAATATTGTGTAATATTTTAATAGTTATAGTAATTGATATTACATTCATGAGTGTCAACAAAAAATAACTATTATTAAAATAATTATTATTATTAAGCTATTGACTACATTTTTCCAATACAATTTCAATAAAATCATAAATATAATATTTGATTTATATATTAATAATATATATATATTAATTTATTTTTTTTCATAAAATTTTAGTTTAATTTAATCATAATTTATTTTTTACTAATAGATCAAGATGAATCGTTTAATAATGTTAACTTTGTGGAGTCTATGGATTTGTTCGTTATCTATGAGAAAGTTAAATTATCTTGATAATTCATCAATAGATATTTTACCAAGTAATAATAATAATTATTATTATTATTATAATTTTTATTTAAATTATTTTTAATTATTAATTTTTTACTTTCTATATTTATATAGATATATGTATTGGACAAAATACTAATTTCAATAATAATCATAATAATAAAACATTTATTATACAATATTTGGACTCATATCACCAGGTAAATAAATATTTATAGTTAAAAATTTTAATTTTTTAAAAAACAAATTAATATAAATTCCTAAAATTTAATTTTTTAAAATTATAATTATTATTATTAAAAATAGAAATCAATAATAAATAATCATCAAAGTTATCAATCAGCTACACTATTTAATAATTATCAAAAACAGCAAAATTATTTTAATTCAATTATGCTAGTTTCATTAAGATAAACAATGTTTTTTTATTAAATTAATAAATTAATATATATATTTTAATTTAAATTATATAATTAAATTTTTAATTGTTATATATATTTTCGTAATAAATTAATTAGTTAATTATATAAGTTTCACTATAATGACTAATACTATGTAATACTACTTTTAATTAGAATTGAATAAATAAAACTTAAATCCATTAAATTGTATAACTATGTAAACTGTATAAACAAATTAAAATAATTAATAAACTGTTAATACTGTATAATTAATAAACTTTGATTAAAAAATAATGTAATATCAATAGAAAATAAACAAAAAAACTAATGATTTTTTAAAAAAATTATTGAATAAATAGTTGAATAAATATAGTTTATTAGAAAATTATGAAAATTTATATAAAGATAGTAAACCTAATTATCGGAATCGGTATTATATTATTCTATACTAACATACAATGCAATAATGATAATCGGGAACCGGGATGTAAAGAGCAGGTAGTCGTACCCGAATGTAACTATACGATTGCCATCAACGACAATCAGGTTTGTCCCGATGTTTTGTCGGGCGGTTCAATACCCAAAATCATAAAGTGTGCCAACAAAGTCAAACACGACATTTGGGAATTGTGTAAAAGTTAGTAATATTTTTTATTGTTGTATTTATATTATTATTAATTATATAACAATATATATATTACTCATACACTCTCATATCCCATACCTATATGATAGACAAACCCAGTGATGAACTGGTCGATCGTGTCTATTATGAATGTATACTGTCGTGTATTATGCCGTGCGTCGTACCGTTTGACACATTGTTGACAGCTATCCAGGTAATCGGTTGCAATATGACCATGGACAGTTTTCAATTATTCAGCACCGATATGTTTTGCAAGAAAAAGTCGCAAAAAATTGTAATAAATAATATATTTTTTTAAATTCTATAATTAATACATTACCTCATTTTTTAACTTAATCAATAATGTTTAAGTATTTTATTTAAAACTATTATTATTATTATTATATCATTATTAACTAAACATAGTTATTAAATATTTTTTTAGTTTAGTTATATATAAAAAATCAAACAATATTAAGACTATAACTATTTATACAGTTTATAAATTTATATAAAGTTATAAACTGTACTAAAACTACAGCTTATATGTAATGTTTAAAAAAAAAAGTTTTATAATCATTATTAATCAATTTTATAATTAATCAAATTTCTATTTAAATATTATATAAAATTTATTTTCTAATCAGGTTAAATTATGTATTGGTCATATGTTTAAAAAATACAAAACTGAAACTATGGACATATTTAATAAGAAAATACATTTGATTACATTATTGTGCAACAAATTTTATGTATGTTATCTATAAATATTTAATCATAATAATAATAATAAATACTAATTATAATATTAATTAAATTTTTAATTAGGATTGTTTTGTACGTATTAAAAAATCTGAACTGGCTAACAAATCAACTTGATAATATAAATCTAGTAATTTAAAATTTAAAAAATATCTAATTAATTTTTATATTTAATAAATATAGTATTAATATAATCTTTAATAAATTAGTTTGAATTAAATTAGATACTAAAAATTTTATGAATAATTTATAATAAAGTTAATATCATATATATATATAATTTTTTAAAAATAATTAAACAAAAAAATTTGTTATTTTTATTATTTTTTATATCATGATAATTTTTTGGGTGAAAGTTACAGTATCATAGTTAATCATCTACATTACCAAATGTGTGATCCAATGTATTTTTATTTATTTATTATTAAAAAATGACATTAAATACAATATTTGAATTATAATAATAATAATAATTTAAAAAACAATTTATGAATAATCATTTTTTTAAAAAAAATGACCCATGTCTTAATAAAAACATATGTATTTATACTGTGATGCAATAGGTTTACAAATACTTATTAATCATTAAAAATTTTATTATTTTATTTATTATGAATTATATATATATATATAAAGTTATGAAATATTATTTAAATATTATTATTATTAATAATAAATATTGTCTTAAGATATATATGTTTAATATAATAGTAATATTAATTAAAACATATAAACAATTTTTTAAGAAAAAAAAACAATTTACTAATTATACAAAAAAAATTAACAACAATTTTGATTATAAATTATAATTTTTTTTATAAATGTTCACAATGTAATAAAACTTACATATTATGTACCGGTATAAATTTAATAATAATAATAATAATAATAACAATGAATTAATTTATGATGTTAATTTTTTTGCGCTAATTTTTTATACATATTTTTTTATGGTAATAATCATATAAATGTTTCAAATCTATAGCTTATTATTTACTGTATATTCATATAATATAATTGATATTCAAATTTTGTTAACTATAAGTATTATTTATGAAAAAGTTATGTAATTTTTATTTTGTTAAATAAAAACATATGAAAACTTTTATTTGTAATGAGACAAATACAAAAATGTTTTCAATAATAATATTTCATTTATAAAAAAAAAACAATGACCTAGACCATTTTTAATTGACAATTATTATTATTATTATTATTGATAGAATTATCATGGATTTAATTTACAGACAAAAAAATTTAAATAAATTTTTAAAAAAAAGTTTTTATGTATACACATGTATATACATACAATATAAACAATGTAATGAAACAAATAACCAAGCACACTTACAAATACATTTATATATATATATATATATTGTTTTTAGAAAATGTTACAGGTACAAAATAATATTGTTATATATTTATAAATTCCATACAATTTTAATCATTTTTAAAAATTTTCTTTTCAAAAATGAGTCCATTTTTTACACATTAAATGACAGATTTAGTTATACAAAAAAAAACTCTAAAATATGTTACAATTAGTATCTTAGAAATATTATTATTATTATTATTATTAATAATTTATATTTATTGATGAAATTATTTACTTGTGTTTACTGGTTATTGTAAAGTAATAATAATAACTATTATTATTATTATTATTATTAACAAGTATTAAGTATATTGTTTGTGATATAATGTCAGTTGAAATAATAATAATAATATAAAATAAATTTATAAATTAATTAATTAAATAAATTAAAATAATAAAATAATATACACACATATCTAAATATATATATAAATATTTATAATTGAATTACAAAATACTATTAAACAAAAATGCTAGTATTGTTGTTGTTGTTGTTACTATTGTTTTTATTGTTGTTGTAATTGTTATATGTATTTGTGTGTATGTAATGTTTTATATTAACTTTATATGATGTGATTATCTCAAAACATGGTAAAATAAAATTTATTTTTTATAAAAAAAAATCTAAAATAAAACTAAAAAAAAATTAATGTATTTGTCTTTGTTAAACATGTAAAGGGGGTAAGCAAAACAACACACATATAAACACACACACACAATGGACGTCCATATAGTAAAAAAAATCAAATGAGGTTAATGGGATTCATAACAATATATATATATAATAGTATAATATAGTTTGTATGGGAAATATTTGTTTTGTTTAAATAGACTGGACGTCTGTAACAAAAAAAAATGTATGAAAACTTTTTTTTCAGATATTTGAAAATGTGTGACAATTTTTTTTTTGTTTTAAATTTTTCCTACATTTTAGCACATATTGTGTGAATTTTAATTGTTTAGCTAACTAACAACAACAATAACAAAAAATAAAAAAAATAAAATTTTAATGTCTTAATTTTTTGTTTTGTTTTATCGATAGCAACAAAAAAAATAAATCAGTTATTAATATGAAATATTCTCACATATAATAATAATAATAATAGTTTGCAATAATTTATGTCTTAATAATATACAACAATATGACAATAACGAAAAAAACAGATAATAATAATAATTAAGTGATAATCAATATATTTTCAAAGTCAACAAAAAAAAAACATTCACACAATTTTACAACAACAACAACAATACATATTATTTTTGAAAAATAAATAAATAATAAAAAATACAATTATATATATTAAAACACAAATTTATGTGACAATAATACTAATAATACAGTAGTTTGTAGCGCTTATTTGAGTATAGATTTACTTTAAATAATAATAATAATAATAATAAAATTATTAATATTGAATGAGTTGTCTGTGTGTGTGTTTGTGTTTATCGCATACATTAATCAATTGTAATAAATAATTATCATTATAATAATAATAATAATATCACTTTTTATTTATATGTAACATATATTTTTATAACTGGTTACCCCCTTAATTTACCTGGCTTCAATTGAATAAAATCAAAAAAAATATATGCAAATAAACAATGGTGTAAAATAATTGAAATTATTAAAAATATAAAGCAAACATACATAGATATTATTTTCACAAATAATTATATTATATATATATATATACAACTTAAAATATATTTTTATAAAAAAACATTACTATCTATAAATATATTTTTATATATAAATTAATATAATTATATATAATATAATAAATAAATAATAATAATATATTCAATTTCACTAATCCTTAACCATCACTACAATTAATTGATGCTAAAAAACTTGTTAATACTGTTATAAATATATGGTATTTACTGTATTTATATATATAACAATATATTTAAATTAAATAAATATTTTTTATATATGGAATAAAATAAATGGTCATTAAAAACCGAAACCATATAAATAATATTTTTTTCAAAATAAAAATATTACATTTAATTATAATATACAATATTTATAATAATAAAAAAATTATAATTCGTTTAAATAAATAATAAATAATATAAATAAATAATAATTATATCTAATAATTATTTTTTAGCTATTTTCATCTATCAATGTCCTATATATATATATATCTATCTATCAATCAAAAAAAAAATTGTGATAATAATTTCAATGCATATATCAATAAACATAAAATATATTGTTTTTTTCTGTTTAGTAATTAAGGGGTAAATCATATACAAAAATCATATTTATTAACACCAAAAACAAAAATTTGTTGTTTAATAAATATGAATCCCTTTAATCAAAAAAAAAAATATTATCATTTTTTCCATATTATTATTATTATTATTATTATATGTTTGCTGACATAGCATTTTATATAATAAATTAACACTTTTTGTTTGTTTGTTTGTTTAGTCAATTTGATTGATATACTAATAATAATAATGTAGACCCAGGAGAGTATTAGTCATATATTTTGGTGTTAATTATTCATACATATAATTAACACATTATTTATCATAATAAAAAAACTTTTAATTATGATATTTATAATTATTAAAAATTATAAATTACAATAAGCATTGTCTTTAAATTTATATATATATCTAAAAAAAATTTTGTTTGTTTTTCATGTTTCTCTTTTTCATCAGTAGTTTAAATATTAATATATTTTATATAAATATATTATATTTATAAATATTGTATTTTTTTATTAGCGATTTTTTGAATTAAATTCAAGGTTTTATGAATAATTAATTTTTACTTATTTTTAAATAAAATTGCAATTAATAATATGTTAGTAATATTATTATTATTATTGATATTAAAATAATAATCTTATTCACTAACATATTACTAACATTTAGCAGAAAAAAAACTTGAATAATAAAAAACAAGAGATATTTTGACCTAAATTTTCATTAAAACTATCATTTGTTTCGTTAAGAGAGTAATAGAGAGATAGATATATAGATAGATAGATAGATAGATAGAGAGAGAGAGAGAGAGAGAGAAACAACAAAAAACAAACAAAATTTCAAATGTCATACATTTGTTTCGCTTCAAAATTACGATTAATTTTAACATACATTTTAGGAAATAAGTATTTAACTATTATTATTATTATTACACTAATAAAAACATTTTGTGAATGAAAACTAATCCATTGGTTATTATTTATAAAAAAAACAAACGAAACATTTTCTTTTATTTTTTTTTTAATAAAACACTTTCATAATGATTAGCATTCACTTAACTTTCATGAATTTTGATGATATGAGTGTTCATTAGTGAGATTTTTGGTGATATCGCTGACACTGATGATGGTTGCGGTTGGTGTTGTTGATTGATGATTGGTCGCTATCGTAGATCCGTTTACGCTGTCGGTACTCTTATTGTTGGTGGTATTGGTGCTGCTTTTGATAATGCCGTTTGTAGTGGTGATGGTGGAGATGATAGAGGTGGTAATGGTATCGTCGGCAGTGGTATCACATGATTTCAATAGTAATTGGGAAGTCGGGCTATCGGTAGTCGAAGCAGCGGCGGCCGCATTGGAAGCCGCCGTCACTGTTCTCAATAGCAGAGCGTTTAGGTCGTCCACACTGGTCGTCGTACTGGTAGAACAGTCGGTAGTGGTATGAGACGATAGGGTAGACGATGTAGTGTCCGATGTATTGGATGTTTGTGTATGAAATACTTTGGGATTAGCAGCGGTCAGATTGAGTTGATTGGCGGCGGCGGCGGAAACAGCGGCAGCAGTAATCGGATATGATTTTACAGCCACACACAAATTGGCCAACACTTTGACAGTACCATTGGTAGCTGTAGCGGCAGCGGATGTGGTCATTGTTTGTGTGCCAGCTGTAGTCAAACCAGACTCGCCACCATCAGCGCCGGGAGTTGTCTTACGGTGGGTGCGCTTATGTCGTAGAAAGTTAAAGTTACGATCCGATTGGTAGGAGCAGCCCGCGTGCTCGCACTTGAATATCTGCCGTCGTATGGGCGGTGGTCGCGGACGGGGCGGTCGTGTCTTGTCTCGTTGTCTGGACTTTGGCTGACGGCTCTTGGGTACAGCCGTCTCGTCACCGGTGGTACCATTGATACTACCATCCATGGATGGGCTCAGACCGTTACCATTGATAGTCGTCGTCGTATTATTATTGATACCATTGTTGTTTGTAGTCGTAGTTTTGCTACCATTCTTTTGGTCGTTTACACCGCCGCAGCCGTTAATCGCCTGGTCTTTAGCCAATAGTTCCAAACGTTTGTTCAAATCAATGGTAAACTGTCGCTCCTTATCGGTCATTGTTTCAGCTAAAAACAAATCAATTAAAACAAAAACAAAAATCAATGAAATCTATCCATGAAATCAAAATATCGCATTACTAGTCCACTATTACTAACTCTTTGTCTTATTGTTCACTCGTTTCCGATTATTATTATTAGTAGTATTGTTTGTCTTGAATCTCTTAATCGACGGTAGTCTTAGATTTTCAAACGAATCGTTATCTTCGCCATCGCTGCCGCCACCAGACTCTTCGTCGGCATCCATATCGGTATTATTGCTTCGCCGTCTATTCATTATGATCTGTCCTCCAATTGGGCCGTCACTACCAAACAGCGAACTAGTCTTCACTCGTTTATTACTACCAGTATTACCAGTAGTCGTACTCTTCTTAACGGTTAAGCCATTAGCGACGCCGCCGTTTGATGCGTTGGTTGTAGTGGTGGACATCAACGGATCATCGGTAGACCAGAATATATGATCAAAGCCGGTAATCATTGGCCCTCTAGTGGTGGTGGTTGAGCCTACCGTACCGGCCGAACAGCTGCCCAAACTGTCAGCACTGGTACTGTTGGTGCTATTGTTGTTACCGACACCACCACCACCACCGCCGCCACTGTTGCTGATCATAAAGTTGGCGCTCTTCGAACACAGAGAATCAAAATCAATGTCCAAATCCAAGAATGCTTTGGACGCCGACGCGGCAGCCGATGATAGACACCAGTCTTCAAAGTCTTCGCTAGATTTCTTTAGTAAACACATCTCGTGATAGTCAAGTTCCAGACCGACTAACTGATGATATCGGTGTTGCCATTGTTTTAGATACAGTTCCGACTCTGATTCTAGCCATCGGACTTCAACTTTCTTGGACTTTGCAGCCGCCGCAGCCGCTGCTGCGGCCGTCGACCCGGAGGTCGTCGTCGTCGTCATAGACGATGAGTGGCCAACAATAGTTCCGGCACTCTTTGTGGTCATAATGTTGGTTCGGTTGTTGTGGTTTGGATTGAATTGTTTAGTCAATAACTAATTATTAGATCCAATGTTGTTGTTGTTGTTGTTATTGATAGTCAATTAAATACAATAATAATATTAATTGTATTTTTTTTATTTGTTTATTATATATACACTGTATATGAATATCATATATTTATCAATGAATTTTCAATTATTATTATTATTATTAACTATTATTTTTACACACAAACAAATTAATCAATAATTTTTAGCGTAATTCAAACCAACAAAAATTTGTGTCACAAATAGTATATTGCGTTAACTAATAATAATTATAATACTAATAATGGTATCAATTATTACTAGATATTTATTATACAACTATTTATTAATAAAAAAAATGATATGATATTTACACTGAATATATTGTATACATATATATTGTATATACATATAAATACAACAACAAAATAAAAAAAACAATTTTTTATAAATATTATTACTATTAATTAATTATAACTATTAATAGTATACTAATACTAATAGTATACTACACTGTATATTAATATACATTTTTTATTATTATAAATACTATATGATTGTTGTGTGCATATAATAAACACATATATAGATAGACAACAACAACAAAATGTTTAAAAAAAATAATAAAATTATTTTTTTGGGGCCACAGTATAGTAGTAGTGGTTATATATACTAATAATAATAATAATAATATTATTATTATTAAATAAAATTGTTTTATTATTATTAATTAATTAATTAATTTTTTATTATTAATAAACATTTTTTATTTATTTATTTATTTATTTGTAAACTTTAAAAAATAAAATTAAAAATTATATTATAATTGACTTCTAAAGAGAGTTCAGTCACAAACAGCTGTCAAAAAGGATACGTCACGTGATTATTAGTGGTGACCGAGACTGCGCAGTCATTAACTATAATTGGAAATCAATGGGCTATACATAGATAACATGACCTAAATTATGATGGGTTAAAAATAGGTGTGGCAATTATTAATTTTACTATGTGGTATGAAAATTTTTGGGTAAAAATGATCAGACAACAATAACAATGAAAAAATCAATAAATTAAATTTCTAAAAATTATTTTGTTTTTTAGCTAGATAATTGTTTCTAAAATTGTTTATGATTTTTTTGTTGTAAATATGTGATTAAATTGATTTAATTTTTTTATTTTAATAAATTTAAATACAATTTTTTTTATATACAGTATAAGTTTTTTATGTTTTTTTAGTTTGCTGATTTAATACTGTACAAAAAATGTGGTTAGTTAAAAATGGAACATTAGGTAACGTTAGTTGTGAATAACCAAAAGTGGGTTGTGATGCTTTATATATATATATATATATGTTTTTTTGTTATAGCTATAGACGGCATTTCAAACGTCAAATAAAGTGTATTAATGTTAATACATATACCATATACAGTATATACACATTATATATATATACACTTAAATTTTCATATACTATGCAGTAAAAATTGTATATAGTTACATGTTTCCTTTTAGTAAGTAAATATACAAACATGTATATAATATATATATAATATGCTGGAAATGCGCTATATACATAAATGTAAAAATTATATATATTTTTTTAAAAAAATAGGAAAATTTTTGTCAAAAAAAAAATAAAATCCAAGTAAATTATCTTAAATCAGTAAATTTTGTTCACCACATATAATCCCAAAAAAAAAAAATTATTAGCCATTAATCCTATTATCTTCTCTATCATACAGTATATATACACACAAAGTGTTTACGTTGACAATAGCCCTATACTCTACCACACAGTGTAAGTGTATATATATAATACATGTATATATATATAAAACTGGTAGACAAAGGTCTGGTAGTTTAGCGCACTACCACCACCACCGCCACCACTACTACCAGCCCTCTCTCTCTCAATATGCTTGTGTTTTAAGGGGTTCAATGACATCATCATCATCAGCGCACATACCGTACATAACCCAATATACAAGCAGTCATTGTCCACGTCATGACTGGTTAACAAAAAAAAGGACTGTGCGCTCAATATTTGAATCTTGTTTTATAATAGCAGTGCTTATATATATATATATACACCTGTAGTTGTACTGTAGCTGAGAGATAACATATACACACTGTGTATAATACTACTAATAATAATAATAATACTGTAATAATAATACCCTATTGTTTCAGCAAACAAACCCAACAACAAAAAATCTTACATAACTTAAGGAGGTGTCTATAGACTACTACTAGTGTATACAGTAGTATAGTATAGTATATAGTATATACACTATATTTAGGGGTCAAATAAAGTTTTCATTGGGACAAATACCTACAGCAGTAATATATATATTATATATATATATATATATATATATATATATATACTGTATTTTTTAGTGACAAGTGAACCATAAAAAAATGTTTATTTTTTATTTTATTTGACATCTAATTCTTTCACATATTTTTTCATGTATTTAGAAAACAAAATTTTCTCTTTTTTTTCGACAACAAAAAAATTAAATTTTTTTCCAATGATTACCCATGTATATTCACATTAAAAATATTATTATTATTATTTTTTATAAAAGTTTTAAAATTTATATATTACTATCTAAGTTTACACACTGTGTATTAGTATTATGTTTTTTTTTGTACAACAGGTAGACTACTGTATAATATCGACATTATGTGTATTAAAAATTATTATTAGTATTATTATTGTTGTTGACAAAATAAATTTATTTTTTATGTATAAGTATTTTAAGTATTTATTTCTATAATATATTAATATGATAGATAAGATATGATAAATATATATATATAAAACAACAAATATGTGTACAAATAAACTGCATTATTGACAATATGCATTAATATAGTAAAAAATAAATATAGATAATATTTTTTAGTTGATGGTTGACATTATAAAATATTAATATTTATAATTTAAAAAAAATATTTAATCAGGGTAATATATATTTTCTAAAATTTTGTTTAAAATGTTAAATCATTTTTTAAATTGATATAATAGGTAACGCCACATGATCAAATAATATATAAAAATATTTATTTAATAATTTTTATTAACTTTATAATAGTTTCAAAACAGTTATTACATGTATAATAATATTACTTAAATAAATAATTTTAATTAATTATTATCAACAAATTTATTATTATTATATTTAATATCTCAATGCATTATCTAATTTTTTTCTCATATAAATACTTTATTATTATTTAGTAAAATACTATATGATAATATGCAACATATAGATTAGATTTTTTTTTAATTATTACTATTATATTATACATATTTACTGAAAATGGTATTAAGTGTGATTAAGTTAAATTGAAAATGAGATTTACATAATATATATATATATATATATATATATATATATATATATATATATATATATATATATATATATATATATATATTAGTTAAATGACTAAATAGTAATATTATAATTTGATGTTTACTTAAAGGGTTTTAAGATTTTTTTTGATACATATTATTGAATAGTATATCCCATATGTATAATTTTGCTTTATTTTATATTTAATAAATATTTTATTTAATATCACAATACTATATTACAACTAAATTATGTTTAAATCAAATATATCATAAACTATAACAAAAAAAAAATGAAATTAGCGTGGGCATTTCACCATAAAAAATATATATTATTATACAAAAAACTATATCATTTAGATTAGCAAATAATTGTGCAATTTTAGTTTAAATAATGAATATTTTAATTATTATTAACAACAACAACAAAAATGTCAATTTTATTATAGATATAAAAATATCATTGGATATTAAAGGAATTTCAATTGGTTTTTAGGTTTTGTTTTTTACAGATATACTAAATCCCTGATATTTTCAAAATTAATTAATATTATTGTTTTGTAATTTTTTTATATATATATAATATTAGACTAAACTAAATGAAACAAAAATTATTATTATTATTATTGCTAATAATACAGTAATTATAAACACCTATTGTATACTATGATATACAGTATATATATTGAATCAAACAAACAAACAAAAAATCATAAATAATCAGTAAGTCATGTCTCACTACTCAACGCTAATTATATTTAACGGATAAAATATATATAAAATTGTTTAGTTTACTAACTGATATCAACATTAAAATAAAACCAGACAACTATATAAATATACACTTAAAAATAATTTATATTATTATTATTAATCATAATAATAGAAAAAATCATAAAAAATAGTATAATATTTATATCATTTATTTTTTGTTGTTGTTGAAAACTATTTATTATATTAAATGCTCCCATTATTTTATATATATATATTAGTTATGTATAACAATTTAATGTTTGCTGATAATATCAAATTAAATAAATATAAATATTAGACATATAAATGTTAAAAGTTGTTTTTTTACTACTACCTAATAGTTTTATATTGTATTATAAGTTAAACACAAAAAATTAATAATAATAATAATTGTATTACATTATTGTACAGACATTTAAGTAGTATTAATAAAGTATTAAATTTAATATTATTATTAATTGCCAAAAAAAATATAACAAAGTTATGATTTAATTAATTGTAACTATACAATAAAATTATAAAATTTTTATAAATATCACACTGATAATATAATTAGTTTATTTTTATAATATATATATTTATATAAAGATATATATAATAATTTTATTAATTTTTTTTAAATAAAAATACTATTTTAAAATTTTTATTCAATTATGATATTTGCATCATCATCATCATCAATATTATTATTAATATTACTATCATATCAATTAAGTATATAATATATTTTTTTAATATTCATTAATAGAAAAATAACAAAAATAATTATTAATTAATGATAATGTTAAACAATTTATTTTTAATATATTTATATATATTATATTTGTTTTTGTCTATTATAGCATTGTTGGTATCATCACAGGCGGTACCGGCACCGGCAGCAGCGGAAGCGGCAAATAAACAAATCGATTGCAGTCAGGACGGAGTATATGGACAACCGGGAGATATCGGTTATACAGATTGTGTGGACGGTTTTGCCGAGTTTCACAGTTGCGGTATTACTAGCAGTGCGTCGTCTGATACCGATTCTGGTCATCTGAAATACGATGGCGAACGGTGTGTCGATACACGATATCAGTGTACGGCTAGTCAGGAGGGCCGGTACCGACACAACAACAGTCATAGGCTGTATTTTGAGTGCCAGAATGGCATATCGTCGCAACACTATTGCCGAGACGGCGAACTATTTGACGGACAAAACTGTGTCCGCGTTCAGAGAGGACCGGTCACATCGGGTTCACATTTGAATCGTGATTTCGAGTGTCCAAACGATGGCCGATTTGCCGATCCCGAGAGTCGCACCCATTATATTGTTTGCGAGGAAGACGAAGCCACTGTCTATCGGTGCCCATTGGTTTCGTTTGAACACGATAGGTAAGTGAGTGAGTGAGTGAGTGAGTGAGWGAGWGAGAGAGAGAGAGAGAGAGAGAGAGAGAGAGAGAGAGAGAGAGAGAGAGAGAGAGAGAGAGAGAATAATATCAATTTTTGTGGTTAAACTATTTGATAGACTGAGACAGTGGTACGAGATTTATAACACCAAACACTGTGTAACACCGTTTGAATGTCCAGAGATTGACGGCACATACAAATTGACGCGCGGCGGCGGACGCGTCTACTACAAGTGTGTCAACAATAAACCGGTTGAACACGAATGCCAATCGGGCGATACGTGGGACGGCAGCCAATGTATTGGCCACGGATTTCAGTGCCCGCGTGACGGTATATTCAGCGATCCCGATGCTCGCAATTTCTACATACTGTGCTACAATGGACGTCCTACTAGACATCCGTGTCCGGATGGTCAGGAATTTGTTGGCCGACTTTGTACGGATGTAAGACCCAGACCGAGACCGTTCATATGTCCAGGCGATGGTCGCTACGTTGATCCGGAAAGTCCACGCAGTTACTATGTATGTCTCAGGGGACTGGCATCCCATTATAGCTGCTCGGATCGCTATCTGTTTGACGGCACTACCTGTGTGTCGCAATCGGCTTCCGGCGATTTTCGTTGTCCGCAATCGTACGGCCGGTTTGTCAATCCGTACAATTCGTCCGAATACTATCAGTGCACCTATGGTCGACCTTTACTGCACAAGTGTTCCAGTGGTTCACATTTTGTTGGCGATAGGTGTGTCCATCATGGTAGACCTGTCAATATAGTTGATCCGGATAATAGACACAGTGCATCGGAGGACGTTGATAGGCACCGTCATCAGCATCATCCACACGACCGGTTTCGGGTATTGCAGCATACACGCGATCTGGTCAAATTTGAGTTCAACAATTTCATAATTACCGACCGATTTGATGAGGTGGCCTGGAAGTGGAACCGGGAGATTGCTTCTATAGTCTAGTAGTAGTAGTACCAGTAGTACATATTGTCGATAATTATTATCAATTATTATTATTATTATTATTATTATTGCTTATCATAATATTGGGACAGTAATGCAGTATTATTATTATTATTAAGTAATTTGAAAAACATTTTTTTTAACGTATCGTTTAATAATTTTGAGCCACTTTTAACAAGTTTTTATAAAAAAAATTAATAATATTATTATTATTTTTTAGTTTTTTTTTCTATAGTTTTTATAGTTATTATTTTTAATCATAAATTTATATAATAATCATAGACATTTTTTTATATATCAATATATATATATATACAGTATATATGCGTATATGTGTGTGTGTAGTCAAATAATATATTAAATATGCTTTTATAGTTTTTTTTAAAATAAAATAATAAATCATTTAATAAAATTAATTATTTAGTTTATTATTATTATTTAATTAATTAATTAATTAATTTAAACGGTTTTTGTACTATTGTAGATATTTATACATTTTAATTATAATATGATAGAAACCTATTTATTAATTTTATAACTAGAGTTTGCAAAAAAATAGAGAAATTTCTGGAAAGTTTTTTTAAAAAAAATTCTGCCACATTAGGGTCCATATATTAATTTTGTTGTCCCGATATTTGTTATATTCAACCAATTAATTATAACTATAAATGTTGACTAAATTTTATTATTACTATTTTAATTAATATTCAAAATAACAAAATTAATTATTTAATTAATTTATTAAAACAAAAAAATATAAATCGATTATAAATAAAATTAAACAAAGATTATAAATTATAATTAGATAATTATATTAGTTTTATAAATAATAATTCCATTAATACAGTACTAAAAGTAAAATTTTTATAGAGATTCCTGAAAAACTTTCTAGAAATTTTTTTAAGGAAATTTATTTTAAAAAAATATTATTTGACCATCTCTATTATTAACCAAACCATATCATAATTAACAAAAGCTATATAAATAATTATAATGAAAATTTTATACATTATAAACTTAATATTTTTAGATTTGAATTAATAATTATGCTTAAAAAATATACTTTAAGATTGTTTTTATTGTTATTTAAAAATTGTTATGAGTTTTAATTTTTAAAAACTTTCCTAGCTTGTTTCAAATAATAACACTTATATATATATAGTATATTTTCTTATTAAATGATATTGAATAATATAAAATATATAAAATATTTGTTATATTTTAATTATCTTAAACTAACGGAAATTATATTTAACTATTTCTAATTATTTTATGATCTAAAAATATTTATTGCATTTGACATTAATGGTAGTTTAATAATATATATAAAAAACAATTAAATTTAGTAAAAAAGAAATATTAATTACAATTATTAATATATAAATATTTATTTATTATTTATTTCTAAGTCATAACAACTTTTAAAAACCATAGCTTAACATTTTTTATTATACCATTAAATTTTACACGCCTATATTGTTAACAAATTAAATAATAACAATACAATTATTGTTGCTATAATATAATATAATATTAAATATATATATATATATATATATACCTGTATTAACAAATGGTGTATGAAATTATCATTACTGCGATTTTTAATAATAAATAATATAACTTATCATCAGTTGAAGTACAGTATTGTTTAATGCCCTATCCCTACCCCTACACACACTATACCTAAACCCCATCTAACATATTAATGTCGATAAATAGATAGATAGGAGTGTGTGTGTGTGTGTGTGTGTCTGTGTGTATGTGTCTATAAAATTACTTTAATATATAAATTATTATTTTTAGCTAAATAAATATCACACGACACTAGTTTAGGGTATTTTCACTTTCAATTTTATTATTGTATTCATGTATTGTTTTCACTTTTCAAAAGTGTCGATAATTGCTGTGATATTATTATTATAGAAAAATTAATAACAATATAAAAAATAATTTGATATATATATATATATATATATATATAAGACATTATATTTAAGGTATTCACAATTAGTGTCACAATTTTTTTCAAAAAAAAAATTAATTATATTCTAACATACATTAGTGATATTATTATTATTATCTAATTTGTTATTTTATAATATTATTGTTTTATTTTTTTATTAAAAAAATAGTTACATAATTAATTATAATAATAATAATAAACCCTGTGTGGGTGAATAATTAAAATTTATATAAATGCTATGATACCAAATATGTTCAAGTTTATTTTATTTTTGATCATACCGACAGGTAAGTGTATTATTATTATTATTATTATATTATTTTATCATTTTAATATACTAGTATAACAATTTTTCTATTGTTTTTTTAAACTTTGTAATTTGTACATGTAAAAAAACATGCATAAAATATAATAAATTATGATAATGATACAAAAATATATATATATATTATATTATTATAATGCATATCAACAACAAAAAATTATTTAGTAGTAAAATATTAAATGCTTAATTATTGAATATTATATTTATATTACTGTAATTTTTTTTAATAATGTCAAACAATTATTGTAATAATTAATTAAGACAACTTAAAATCTCTAAATAAATATTTTTATATAAAATAAATAATAATAATTAGATAAATAATAAATGTTTTGTAAACATTTTTTTAAGTAGAAAAATAACTAACTAATAATTTTTTTGTTGGTTTATTTTTTTTGTGATGATAATCCAAAAACAATTATTGTCTAGTCATTTGATAAATACTATTATATTATTTTTATTTGTTTGCTCTAAATTTATTGTTACCAAGTATAAATATAAATACTGTATATATAAACAAAAAAACATAGAGAAAAAAAATAAAATAGTTTAATCATTAGTTAATATTAGTTAAATAAATAAAAATCATAAAGTCCAACAATTTTACTTTCAATATGAGTGTACTTTAAATTATACAGTACTTAACAATTATAATGATTATTATTATGATTAAAAATTATCAATCAAACATTTTTTGTAATCTATGAAAATTATTAGTATTAATAGTAATAATAATATGATAACTATTGTCAATAAGATTATAGAGAGAGAGAAAAAAAAATAAAATAATTGAAAGTATATTCAGGTGTGGATTATTTTTTTTGTTGTTATCGATAAATAACTAACTGATTATCAGTTTTTAAAAAATAAAATTAAATATCAATATAATTAATTGAAAAAATAAAAAAATATGTAATCAAAAAAATTTATTTTATCAATTTATCTAACAATAGTAGGAGTAATATTGGCCCAGGAGTTCAACTGTCCACACGACGGCCGATTCGAGAATCCCCAGAACAAGCACTCGTACTACCAGTGCTCCGATGGTCAGCCCTATCTGCTACAGTGTCCGAATGGCGGCGATTCGGTTACTGCATGGACACAGGTATTCAACGGTGTCGAGTGTGTGGATCCGTACGAGTGTCCCGAAATTGACGGCACCTATAAGCTAACCGATTGGGGCCGTATTTGGTACAAATGTCACGATACTGTACCCCATACCCGTGAGTGTGCCAGTGGCTACCGATACGATGGCCATCGGTGTGTACCGCAGCGGAAGTCGGCATCGCAACATAGGAGGCGTTCACATTCACACTATAGACTATTGTTTAAGGATCGTAACATGGTCAAATTTGAGTTTAACAATCTAATAGTTACCGATATTTTCGATGAGATAGCTTGGCAATGGCGCCGGGAGATTGCAGTCAAATAAATCTAACTGGGTGATCCCCCCTATTTGTGTGTGTGTGTGTGTGATTGTTGTATGTATGTRTGTGTTTGTGTGTGTGTGTGTGTGTGTGTGTGTGTGTGTGTATGATGTGTTGTGTGTGTGTGATTGTTGTGTGTATGATTGTTGTATATGTGTGTGTGTGTGTGATGTACACACTTAATAGTTATTTTTATATTATCTTTAAATTAAGCAAAAAAATAATAATTTTTTATCTTGTTCAAAAAAATGTTGTTATTGTAGGAAAAATACATTCAATAATTAGTTGCTATATATGCAACAAAAATTTTTATTTTACGTATAAATATGTTTGTTTGATATATATATATATATATATATTTATAAATTAATTACCTTAACCTATAAAATTTTATATTTTATATGCATGTATTAATGTATAAATAATAATAAAAAAATAACTAATAAAATTAATGATTAGATAAATTTATTTAATTGCGTATATCTACTGTACATTTAATATTTTAATGTTACTGTATATAGTGTAACATTTATAAAGTTTAATATATATATATATATATATATATATATATATATATATATATATAAGTTATTCATAGGAAAAATTAGTAATCACTAAAAATATTTTTGTTTTTTTAAATAACTAACTGATAGCGATTAATATTCAAAATTAAGTATAATTAATAATGATAGATTTAAGAAAAAATTTATAAAAATAATACTATTAATTATATATATATATATATATTTTATTAAAGTGTACTAATAATATGATACTAATTATAATAACAATAATCAAATCACGTAAACACTTGGAAATTGATTTTTTAAAAAATAACATAAAAAATTATTATCACTAAAATTTTATTGTAAATTTTATACAATAAATTTTAACAATAAAATGTTTGTACAATAATTATTAGCATTACATTATTGTAAATTTTTTTTAAAAAAAATATCTTAAAATTAAAAAATAATAATAACATTGAAAAATAATATTAGCATTTTAATTATCAATCTTAAGACATTGATATATTACAGCTTAAACTAGAAATAACACCAACAAAAATAATAACAATTATATAATTACATCAACTATTTATAATTTATTTGTTTAATATATTATTATTATTATATCTAAACATAAAATCTTATAATAATTAAACAAATTGATAATTCAAAGTAATAGTAATAAAAAAAATTAACAAAATTTTTTTTTGTTTAATAATTTATGATTGCAATTAAAGAAGTATTGTATATAAACTTTTTTTTATATATATATATAATTGTTTTATTTGATGTTTCCGTTTATGTAAATCACAAATTGAAAATATTATATTTAAAATATTTTATATAAAATGAAAATGAAAGCTATTTCGACACACATTTTTACATTTACTTATATTATTTATAGTATATATATATATATGTTATTATTACATACATTTTTTTTGCTATACTAATCAACAAATATTAACTGATAACAATTGATATACCATTTAAGGCATTTTTATATTATTATAATAATAATATTATTATTTAATGTTTGAATACTATATATGCAAGTATTAAAAAAATGCATAAATAGCTCTCAGTTTAAATAAATAGAGTTTATTGTATTATTTTTTAATATGCAGTAAATATTAAATTATTTATTTTAGTTTATATATAAAAATTAATCTCATTAATTCAATACATAGCATTGCATTATTAAATTTTATTTTTTGTGAAAAGTTTTTTTAAAAAACTCAAAAAAAGTTGTTTTATATTAAATATTTATTTAATATTTGATATATTTTTTTTGAATGTAATTAACATTCAATAAATTTTATTTTATATGTGAATGAAATGTTTATTATTGTTTGAATAATATTTTTATTCAACGTATATATATATATATATATACTACATATTATTGTTATAATAATAATAGCAATTATATTTGTAGTATTGTAATAATAAAAATAATAATGTATTTCATTATATTTATTATTATATGCTTAACATTTTGTACAACAAGTAAGTATTACATTATTTTATTGTATTGTTTTATACCTGTATTATATAATAAATATATATATATATATATATATATATATATTTAATTTATAAATATATCACACTCGGTATTATCGCTGTTTAGTCTAATCCCATAATTTTGTTATTAATAAATTATAAGTAGATTTTTAATATTGTAATAATAATAATAATATAAAACTGATTACGCGTTAAGAAATAGGAAATGTTTAACAAATATGACAAAACAGTTATAAGTTTTTTTTAGATAATAATAATATTAATACATAATTGTTGTTTTAAATATAATTTATTACTATAAAACAAAAATCTCTTTCTCACACTAATTAAACTAAAGTTTAGTATAATTTTGTTATAATAATTATTTTCACTAATTAAATATAATTAACTGAGACATTGAATTAATTGAAATAATAATTTATTTTTCAAAAAAAAAATTGATCTAAACTTTAATTTATATAAAAATATAAAGTAATAATAAAAAGTATCTGCTTTATTATAATATAAAAAAAATTGTTTAATTTAATTAATTATATTTAAATTAATAACAACATTAATGAAACAAATTTAAACTCAATTTTTTTATATATTTAAATTAAATTATTAAAATAATTTATTAATATTATTTTTTTATATAAAAAAATAAAATATTTATTATTATTTTATTATCCTTTATATACTATTAAAAATAAAATTTTAAGTGTTTTTTTTTGTTTGTTTGTTGAATCAATAACGATAAGATGCAAATAATATTTAATATTATTAATTTTGTTGTTATTATTGTCTGGTTTAAGGTCAGGGCTAAACATATATAATAAATAGATAAATACTATAGTAATATAATTAGAAAAAATATATATCTAATGTAACAGTATTTCAATAAATAGTTAATTAAAAAAAATAAAATAAATAAATAAATATAGTAAGTTTTTTTTGTTTTGTTAAATGATTTTATAGATAATATATATACATATAAATAATATATATTATACAGTAAATTAAATAATGTCATAAAAATATAAAGTGCAGTTTATTTTTCTTAATAGAAAATAAATATAAATTCAAAACAACTATTTGCTGCTATATTTAATTACAAAAATGTGAACTAAATTATTAGACATTACAATAATTATGTTATTAAAAAAAATCACACATAAAACAATTTAATGAGTCATTAATATATAATATTTCACAAAAAAAAATAAAATTACATCTAAATAGTGTGAATTAATTTATTTAGTGAAATATATATATACTGTATATTAGTTTTTTTTTAAAAAATATTAAAAGGTAATAACAAATATAATTTATTCAACAAAAAAAACAATATAAACTAATTAGAAAAAATTATTTATTATTATTAACTATTGACACAAAAAAAAATTTTTTTTTTTAAATTAAATATCATATTAACTATTAAATATTTTTTAGCACACCATTGTTGTACAATCGACTGTACCGAGGATGGCAACTATGAGCACCCGGATGACAAACACTCCTATATTATGTGCTACAATAACAGGGCAGTCCTACAGCGTTGTCATCTATCCAGGGATAACGTATCGCTGACAGTGTTCAACACTGATCGTCGCCAATGTATCGAACCGTTTAAATGTCCGCAAAGTTCTGGCCAATACAGACACTATTTCAGTGACGCCTATTACTACCGGTGCCATAATTGGCTACCAGTTTTGCACCACTGTCCCGCTGATCATATCTACGACGGTGTCGACCGATGTGTACCCTATTTCCAGTGTCCAGAACTCGGAGGCAACTATCTGTTTCCTGGTAAACCTGACCAATATTTTGAATGCTGCTACGGACGGGCCACTCGGCGCCAGTGTCCATCGGGTGAGCTGTTTGATGGTAAACAATGTGAACCCGGTTATAAGTGTCCGCATCCGATGGGCCGCTATCCACATCCCGTCTATAAGAACCAGTACTACGAATGCAAGTATTGGGAATCCAAATTACATACCTGTTCAGAGGGTACGGTATTCGATGGTAAGTATGCCTGCATTGTTGGCACACATCAGCGCACAGGCAGCTCATCGGGACGTTCAGCCAGCTATACTGCTAGCCAACGACGCCACTATACTACTAGCCAACGACGCCACTATACTACTAACCAACGGCGCCACAATACAGTGGTCAGGACTGTACGAACTGAGCGGGTGCCACAATCACCAGCAGCTGCATCGGCATCATCATCGCATACTGAATTTCAATGTCCGCGATCGTGGGGCAACTATCCGTGTCCGTATGACTCGACCCAGTACTACCAGTGCCAGTATAATCGACCGAATTTGCGTAGTTGTCCGCGACGACAAGTATTCGACGGCTCCCGATGTTCGGATACGTTTGTCTGTCCGCGACTGGACGGCTGGTTTAGGCATCCGACCCGAGAGAACCAATACTACCAGTGCGTCAATGGGCAGCCGTGTCGGCATGACTGTCCACCGGGAGAAGTTTTTGATGGTCATCGCGGTTGTCGCCGACCTTACATACCACCGACAATCGAGTTTCGGTGTCCAAAAAGCGAGGGACTGTTTCCGAGTACGACCAGTAATACCCAATTCTATCAGTGTATCAATATGGTTGCAACACTGCATACCTGTCCTCATAATACTTATTTCAATGGCTACTCGTGTGTCTGCTATCCAAGCAAAGAAAGGCCATACTGTGGGGAAAATCATCCACCCAGGACACCGCCGCCGGATGTGCCGATCAAAGGTCGCGGTTGGGATCGACGGGTATTTGAACAAAACGGTATGCGAATTGTTGACCAATGGGATTCAGTTAGTGAACAATGGCGCCGAACATACGAACCGTTGACCGGCGGTAGTAGTAGTAGTAGTAGTAGTAGTGGATTCAGCTATACTAACGGTGGATTGGCTGCTTTGCCGGGATTGTCGCATTCTAGTGGTTTAGCCGGCCCTCCAGGATATGCCCGACCCATAATGACAGTGCCGGCACAGCGCGAAAAAGGAGAGTCCGGTCTCGACATCAACGACGTCAACACTGGCGATAATAGTCGTTCGTCATCGTCAGCCGAGTCTGAAGAAGACAGTCGTGTCGTCGGTGGTGATAATGATGATGATGATGATGACGATGAAGACGATGTCGACAAAAAAGACGATGACTATAATGATGACGAGGACAGTCGTGATGGTGGTAGCGATGGCGATGGCAATGATATAAATCCAGTATAAATTTATGGATAATATAAAATTTGTTTTTAAAAAAACAATTTAATTATAATTGATTGCTAATTAATATTCAATATTATTATTAATTATTAGATTTTATTATTAATATTATATAGAATTAGTTTAAAGTACAAGAATATACTGATAGATATATATATATAAATAATCTGTTATTTTTAATGACAAAAAATTAAAATTTACTAAAATTGACTACTTTAAAAAAAATTAATATAATAAATAACTATAAATTATAATTTAAAATTATTATACTGTATTATTAGTTTGTTTGTTTGTTTAAAAAATAAATAATGATAAACGCACACATATATTAATATAGAAAAAATATATAAATGTTTGTGATGTTTAATAAATTATTGACAACTATTTTTTAATTATTTGTAATAAATAAATTAAAAAAATGTTTAAAACATTTAGTGAATTAATTTATGCTTAAAACAAACATATTAATAAAACATACAAAAATAATTATTTTTAAAAATCATAAAAATTATCTATTTATTTAAAAAGATTATTTTTTTGCAACATTAAATAATTATTTCATACTATTAATAATTTTATTTTATTATATTATTTGATTTCAATAAATATAAACTAAAATTATGAAAAATATTTACTACTATTCAGGAGGCGATATGAAAAAAGTTGTTTACACTAAATCTCAATTATACTAATATTGTGTATAGAAATTATTAATAAATACATAACAATATAATAAAAATATATACAGTATATATAAATACAATTTTTATTATATATTACAAAAAATAAAATAATTATAGCCATCATTAGTAATATAGTTTTATTAAATAATGTAATGTTATATTTAGTAACAAAATCATTGCAAAAGTCATATACAGTATTATAGGATATATAATACTGTAATTTCCATAAATCATATACACATCTAATAGTAAAATATAAAAATACATATAATTAAATGATTTTTTTATAATTAAAATAAAACTTTTAGTTGCCATTTCAAACATTGCTATAAATTTCGGATTTAGATAAAAAATTTAATATTTTACTTGTATGGATGTAAATTTTATATAAAGTATAAAAAATTGTTTGTTTAATTGTGATGAAAGTGATAATAATATTGTAAATAATATAATACCAACTATAACTGCATTAACTAGTAAAAGATATGTCATAAAATTAGACGTTAACAATATTAATAGTGAAAATATAAATACAATCGTTACACCCATTATAAGCCAAATTGATGCAAAATATTTAGACCAAAATTCAGTATTATATTCATTAATATCATTACAAAGTTTATTCAATATATGTAATGAATTTAAAAATTTGTTATATTGTAATTGTTTATTATTATTAGTAGTATTATAATTGACAAAAATTAATTTATTTAAAGTTTTTAGTCTTATATTTAGATAATAACATAATAAATAAAAATAGATGACATTCCAGGTATAGATAGCATAAGTGTGTTTTATAAATATGATAAAAATTACTATATTATGCAAACCATATATTAGAAATTTTATAAAACCCACGTTATATATCATAAATAATAATATAGTTGTAAATACTAATGACATATATTGATTAATTAATTGATTTATTTTAAACAAAAACTTTGAGATATTTATAAACTTTATCAGTGTTTGAGTGTCAATGAGTCCAACACTACTGGGTGTCCGCAAACCGGACAGCATATCAAATACTGATAAAAATTTAAGCGAAATACCCGCGCAATAGTTATAGTAATAAATACTGTAAATGATTAAACATAACACATATAATAGTATTGTTATAATTCTAATGATTTCAACATTTTTTCCAAAATAATAGTCACTATCGCATAGAAATATATGCCATTCGCTAGAAATGTCTAGTTTTCTAGCAATCAATAGCCATATATTTCTTATAATAAAATATAATAATATCATTGGATTCAGGAATGGATGTGAAGTCCAGTGTCGTCGTCGTCTAGGAGTTGTAATTATCTGTGGTTTCAAACACAAACCAATTGTATATAACTGACTGCACGCGCAAACAACACGTAGTTTTGGTGGCAATACTTGATTTAAATTTATAAATAATTTACTCATATTTTTTTAATTATTATTATATTTGTTGTTTATATAATAATAGTTTAAAATATTATAGACTAATATACAATATATAATAATTTAAACTATTTATTATAAAATTCTACTAAAGTATATTATTTTAATTTATTTTAAATAAACTATTTCAGTAATAAACTATTCAACAACAAAAAAAATATTTAATTATGAAATTTAACATTTACTTATAATAATAATAATAAATTTTTTTTCTACATAAACAATAATAATTTCATATTATTAATATTATTTTATGCTTATTTTTAATGTTTATTTTTAATGTTTATTTTATTATATTATTTGACGTAAATAACAAAAATAATTGTTTTTTTTAATTCTTAATTATCTTGATTTTATTGACCAATATTTATATTATATCAAGTTTTTTATAATATAGAAATCATTAGTTTATTAATTGTATAAAAATGTTATATTTATAACGTTATTGACAAAAGTTAGTTTTTGCAATCAATGTAATTATTAACATAAATTTTATATCTATCTATAAATAGAATATAATTAAAATAAAAATATAATTAAAATATTTTTTTAAAAATAATTAACAAAATAAAAATTACATAAATATATACAGTATATAAGTAAAATTATAGAAAAAAAACTAAAAATATGTTTAAAATATTATATTATATTTTAAATTATCATAAGAAATAAAACGATATTTAAAATTTAGTTTATTAAAGAAAATATTTTATATTATTTAATTAATTGTTTTATACTAAACATATTAAAAAGTTGTAATGCATACTTACAGTGCATGCAAAAAGTAAATGTTATTTTTATTGATTGATTACAAAACAATTGTTTTAATAAATTAAATTATATTTCTCACGAGTTATTATTATTATTATTTTAAATTAGTATTCAATTCTAGAATTGATTAATACAATCAAACAGTTTGTCACCCAAGAAAAAAATCAATCAATTCATACAACCAGACAAACACATCCATCGATAATGTCATCGGCAATGGATAACAACGACAACACAACTAAAGTTGTATACAAGACACGAGTGGTGTTCAAAGTGGACATAAAAAATCTATTGTCTAATAATCAGAATATTATTAAGAATTTTATTATTGAAAGTCAAGAACTAAACATTGGATCAGATAAATGTTTAATATTTATTTGTTTTCATCAAATGGTGAAATTAAATCGGCTAATCCGGAGTTTACGCACATTAAATAAAATTGATTTTTTTCAACAGATAATAGTTAATTATGACCTAACAAACATATATCCATCAAAATTATTGCGCGGAAACACCTAAAACCTAACTAAAACATAACCTAAATACCTGAGCTCTCATAACATAATTCTACACTAATTATAAATAAAATAATATTAAACAAACATAAAGCGCGTGAATATAATTAACATTTATAACAATGATAATAAAATAGTATTATTGTCATTTCTTTATAATACTTTTAAAAACAACTAGTTATCCATGCGGAACATATAACCATCTAATTTTATAGAATTTATAAATTAATTGAACCACAATAATAATGATTTTAAAACATAAATCCAATATATGAATGTTATTTAACGTGACAAACACTGATTCCGTAACCACAGTACTATATAGATTAGGTTAGGTTACCATTGAAAATTAGGTTAGGTTGCGGTTCGAACACCAGGTTAGGTAACGCGACAAACACTGATTCCGTAACCCAAGTACTGTATGAATTAGGTTAGGTTACCATTAAAAATTAGGTTAGGTTGCGGTTCGAACACCAGGTTAGGTAACGCGACAAACACTGATTCCGTAACCCAAGTACTGTATGAATTAGGTTAGGTTACCATTAAAAATTAGGTTAGGTTGCGGTTCGAAAACCAGGTTAGGTAACGCGACAAACACTGATTCCGTAACCCAAGTACTGTATGAATTAGGTTAGGTTACCATTAAAAATTAGGTTAGGTTGCGGTTCGAACACCAGGTTAGGTAACGCGACAAACACTGATTCCGTAACCCAAGTACTGTATGAATTAGGTTAGGTTACCATTAAAAATTAGGTTAGGTTTCGGTTCGAACACCAGGTTAGGTAACGCGACAAACACTGATTCTGTAACCCAAGTACTGTATAAATTAGGTTATGTTACCATTGAAAATCAGGTTAGGTTGCGGTTCGAACACCAGGTTAGGTAACGCGACAAACACTGATTCTGTAACCCAAGTACTGTATTAATTAGGTTAGGTTACCATTGAAAATCAGGTTAGGTTGCGGTTCGAACACCAGGTTAGGTAACGCGAATAGCACTGATATCGTAACCCCAGTACTATATAAATTAGGTTAGGTTACCATTGAATATTAGATTAAGTTGCGAAGACATTGACACTTAAATTTATATATACATACAAACATTTTAAAATTATATAGTTGTATAGATAATAATATAATAATATTGTTTTATTATACAGTGATTGATAACAATATTCACGCGCTTTATGTTTTTTTAATATTAATTTATTTATAATTAGTATAGAATTATAATTTAGTTCTCGTGTATTAAGTATTGACAACAATATTATTCTATTAAAGTTGTTATAAATGTTAATAATATTCACGCGCTTTATGTTTGTTTAATATTAATTTATTTATAATTAGCGTAGAATTATGTTATGAGAGCTCAGGTATTTAGATTAGGTTTTAGTTAGGTTTTAGGTGTTTCCGCGCAATAATTTTGATGGATATATGTTTGTTAGGTCATAATTAACTATTTTCTGTTGAAAAAAATCAATTTTATTTAATGTGCGTAAACTCCGGATAGGCCATTAAATCTTCGAGTGATTTACTTTGAACATCAATTTTCATTTGAAGCTGAATACGTAATGTACATCATTGACGACAATAACCAACTGTTTGTCAAAAAAGAGATGAATTATGAGTTTAATTCGACTAATCGTTACAATAACTCTGATATTTGTTCAGTTAAACAGCTGTTGAATAATAAGGACCGACTATTGGCTAATAATATTTTAACCGTTGGTTTCGATATAACAGTTTACAAGAAAATCAAGTGTCGGGAAAATTCTGTCCCAAAACGCAATCGTTTCGGAAGAAAATCGGAAGACATTACCAAAGATTGTCGATTAGTTGTCGGCAAAGAAGATCAGAAAGAGTTTTTCGTCTCAAAACTGTTTCTCAGTTCAAAGTCGGATGTCTTCGATAGGATGTTTACCACAGATTTTATTGAAAAGAAAAGCAACGAAGTGATCATCGATGACATCCATAGCGATGTCTTCGAGCAGTTCCTACAGTATCTCTACACTGGAAACTGTGACAAAATGTATGAAATGATTGATGAGTTGCTATACGTTTCCGACAAATACATGGTATCATCGCTGAAGACTATTTGTTTGAATTTGATTTTCTTGAAAATCAATGGTAAAAATGTTTAACAAACAATACAACAATTGAAAGACTTTGGTGCCGATGAAGAACTCATGAAAAAAACAAAGAAATGGATCGGAGATAACATCACTTCAGTGTTAAATCAAGATATTCTCAAACACTGTACCATTGATTCAGAAGATGTGTCAGAAATTGTCTCTCATTTAGTAAAACAATTGCTTCCAAGAGAATCACATTTAATATATTATACATACAGTTTTAATACTTAAATTAGATTTTCTTTGTATCGATATTTTCATTTAGTATTATTAATTAAAAACTAGTATTTTATTTGTTTTTTACTATTCAGTTATTACAAAATTTGTATGTATTTTAACAATTTTTTTTAGTTATCTATTATTTATTGTATTTCAGTATTACTGTCAAAATTAACATTCAATGATTTACATTAAACATTTCTATTTAAATTTGTATTTCACTTTTGTATTTAATTATATTATGAAAAAAATTTAAATAATAAAATATTATTTTTACCTATAAAAATAAAAACAAACAAAACATTTTCTTATGGTTTAATATGAGGTGTAGGATGTGTTGTCTGTCCGCTGATCATACGATTGCCATCACCGACAAGTCGTAGATAGAAATCAGCCGACACCGTCGGCATCCAGTGTCAGAAAATACTGGTCACTGGGTATGTCCTCTATAGTTTCGGCCGCTTTGGCAATGGCCGTACCCTCATCGTACTCGTCAAACATGGCTACATAGGCACTGGGTATGGCCAGTTGCCTAAGATTGACAATCAATAAAAAAAAGTCAAACAATTGGATCAATGATAACATGATTTCAGTGTTTAATCAAGAAATTCTCAAAACACTATACCATTGATTCAGAAAATATATCACAAATTTTCACTCAATTAGGAAATCAATTGATTTTTAAATCTTATACTTATGTTTTTATAGTCATATAGTTATTTGATTTAAAAAATTAAATATTAAAATTTTGTCCAAAAAAGGTTGTTTTATATATTAATAATTAATATTTCAAAACTATTTAATTGCTACATATTTTATTTATTTAAAAAAATTAATTGTTTACTAAATTAACTCATAATTTAGTGTTTTTTTAATTAACAAAAAAAAACAAGTTATAATAATTAGTTTAATAATTAATTAAATACAATTATACAGTGACTGATAAATTAGTTGTTGTAAAACTGTTGTATTATTATATTTCTCACGAGTTATTAGTATTATTATTATTTTAAATTAGTATTCAATTCAAACTGATTATTACAATCAAACTGTTTGTCACACAAAAAAAATCAATCAAATCATATAACCAGAGAAACACATCCATCGATAATGTCATCGGCAATGGATAACAACGATAACGACAACACCGCTAAAGTTGTATACAAGACACGAGTGGTGTTCAAAGTGATGGATATCACAGATTATTTAGATACCGATGAATCAAACAGGAAATGCTTGTCTATTGACAGCAAAATGTTTACCATTGGATCAGATAACTGGTTCTGTCATATTCGTATCAATAACGAAGAGATGCTGTCATATCTAGAATTGTCAACAATTAATAAAACTTTATTATTACCAATTGAAGTAAAAATTACGGTATCAATCATTGACAACAACAATCAATTGTTTGCGACAAAAGAAAATAGATATCTATTTCACATGAATTTCCGAAATAGTATACCATTAGTTGTCACAATACAACAGTTGTACGACAATAGGAACCGGCTATTTGATGGCAACGTACTTACCGTTGGTTTTGATATAACAGTGATTCACAAGAAATACAATGTCCACGAAATGTTTGACACAAATCGCTATAGTTTCAGACAATTGTTTGTTGTCAAAGAGTTGACCGATTGTCGACTGATTGTCGGCAAAGAAGATCAGAAGTCAGAGTTTTTCGCTTCAAAATTACTTCTCAGTTCACAATCAGAGATTTTCGAGAAGATATTTACCACCGATTTTATTGAAAAGAAAAACAACGAAGTGATCATCGATGACATCCATAGCGATGTCTTCGAGCAGTTCCTACAGTATCTCTACACTGGAAACTGTGACAAATTGTATGAAATGTGTGATGAGTTGCTATACGTTGCCGACAAATATATGGTTTTGTCGCTGAAGACTATTTGTTTGAATTTGATTTTCTTGAAAATCAATGGTAAAAATGTTTATCAAACAATACAACAATTGAAAGACTTTGGTGCCGATGAAGAACTCATGAAAAAGGCAAAGAAATGGATCGGAGATAACATCACTTCAGTGTTAAATCAAGATATTCTCAAACACTGTACCATTGATTCAGAAGATGTGTCAGAAATTGTCTCTCATTTAGGAAAACAATTGCTTCAAAGAGAATCACATTTAATATATTATACATACAGTTATAATACTTAAATTAGATTTTCTTTGTATCGATATTTTCATTTAGTATTATTAATTAAAAACTAGTATTTTATTTGTTTTTTACTATTCAATTATTAGAAAATTTGTATGTATTTTAACAAAAATGTTTTTTAGTTATCTATTATATTATTGTATTTCAGTATTGCTGTCAAAATTAACATTCAATGATTTACATTAAACATTTCTATTTAAATTTGTATTTCACTTTTGTATTTAATTATATTATGAAAAAAATTTAAATAATAAAATATTATTTTTACCTATAAAAATAAAAACAAACAAAACATTTTCTTATGGTTTAATATGAGGTGTAGGATGTGTTGTCTGTAAGGGTATCTGTCCGCTGATCATACGATTGCCATCACCGACAAGTCGTAGATAAAAATCGCCAGACACTCGGACACCGTCGGCATCCAGTGTCAGAAAATACTGGTCACTGGGTATGTCCTCTATGGTTTCGGCCGCTTTGGCAATGGCCGTACCCTCATCGTACTCGTCAAACATGGCTAGATAGGCACTGGGTATGGCCAGTTGCCTAAGATTGACAATCAATAAAAAAAAGTCAAACAATTGGATCAATGATAACATGATTTCAGTGTTTAATCAAGAAATTCTCAAAACACTATACCATTGATTCAGAAAATATATCACAAATTTTCACTCAATTAGGAAATCAATTGATTTTTAAATCTTATACTTATGTTTTTATAGTCATATAGTTATTTGATTTAAAAAATTAAATATTAAAATTTTGTCCAAAAAAAGGTTGTTTTATATATTAATAATTAATATTTCAAAACTATTTAATTGCTACATATTTTATTTATTTAAAAAAATTAATTGTTTACTAAATTAACTCATAATTTAGTGTTTTTTTAATTAACAAAAAAAACAAGTTATAATAATTAGTTTAATAATTAATTAAATACAATTATACATTGACTGATAAATTAGTTGTTGTAAAACTGTTGTATTATTATATTTCTCACGAGTTATTATTATTATTATTTTAAATTAGTATTCAATTCAAACTGATTATTACAATCAAACTGTTTGTCACACAAAAAAAATCAATCAAATCATATAACCAGAGAAACACATCCATCGATAATGTCATCGGCAATGGATAACAACGACAACTCAAACACCGCTAAAATTGTATACAAGACACGAGTGGTGTTCAAAGTGATGGACATTACAGAACATTTGGACACCGATGAATCAAACAGGAAATGCTTGTCTATTGACAGCAAAATGTTTACCATTGGATCAGATAACTGGTTCTGTCATATTCGTATCAATAACGAAGAGATGCTGTCATATCTAGAATTGTCAACAATTAATAAAACTTTATTATTACCAAATGAAGTACAAATTACGGTATCAATCATTGACAACAACAATCAATTGTTTGCGACAAAAGAAAATAGATATCTATTTCACATGAATTTCCGAAATAGTATACCATTAGTTGTCACAATACAACAGTTGTACGACAATAGGAACCGGCTATTTGATGGCAACGTACTTACCGTTGGTTTTGATATAACAGTGATTCACAAGAAATACAATGTCCACGAAATGTTTGACACAAATCGCTATAGTTTCAGACAATTGTTTGTTGTCAAAGAGTTGACCGATTGTCGACTGATTGTCGGCAAAGAAGATCAGAAGTCAGAGTTTTTCGCTTCAAAATTACTTCTCAGTTCACAATCAGAGATTTTCGAGAAGATATTTACCACCGATTTTATTGAAAAGAAAAACAACGAAGTGATCATCGATGACATCCATAGCGATGTCTTCGAGCAGTTCCTACAGTATCTCTACACTGGAAACTGTGACAAATTGTATGAAATGTGTGATGAGTTGCTATACGTTGCCGACAAATATATGGTATCGTCGCTGAAGACTATTTGTTTGAATTTGATTTTCTTGAAAATCAATGGTAAAAATGCTTTCCAAACAATACGACAATTGCAAGACTTTGGTGCCGATGAAGAACTCATGAAAAAGGCAAACAAATGGATCGGAGATAACATCACTTCAGTGTTTAATCAAGAAATTGTCACAAATTGTATCTCATTTAGGAAAACAATTGCTTCCAAGAGAATCACATTTAATATATTATACATACAGTTATATTAATTAAATTAGATTTTCTTTGTATCGATATTTTCATTTAGTATTATTGATTAAAAACTAGTTTTTTTACTATAAAGTTATTGCAAAATTTGTATGTATTTTAACAAACAATCTATTGTATTATTATTTCAGTATTACTGTCAAAATTAACATTCAATGATTTACATTAAACATTTGTAATTGAAAATTTGTATTTCACTTTTGCATTATATTTAATTATAGACTGAAAAATATTATGAAAATTATTTATAGTTAAATAATAAACTTTTATTTTTAACCCAAAATAAAATTACAAACAATACATTTTATTTATGATTTAATATGAGGTGTAGGATGTGTTGTCTGTAAGGGTATCTGTCCGCTGATCATACGATTGCCATCACCGACAAGTCGTAGATAAAAATCGCCAGACACTCGGACACCGTCGGCATCCAGTGTCAGAAAGTACTGGTCACTGGGTATGTCCTCTATGGTTTCGGCCGCTTTGGCAATGGCCGTACCCTCATCGTACTCGTCAAACATGGCTACATAGGCACTGGATATGGCCAGTTGTCTAAGATTGACAAACTGTTGCCACATAAAATCACCATGCAATCGGGGCTGGGCGTTACGGGTTGTGTTGTGCCAATTGCTCCAGGCAAAACCGGGGTACAGTACCGGATGATAATCTATAATAAATCAAACCAATATTCAATGTATAATATAAGTGTACTGAAAGTTATTAAATATTATTACAGCTTTTATAGTACAGTACAGTATATACCATAACAGTTAGTCTAATTTAAACTTTATACTATGGAAATACAATACTTAAAATTATTTGATAACTGAACTTGATAATTTATACTAAAAAATTAAGCCTTAATTATACCTATAGGTATATAAATGTACTATTTAACTAATATCTAAGTTGCCTGTATCACTAACACTATCAGCTTTATTTGTGTTATCTTAATAGTAATATTACATACAATATAATGCTAATGTATAATACATTTATAGTTGTATAAGTTTTTTTTTAAAAAAAACAACTAAATATATAAATAATATCAATATTATGAATCATAATTTATGATATTACAGTATTATTATAATATTATAATTATACAGCATTACATACCAATGTTATGTTGTACAAGAAACTCGTAGTCAGCCTTGAGCACCGGCTGGTATAACTGAGCCCCTTTGACACTTGACATTGATCCGACTGCCCATGGTTGTAGCATGTTCAACCGTAAGTATACCTCCCGAAAGTTGCTAATATCGCGCCAATTACGTGGCACACCACCAATCACATAATAGCCCTCAAGTTTGAGTGCATCGATAAGCCTGATCAGACCGGCCGTATCTTTCGGTCGATTAGTAAATCCCAGTCCCCACATACATACAACAGGCCGACCATTTTGGTGGGCATAGGCACTGGAGTTGAATACACCCAACGGTTTCAGATTTACGGTCAAATCATCGGGTATTTCCGACTCAAACTTATCCCAACCCGATATGTCCCACATTATATAGAACTTGCGGTTATAATGTTCGGCACTGGCCATCACTTTACCGGCCATACCGTTAAGCCGTTGTCTAAACATTTAAAAAAAATAATTTTATTTTTTGTTTTCAATTTATTTGTTTAACTAAAAATCAAATATAATTTATCTAAAAAAATATCTATAAATATATTAATAATTACAAATAGTAATAAATTTAATTATATGTGTATTTTAATTATTATGCATCTATTTTTTGATATTGTTTATTAGGCCCACACCACCTGAAAGGAGGGCAGGCCCTGTGCAAAAATTTTTAGCTAATACTCATTTAAATTATCTACTCTACACGGTAATCTTTAGTAAAAGGCGAAAGATTATTACGCTTTTAAATGTGAGTAGACATGAGCTTAACCTACCAGTCCTCTCGTCAACCAATACGGCCTAATAGGCAACAATTTTCATTGACAGTCTATACTAATAAATAATTAATCTAAACATCATAATTATCAATAAATTTTTCTAAACTCATTAAATATAGTTTAAAAACAATATTTAGCATAATATTTTGTATGTATATTTTTAAAAAATATTTATTAAACATGCTTAATTAATTAACTAATTTAATAGTTTGATTGAAAATTATAGGTATATTTAATTTATTATAACATATAAGTTATATCAAGCGTTACTTTTTAAAAAAAAAAATGTAAATTCGTATTAAAACTACTAGTCTTTAAAAAACGCGTGATTCACTGTCCCGCGTGACTACACGTGTGCTAATAGTAGATCCATAAAACAAACTACACACCCACCCCTACACACACACACACACACACATACACTAACTCACTAACCCACTTGAATATCAAATTTCATATATATATATATATATATATATATGACTTACTTAAACAATTGGTTGACTTTTGACTCGACTGGCAAACCTTTGTAGGGCTGCGCCATCGATGTTATTCTGTTTCATCCATAGGAAATGTGTATCAACTGACTGGTTGTCCCACGAACTGAACAAACGGGCCGGTTGTCCGGTGCCCAGTGGCTCGTAGCCAGTCTGATAGGTGCGATTATACTCGCGGACATCCGGCCACAATTCAAACGACTGGTGTCCCGCACGTGGAGGATTACCGCCCCAATGTATCCATTGGTTGTTCGGCGATCCGTCACCTTTGGCATCGAACCATCCCTGATAGCCGACCACCAGTTTGCCTACTATGTCACCGACGGGACTGCTGTTGGCGGTGGTTATGGTTAACCCTAATTGATGTGTAATAGATATTATAATAATTATATTAATATTTATCGATATAATTAGTTTCATTTTTTTATTTATTTATTTTAAAAATAATTATAGTAATCGTTAGTTTAGTACAGTTAGTACAGTTAGTACAGTTAGTACAGTATAAAAATTTAAAAAATAATATTTTTTATACAATAGGATATTGATTATTGAAAAAATTAATATAAAAAACATATGTCATATTACGCAAACATTGTTATTTTTTAAAAATAATTAATCAAAAAATATTACTATTTTTAAATCAATATTAATATATAGTAATAAATATCAATTAATTGTTTATTGTTAAATATAGCAATTTAAGAATAATATTTTTTTTCAATCTAATAACTAGTGTATTGATTAATAATTTTTTATACTCTATTAAATAGTTGTTATAATAGTTGCTAAAAAACGTCAAATAGTTGTTAAAATAGTTATTTAAACTGTATTAAATAGTTGTATATAGTTGCCAAAAAAAGCCAAATAGTTATTGAAATAGTTATTTATTTTCTTATAAATATTTCAACTGATATATAATTCACTTGTTTTCAGCATATTTTAAAAAATGATTTATATAAATAAACTAATTATTTCTATTGTTAAAAAAGTTAATTTATATAACTATTACTTTTTGTTTTTACATATATTTAAGCAATATTTTACAATCTAATGCTTATATTTTTCAAAATAACTGAAATAGTTATTTATAAGTTTTTATAGTTGCTAACCTAACAAATAGTTATTTATAGTTATAATAAAATTTCGGAAATAGCGTCCACTGGTCAACTTCGGTGGACATACTAAGTCCCAGTTATAAGCGTTAAACCGACAAAATAATTTTTTTAGTTGAAAATCAAGACACTACTAATAACTATGTGTTTTTTTATTTGATGTTAATGAGTTTGCTAATTTATTAAAAAAATAATATTACAAATAATCATTATTATGTTAACTAATTGAATAGACATTAATAGTAAAAAAATGAATTTAATAAAATTTAAAAAATATTACTAAAAATTATATTTTATATATAAAAAGCATAACTTTAATTTAGTTTTATTATTTCAATATTTATGAAATATCATAACTTATAAAATATTATTTTTAATTTATTTTTATTAGTCTAAAAAATTAAGTGCCACGTTATACACTAGTATTAATTTATCCATTAATAGTAATTTAAATAATAGTCTTAATAATAATTATGTTCAAGCTTATGTAGCTAACAAAACTGTCTATCCTGGACAGTATCATTCAATTTTAACGCTACATTAACCTGGTTAGCTGGGACAACCATTTAGTATACCTGTATGTGGTGGTGGTTCACTTATCAGTGACCGACACATATTGACACCAGTGCTCAATGTGTTCAACAATTTATTAAGTTATAAATTATTTTTATTAAAAATTTATTATATTAATAAAAAACATAATTATTGCATAAATTTATTTTAAAATTGGTTTAATTTTATTTTATTAAACTCTATAATAATGCCAATCAAATTAGCATAACTAACCAAATCGATGTACGTATGGGTATTGAAAACATTATTGAAAATACTAATCATAATAAACATAGGTTTGAATTGACTTTTTTGCAATAGTGTTGACAAGTTTGCCGGCTTTCGAGTCCTCCAAAGTAAACACAATATCCGTGTCGTCGTTGTTGACAACCGTCACAACTGTCGAGTTGTTTGGCGTACGAAAGGCACCGACGAGTGCACTGTTGGCCTCCTGTTTGACCACTTGTGTGTCGACTCTAACAGATCCCGGTTTAATAAACTTACTGAACTGAGCCAATGCATAGAAGTGCGGCTGTCGATAGTACTCGTGTTTGGCGGCATCGACCAGAATAGGTGCATCCACAAAATTATTGACCCAATTGGGACCACCCCGGGTGTCCAGTGCCATATTCCAGTCTACCCAACCAATTGAATGGTGTAATAGTACCTAATAAATAAAAATTTATATTATAATGATATTATTATTATTTTGATCAAGCTCAATTTTACTCCAAGTATATCATGAGCGTACAGCTCGGCCTGTTTCCATAAGCCTAACTTTGCGCCATACATTACACAGGCTTCGGTAGCCAATAAAAATTTATCCGAATGTTCTCTAAATGGCTGATCTAACTGGTCGTGCGATCGGGTATTATACCAATGAAATGCAGTACCGGCTATATATTTGGCTGCACTGGGATCAGCATAGACTGTCTTAGTATAGGCCTCAATGCCGTCCATATTGAAATCCCAGGTCATGACCTTGAGTTTGTCGACACCCCAACCGCTTTGGTGAAGCTCCGGACCCAATGTTTTGGACATAAAGTCGCGCATCTGTTCAGCAGTAATATGCATGGAGTTGTAGGCAGTGGTTATCAATGGCTCGTTGAGGACAGTTAAACCCCAATGTGTTATGTTATGTTTATTTTTGTACTCATCCAGGTATCTGTGAACAATAAAAAAAATATAAATTATACGAAAATAAACATGTTTTATAATAATTACTTACTTTATAATATATTTAGCGTATATCTGCCAGTACTCAGTGCCCGCTTCACCCTTGATGGTACCTCCGTGTGCGATATCATTGTTGGTTTTCATCCATTTGGGTGCAGACCAGGGACTACCAAATAGACGGATCTCATGTGTGGCCAATTCTTTAGCCCTTTTAATGTATGGTATCTGAAAAATTCATAATATTTATAAACATAAAAAACTTTATTTAATTGGGACCTACTTTATAGTCATAGTCCTCCCGTTCCAGTTTCCAATTGGCCAGTGTTTTGTCCTCAACATTGTTATCGTATTCATAACCGCGCGCTGAAAAGTCACTGCCACCGATTGGCACCCGATTTACACTATACTCAATACCATCTTTGCTAAAGTAGTCGTGTAGTACCTGATCGCCTAATTTATCGCCCAATGCTTTCAGATTAATACCGGTGGCATCGGTAAAGGCACCGCCAAAACCCAATATCTCCTGAAACTTGATATCACGGTTTACTTTGACATGTAGTTGGGCAGCATTACCAGTAGTATTGTTGAATTTGTCGCCAAACTTGAGTGTCTGTTTGCGTAGTCGGGCGCCGTCACGACTCGAAAACCAATTGTTCACTACATCGGGTGCCGTACGCACTGGTGTCTCGATTTTAGCGCACGGCTCCGACTCAGTACAGACACAAACAAAACTGTCGTAACCTGTTTTGTGATTTTTACAGTCCGGCTCTAAACCAGATACTAATGTACAGTCTAACTGTACAACTAATAATAATAATAATAATGGGATAGTTAGCAAAGAGCACTTTACTATCATAATTATTGTATATTTTTTGCAACGTTTTTTAAAAAAATATAATATGTCTTATTATGATATTTCAAAAGACTTGTTGCCAACTATTTAAAAAAATTAATTAATTATTTTTTATATATATTTGGTTTATATCTTAAATACTATATATTTATTTGATTTTTTTTATTATTTCTTTTATTTATCAATTACCTAATTTTAACCAATATCTTATCATTATATACTTATTTTTTTAATTTTATTTTTCTTATCTATTATTACTAATTATATAACACGGATTCAGTTAATATTTAATATTAATATAAAAAAAATAATAATCATTAATACATTGGTATTTTTTTGAAACAGTGATACAGAGCAAACTATAATCTTAAATATTAATACTTATGTATTTATCTGTTATAAGTTTATAATTTTTTTTTAATACTTATATATTAAATATCAATATTATACTGTATTACAAATAGTCAATAATAATAATACAAATAATTTCAAACAATAACAAAACACTTACCGTAGTTTTATTTTTTTTATAAATATATATATATTTAAATTGTTACAAGTAATATTAGTGAAAAATATGTTCAAGATTATGTGATAATAATTTTGTACACAATATATTATTTTTGTGTCATGGTAATTTTWYTTAAGTATATGTATTAGTAATATTTTAACAATATAATTAATTTTTGTTTTTTACATTTTGAATTTTTTAWTATATATTTTATTAAATAAATTTTTTATTGGACAATGATACATGGATATTAACTAATAAAGTGCTTACAATAATTTTGTGTTGTTTGTTAGGTTAGAGTTTGTTGTTAAGTTAAATTTAAAATCTATAAAATTTGTATTAAAACACTTATTTTGATTTTTGTTGTTGTTTTGTTTGATTTAAAATTAGAATATATTTAAACTATATATAGAATAATAATAATAAAATATTTTTAATAATTAATTAAGCAATTAGTTAATTAAATAAAAATAATTTCTAAAAATAAATAAAAATAAATTAAATCTAAGTAAATTTTATTTTCATATTCAATATTTTTCTAAAATAAATAAACTGTATAAAATAACAAAATTAAATAATAGATATACTGTAATAGGATAAAATAATTTTTTATTGTTATTTTTATAATCTAAAATAATTAATATATTAATATCAATTTATTGTATAAACTGTTTTAAAATACTAATCATAATAAACAAAGGATTGAATTGACTTTTTCGTAATAGTGTTCAAAAGTTTGCCGGCTTTCGAGTCCTCCAAAGTAAACACAATATCGGTGTCACCGTTGTTGACAACTGTCACAACAGTGGAGTTGTTTGGCGTACGAAAGGCACCGACGAGTGCATTGTTGGCCTCCTGTTTGACTACTTGTGTGTCGACTCTAACAGATCCCGGTTTAATAAACTTACTGAACTGAGCCAATGCATAGAAGTGCGGCTGTCGGTAGTACTCGTGTTTGGCGGCATCGACCAGAATAGGTGCGTCCACTGAGTTGTTAACCCAACTGGGACCACCCCGGGTGTCCAGTGCCATATTCCAGTCTACCCAACCAATTGAATGGTGTAATAGTACCTAAATAGTAGAAAATTATATATTAAATTATGTTATTATTATTTTTTGATCAAGAACAATTTTACTCCAAGTATATCCTGAGCGTACAGTTCGGCCTGTTTCCATAAGCCTAACTTTGCACCATTCATTACACAGGCTTCGGTAGCCAATAGAAATTTATCCGAATGTTCCCTAAATGGCTGATCTAACTGGTCGTGCGATCGGGTATTATACCAATGAAATGCAGTACCGGCTATATATTTGGCAGCACTGGGATCGGCATAGACTGTCCTGGTGTAGTCCTCGATTCCGTCCAAATTGAAATCCCAGGTCATGACCTTGAGTTTGTCGACACCCCAACCGCTACGCTGCAGTTCCGGACCCATTGTTTTGGACATAAAATCTCGCATCTGTTCAGCAGTAATATGCATGGAGTTGTAGACCATTGTTATCAATGGCTCGTTGAGAATAGTCAGACCCCAATGTGTTATGTTATGTTTATTTTTGTACTCATCCAGGTATCTATAAAAAGTATTCATAAATTTTTTAATATAATTAATAAATACAATACTATTAGAAAAATATTTTTTTATTACAATACTTACTTTATAAGATACTTTGCATATATCTGCCAGTATTCAGTATTTACTTCACCCTTAATGTTACCACCGTTTACGATATCATTGTTGGTTTTCATCCATTTAGGTGCAGACCAGGGACTACCAAACAGACGGAGCTCATGAGTGGCCAACTCTTTAGCTCTTTTAATGTATGGTATCTTAATAAAAAAAAAATCATAACATATTATTATAAAAACTTTAAACACTGTGAACCGGTCAACACTGAGACATACCTTATAGTCATAGTCCTCCCGTTCCAGTTTCCAATTGGCCAGTGTTTTGTCCTCAACATTGTTATCGTATTCGTAACCGCGCGGCGAAAAGTCACTGCCACCGATTGGCACCCGATTCACACTATATTCAAGGCCATCTTTGCTAAAGTAGTCGTATAGTACCTGATCACCCAATTTATCGCCCAATGCTTTCAGATTAATACCGGTGGCATCTGTAAAGGAGGCGCCAAAACCCAATATCTCCTGATATTTGATCTCACGGTTAACTTTGACGTAAAGTTGGGCGGCATTACCAGTAGTATTGTTGAATTTGTCGCCAAACTTGAGTGTCTGTTTGCGTAGTCGGGCGCCGTCACGACTCGAAAACCAATTGGTCACTACATCGGGTGTCGTACGCACCGGTGTCTCGATTTTAGCGCACGGTTCCGACTCAGTACAGACACAGACAAAACTGTCGTAACCTGTTTTGTGATTTTTACAGTCTGGCTCTAAACCAGATACCAATGTAGAGTCTAACTGTACAACTAATAATAATAATGGGATAGTTAGCAAAAAGCACTTTACTATCATAATTATTAATATTATTATTTTTTGTGAAAAAAATTTATAGTATATGTTATGAGATGTTAGTAACTATTAAATTTGATTTTATTAAATACTAAATTTTTATTTATTTTATTTGTTCATTATTTTAATCAATTACCTAATTTTCACAAATATTTTATTATATTATTTTTTATTTAATCTACTAATTATATAACACGGATTCATTTGATACCGTATTTAATAGTTATTGAAAAGTTTATTTTAATCATTAATACAGTACTAATAAACTTGTAATTTTTTCAAAGTTATATACAGTATTTTACAGTACAATCTATAGCTGTTTGTGACAATACAATTTGTACTTTACTTTCAAATAATTATTTTATTTATCTGTTTAATAATTTTTTACTGTATATTAAATATCAATATTATATTACAAATACAGTTAATAATAATAATAGTACCAACAATTGCAAAACGAGATAACAAAACATTTGTTTAGCTTTTTTTATTAAATAAAATATAGATATTTAATATTAATATAATGTATTTTTTAAATGTTATTAATAAATGCTAATAATTAGTCCAATATTAGTGTAATCATAGCTAAGGTCTGCCAAACGTACTTCCGTCGGCAGTATTTGTATTTAATTTTAAATTTAATTATATATTTTTTTAGTAAAAATAACTTCAATTTAATGATAAAATTAAAAAGTAAATGAATATATAAAATATATATGAATTGGGAAATATTTTTCACAATAATTTTTAAAAATATATTTTTACATAAAATATTATTTAATATAATGTAGAATTTTTTTTATTATTATAAATTAAACCAATATTAAACTTAAACTTGAAAAACAACAACAAAAAACTTAGTAAAAATAAATTATGGCAAATTTGCTGGTTTAATAATAGTTAATTAGTAAATAGTAATAATAATTAATTAAATAATATAAATAAATAATTTTCATAAAGCTCTAAATATAGTTCATATAGTTTGCATTTTATTAAATATATATATATTATATATATTAATATATTGAAAAAATATGTATTTGTAATGGCAATAAAAAACTAATCTATAGAAAAATTTGTTTAATTATTGAATAATTTAAATTAAAAAAATAAACTAAATAGAAAAATACATTATAAATAATGCAATACTTAATTGCAATTCATATTCATATTATTTTTATTTGTTAATTTTATTTGCATAATAAACATAGTATTATAGATTCATAATTCATAGTATAATATATTAATATAAATTTTTTGTTATACCTGTTATGTAGTACTGAAGTAATATAATATAAACGCATTTAATGCAAATAAAGCATAACTTTATTATTAAGTTATAAAGTATTTTTTAAAAAACATACTAAACATTTAAAGTACAATGTTTACAATATAAAAATGTTTATACATGTAAATTGCAATAAATGACAATAAATTTACTAAATAAATATATTAAATGCAGTTTATAATGCAATTATTAAATATCATATAAGATCATATACAGTATATTAAATATAAATATATTTAAATAAATGATATTTATATTTGCATTATTTAAACATTATATAATCATTAACAGTAATAATAAAAAAAACAATAGCCGGGTATCATCTATATTATCATATATTTGTTTCAGCACACATATACAATGTATTAAATATTGTATACATCATCTTTAAATTATGTTTATAATTATAAATATCAAATTATTATTGTTATTAAATTGTATCATAGACTATATGATACAACTAAACAAAGCAAAACAACAATAATTATATATCATATTTAAAGTTAATAACAATATTATACAGTTTTTATATTTTATGTGACACACAAACACATACACACACATATTGTAATATTGTTTTTTTATATAATTAAAACAATAACTAAAAATATGTACAATTATTGTAATATATTGATTGTTACAATTATAATATTGATTTCAATTGGTAAGTTTTTTATTAAATTAAATAATTAAAATAATAATAATATTATTATAACTTAAAATATTTTTATAAGATTGAAAAAAATCTAAAGCATCTAATCAATAGCTATAAAATTATTTTGCTATAAAATGTATTTATTTAGTTAACTGCTGCGATTGGACCGGTAGTCGCCCGAACCCGAAGGACAGGCATACCTATTACGAGTGTACAGGAGGTAAACAACAGCTACTATATTGTCCTCGAAATGGACAATCAATCTATTCATCGATTATGGTCTTTACGGGCGGCAAATGTGTCGAACCGTTTGTATGCCCTCAGCTGATGGGTCTGTACCCTAATCCGTACAATCAGTCCGAGTACTATCAGTGTCGGAATGCCGTACCAGATCTACAGTGGTGTCCGGTTGGCCAAGTGTTCATTGACGCCGTCGCCGCGGCCGCCAATGGTATAGATGCTGCTACTGGTAACTGTTCAGACACTTTCCAATGTCCAGTGGCCTACGGTAATGTTGCCTACGATAATAATGATGACTATTATTACGAATGTATGAATCGTAAGCATAACCTAAAACGGTGTGACTCTGGTTTTCATTTTGATAAACAATATAAACTGTGTCGACAACGCAGACATTATCATCATCGACATCATCATCACCACCATAATCATCATCATCAGCAACAACAACAACATAATTATCAAACTAATTTTGAATGCCCGACCGCGTTCGGCACCTATCGGGACCCGAATAATACAAACAAATACTACGAATGTATCAACTATAGGTCGGTCCATCATATCTGTCCCGGTAGCCAAGAGTTTGATGGACAGTTTTGCTTGAATAAAACTATCGGCGCTCGTACTAGTGATGTTGGTGGCGATGGTGGTGGTGGTGGTGTTGATGGCACACTGGTAGGCACCAATGTAAACCTGTTAATGTCAGCAAACTTTATATGTCCTCAGCAAAATGGTCTATTTGCCGACCCGGGGAACCGTAGCCAGTATTACGATTGTTTCTTTGGCCGGCCTAAACTTAAGCAATGTCCCATTGGACTGGTATACAATGAGCTGGATAAAATTTGCACTGGCAGTAGTACCGCTAATAGTAATGTTGAGGATGTTGATGGACGCAAACAGCAACTACAACAGGGAACAGTTAGCTTTATATGTCCCGAACGTAACGGTAGATATATAGATCCGGAAACAATTGAAAACTACTATTCGTGTTATAATTGGATCGCCCGACTCATGTCCTGTCCCAATGGTTTTGTTTTCGATGGTCACGACTGTCGCAACAAGTTTCACTGTACGGATCCCAATGGCAAGTACCGGAGCCCACACAAACATAACGAATACTACGAATGCAGTAACGGTATACCAACACTCAGGGCCTGTGCCGATGGCTACGAGTTTGACAACGGTTTCGGTTATTGTGTCAATCGGGACAAAGCCGACGGTCATCTGATTCATATTATTTCCGGTCGTATTATATTTGAACACAAAGGTATGAAAGTTATCGACACATGGGATCGGGAGACCAGACAATGGAAACGTACCTACGATGAGGACAATAGTGTTGATATCAGTAATTAGTAGTTGAAAAATATTTTTAATTAAAAATTTTATTATTATTTTTTATTCATATTTGAATTAATTTCTTATTAAAGTTTTTTATTAATAGTTGAAATTATTTTTTTTAAAAGATAAACTAAATATCTAATTTTTTTATTAACAATATAATACTTTAAGTATATAAACTTTATTATTAATCCAAATTATAATATATCAAATAATTGAATAATGACTATAAAATCAAATTATATTTAATCTAAACAATAGTTTATTATCACTGCTTTTACTGTATTAAAAGATTATATAGAAATAGAAATATTTATTATTAATACAAAAAATATAATATTTTTTTAGTTTGTTTATTATTATTAAGTTTGAAAATTATTATTTCAATATCACAATATTATAATATTGTGAACTAAAAAAAATTTATTTTGTTTTTTAAATATATTTTGTTTTGCAAAAAATATATTTTTGTATAAATTAAATTGATTTATAGAAAAAAAATCACTAAATAAATTCAAAAAACTGTATTACACACTATTATCATTAAAAATAAATCATTTAATTAATATTATTTAATTTAATTTATTTATTTAATAATTTAATAATTTTTTAATTATAAAAAATTTTGAAAATTTTCAGCCACTTGTTGAATATATAAATCCAAAAAATCCAAATCATCTTTATTAGCAAACACTACGCCAACAATGTTTTGCTCGGGAAACAGTAGCAATTGTGTGGTCACACCGGGCAGTCCACCACTGTGTCCGACAACCAGTCTATAGGGATAACTGGCATTCATGTTGCTTATGAACCAGGCTTTTCCTAAATAATAATAATAATACAAACTTATTATTACAAAAAAAAAATATTTGATGTTTTTGTGATGTTATAGTTGACAAAAAAACTATAATATTAGTAATTATTATTATTATCACTATTTCATACCGTAGTCCATGTATTTCATGTAAGACGGCTTAACTTTGCCAATGGTTTCCGGTTTCCATAGCTCTCTAATCACTGATTTGCTAACAATTGCTAAATATAATAATAATAATAATAAAATGTATAATCAATTAATGTAAATAACTAAACAAATAAGTAATAGCTAATAGTTTTGATAACAATTATAAAAAAAAGATAATTTAAAAAAAATTTTAAAAATAAATAACTATCACATACATTGATCAGTTCCGTGATAGGCTCTAATCATAGCATTGCCAAACTTAAGCAAATCGGTAACAGTAGACAGTATGCCGCCAGCCGACCACCAGCCCTCGTAGGAAAACAAATCGGCACTGAGATCGCCATTTTCGAGCTCAGTTGGCTTATTATCTGATGATTGCGAATAATATCTGGGCCTATGTTTCAATAGTTGTTCGCGTTTTTCGACACCAGTCCCCCGCATATCTAACTTAGCAAACAGTTTAGCCATTTGTTGGTCATAGTTTTCATGTGTTACCGACTCGATGACTGCACCCAACAATTGATAGCCATAGTTTGAGTATTGAAATTCACTACCAGGTCTATAAAGTAACGGTTCATTGTTGAACAATTCAATAGTTTCGGTAATATTTAATGCCCGATAAAATTTGGTTAAATCATCGGGTATTTTGGTCACATGTAGTCCAGCCAAATGTGACATAACTAGTCTCAGTGTTAGTGTATAAGCTGTACCATTGTATCGGTGAACGGGAAACAAACTCAATGGCAAATAGTCGGTAATTGGTTTGTCTAAATTCAATATTTTTCGGTCAATCAGCTGACCTACCAGTGCCGATGTCAACGATTTGCTAATACTACACAATCTCCACGGACTGTCCACATGTGTGGGTACATTGTTTTCAATGTCTGCCAAACCGAAACTTTCTGACCAAACAGTTTTGCCATTAATACTGAACGCCACAACCGATCCGGGAATCGTATGGTTTGTCATCAACGACTGCCACTGTAGACGTCCATCGGTGATCACCTCATCGATTGACGTATAGTTTTTGTTTGACTGTGAATCCCATGTTTGTCTAAAATTATCATAATTTTTGTTAGTATTGAAAATATTATTTAATTGACCATTAATTGACAAAATAAATGTACTAGTAGCAATCAATAATAATAAATTTATTTTAGTTAAAACTAACATTTTCTAATTTAATAATATTTTTTTAAATATATAAATGTTATTTAAAAAAAATAACTTATAATTTATTATTATTTAAAATTGTTTTTTTAGTAATACTATTTATATATGATTTTTGTGTGTATATTATCTACATTATAACATATGTATATTTTTTTATTAAAAAAATTGATAAATTGTTTATATATTGATATAATCGTATTTTTAGTGTAGTTTAAAGTTAATGTCATGAATTTGTATTTATTTTTTGTTTGATAATATAAATTTAGTTTTTATTATAATTTATTTCTTGTAAAAATAATATATGAATTATTTTAACAAAAAAGTAAGTTATTTATACTGTAAATATTTAATCATAAGTACATACTGTTTATATTGATTAAAAATCATTTTATTTGATAATTTTTTTTTAAAAAAAAAAGATTAATTAAAGATTTATTGTTAATAAGTCTATTGTTAAACATTTAATAAAAAACAATTGTTTGACATATACTTTAAACTACACTTAGTGTACTACTATTTTTAATGATTACAATAATTTGATAAAAAACCTATGCTTTCACTAATTATTTGTAATCAATTAGTAATAAATAATTTCAACTAAAAACTTATAATAATTTTCATAAATTATTATATTGGAGTACTATAAATATATTTTATATAAAAGTTTTTAAAAAATTCAAACAATATATTAATTAATCTTAAATATTCTGCTATAATGTTAATATTATTATAATTATTACAAATAGTTAAATGTTATTTTTTAGTAATATACTTTTTTTAATAATTTATAAAAATTACATTTTATTTTTCAATAAAAAAACAGCACTAAAAATGTAGGTAACTAATTGTAGCTTGATAAGATATTTAATTATAATAATATGTGATATTGTTTGAAAAGCTAATAGTTTCAAGGCTAATGTTTTTTTATATTTATAATATATCATCAATTTATAAGTATTTATTTTGTTATATTAGTTATTTAATTATACTTTTAGGAAACCTTAGTATTAGTTATTATAATGATACTAAACTACACAATTGTATTGCCAACTGTCCTATTGTTGATACAGTTGTTAAACTGTAAAACAGTAGTGTCTTCAGCTGGTTTAGAGCCGGACTGTAAAAATCACAAAACAGGTTACGACAGTTTTGTATGTGTCTGTACTGAGTCGGAGCCGTGCGCTAAAATCGAGACACCGGTGCGTACGGCACCCGATGTAGTGAACAATTGGTTTTCGAGTCGTGACGGCGCCCGACTACGCAAACAGACACTCAAGTTTGGCGAAAAACTCGACAGTACTACTGGTAATGGCGCTCAACTACATGTCAAAGTAAACCGTGAGATCAAGTATCAGGAGATATTGGGTTTTGGCGGTGCCTTTACCGATGCCACCGGTATTAATCTGAAAGCATTGGGCGATAAATTGGGTGATCAGGTACTATACGACTACTTTAGCAAAGATGGTATCGAGTATAGTGTAAATCGGGTGCCAATCGGTGGCAGTGACTTTTCAGCGCGCGGTTATGAATACGATAACAATGTTGAGGACAAAACACTGGCCAATTGGAAACTGGAACGGGAGGACTATGACTATAAGGTAGGTTTCAGTTAAGTACAGTTGTTTCAAGTAGTTATGTTTATATAGTATAGTATATTTATAAAAAAAAATTATTAGATACCATACATTAAAAGGGCTAAAGAGTTGGCCACACATGAGATCCGTTTATTTGGTAGTCCCTGGTCTGCACCTAAATGGATGAAAACCAACAATGATATCGCACACGGAGGTACTATTAAGGGAGATGTAGGCACTGAGTACTGGCAGATATACGCAAAATATCTTGTAAAGTAAATATCTTATAGTTTTTTTAGTAGTTTTTTAAATATTAAAATTTTAATTACAATTATATATATACATATAACTTTATATACTGTATATAATAGATACCTGGATGAGTATAAAAACAAACATAACATAACTCATTGGGGTCTAACTGTACTCAATGAACCAGTGATAACCATAAGGTATAACTCAATGCATATAAATTCAACACAAATGCGCGATTTTATGGCCAAAACATTGGGTCCGGAACTGGAACGGAGCGGTTGGGCGACTGGTGTCGACCGGGGGTTTCGGGTAATGACATGGGATTGGAATCTCGACTCAATTGACGACTACACCAGTACTGTGTACGCCGATACAGGAGCTGCCAAATATATAGCCGGCACTGCATTTCATTGGTACGAAACCAAAACATACGAACCACTGGACAGACACTATAGCAAGCGATCCGATAAGTTTCTGTTATCTACCGAAGCCTGTATTAGAGGTGGCGTAAAGATAGGCCTATGGAATTCAGCGGAACAGTATGCTTACGATATACTATCTGTATGTTTAATATTTTTTAAAAATAATTATAATATTAATTCACTAATATACATATATACTGTAATTTAGGTATTATTACATTATTCAATTGGTTGGGTAGACTGGAATATGGTGTTGGACACACAGGGTGGTCCCAATTGGGTGCAAAACTATGTAGACGCACCCATACTGGCCAATCCAGACAAACACGAGTACTACCGACAGCCGCACTTCTATGCATTGGCTCAGTTCAGTAAGTTTATTAAACCGGGATCTGTTAGAGTCGACACACAAGTAGTCAAACAGGAGGCCAACAATGCACTCGTCGGTGCCTTTCGTACGCCAAACAACTCGACAGTTGTGACGGTTGTCAACAACGGTGACACCGATATTGTGTTTACTTTGGAGGACTCGAAAGCCGGCAAACTTTTGAACACAATTACGAAAAAGTCAATTCAAACCTATGTTTACTACGATTAGTATTTTATATTTACAATTTAAAAAAAAATTATTATTAAGCATTAAGTAATTATTAATTTATTATTAAATCGCTTATTATTTTTTGCAATTAAAATAATAATTATTTAGTTAATAAACATTGCAATTAAATGTTTTAAATGTAATCAAACATTTTTTAATGTTTTTTTTCTTAATCTTGATTAAACACATAATAATTTCATTTGATAATAAACTTGATAATTATTTTTTAGTTTTAAATATTGTTGCCTATGAAAACAATAGATAAATGATCAATAATTTATAAAAATTATTTTTATTTAAAAAAATATTACCCCAAATTAGACTGACCACCCATACAGGTGCCGCCTGTATTATACAGGAATCAAGGGTCTAATACAGGTGACAGGAAAGGGCTAACCTGTATAATAAAATATACAGTTTTAAAATATGTAAAACTAATTGATTAATAAAAGTATAAAATAACTATGAATTAAGTTTTGTTAGTAAAAAATTGCTTGTATTTTTAATATACAGTTTAAATATTTCAAATATTTTTTTTAAATATAAAAAATTTATAAATATTTGTAAAATTGTTCATGTTCAATATAAAATAATTTCAACTTTTTATATAATTATAGTATCTAAATTAAATTTATTTTATATTATTATAAATATATACGAATATATAGTTATTTAAGTACAGGTTAACATACAGGAATATAATATTTAATATACAGGAAAATACAGGTGAAAATAATAATTTTATACTATTATACAGGTTTACTAATAAATTGGGTGGTCAGTCTACCCCAAATAAATTTACTTTTGTCGGCATTGGTATCATATACTCCCAAGTGTTTGATTTATAGTCATATATTTCCATAGTATTTGTATCTATAATATTATAATCACTGTATTTAAAATAAATATTTACACATACACATACACATACACATACACATACACATACACATACACATACACATACACATACACATACACATACACATACACATACACATACACATACACATACACATACACATACACATACACATACACATACACATACACATACACATACACATACACATACACATACACATACACATACACATACACATACACATACACATACACATACACATACACATACACATACACATACACATACACATACACATACACATACACATACACATTTAAGTATAGGTTTTTAATAATTATTATGCATCTATTTTTGGTATTATTTTTTAGGCCCACACCTCCTCAAGGAGGGCAGGCCCTATGCAAAAATTTTTAGATAATGCCCATTTAAATTGTCTACTCTACACGGTAATCTTTAGTAAAAGGCGAAAGATTATTACGCTAATAATGTGAGTAGACATGAGCGTAATCTAACTGTCCTTTCGACAACCAATACAGACTAATATACAATTATTTTCAGTGACAGTCTCTAATCATAAATAATTAATCTAAACATCATAATTATCAATAAATTCACTAAACAATACTAGGTAATATAGTTCAAAATAATATTTAGCATAATATTTTGTATGTATATTTAAAAAAAAATACTTATTAAACATTTTTAATTAATTAATTAACTAATTAAATAGTTTAGTAAATTATTAATTAGCAGTAAACATTGTATTAGTACAGGTACATACATTACTATCAATTATTTATATACAATTTATTATATAGCGACATCAAGTGTTATTATTTTAAACATGTAATTTTTTTTGTTAATGCTACTATTAATTAAATAAACGCGTGATTCACGCACGCATGACTACACGTGTTTTGTAAAATTGATGTATAAAAAACTAGTGATAACACACACACACATACTGTACACAAAAAAAACATACCGATTCCTCCAACAGCATATAGTTTATCATTATAGGCGACTAATTGAAAATCCGATCGCGATTCTAGCATTGGTGCTAAAAATAATTTATATATAAAATAATAATCTTGGTAATTTTATTGTTGTTGTTATTGATTAATTAATCATATCTTCAATTATCTTTTTAAAAAATACCAATTAAAGTCCATTTATCACTGATTGGATCATAGGTTTCACATTGATTTAGACCATTGCCTCGATTAGCTACCCGTCCTCCACACACATATATTCTACTCATAAATGATGTAGCACCAAACGAGTATCTAATTAATTAGATAGTAATAATAATAATAAGTAATTAAAAAATTACTTTAAAATAACTGTGTAAATGCACAATCTAACCTCCCGGTGCTCATTTCAGCTACTACTGGTGTCCATAACTTTGATACAATATCATATTTTTCCATTGATCGCATTGGCTGTCTTTGTCCGCCATCATCATCATCAGTGTGTCCACCGATAGCATAAACATAGCCATCGTGTGCCACGAGTTCGTGAAAATCACGTGCACTGGACATGGGTTTAGTAAACTGCCATTCATTGGCTTCGGGCGTATAATATTCACACGATTTTATGCCTTATTAGTTAGTAGAGAGATAACAAAAAAAAAATTATAATTTAATATATAGTATCTATTTTTAAAATGTTTATTAATTTGAAAGATATATTAAATTTTAAAAAAATAAAATATCAAAAAATAATTTATTTAATTAAATATTGAATATATATAAAAAAAAAATTGTACTCAAATTTTCATCCACTGCAATACCACCGCAAACATAGATAGTATTATTGATAACAGTCGCACCTAAACCTCTGTAAAAAAATTTTAAAAATTAATAATAAATTTTTGTTTTATCAAAAAAAAAATAATTTTAATTTTAATTATTTATATTAATATCTATCTATATATACTCTCTACGAAAATTTAACGATGATATTGGTTTCCAAATTTTAATTACAGGATCGTATACTTCTACCCAATTGCTGGTCCTCTGAGTCTATGATTTTATTTTTATTAAAAAAAATAATAATAATTTTAAAAAACTAAATAATAAATTACAAATATATATATATATACAGTACATACATCACCACCATAACCACCAATAGAGTATAGCATATTATTAAATTCTAGTAATTTTAAACTGTGTCGCTTATGTATCATTCGGGGAACTGTACTATAGTTGGACCACTGGTTGCCCAGTATATCATATGTATAACAATCGCCGACAGTTTGCTGATGACGGCCATCATAGCCGCCGCATACAAATAATTGACTAACGGTGCTCAGTGCATTGGTAGGCGCAACAATATCATCGTTGATTAATTTGCCCGATCTATACAAACTAATTTTTGGCCTAGTATCATTCACTGATAATTGTAGCATAGTTGATTTAACCAGATCAATAATTTCATAGTTAATTGAACAATAGACTGTATTATTATTTATAGTTTTGTTATCTAATTGACCATGCTCAATTAATGTACGATATGCCAATATTTTATCCATATTTAATTGTTTGTTATAATTAAAACTATTATTATTATTATTATTATAAGTATAGCTATAAAAATAATATAAAATATAGACATTTTTATCTGGATGATCTAACATTATACGCTGCTGTATGTTTGAATGTTTATCAATGATACAGGTGCTACTAATATTGCCAACATAATTGATTAATTTCAATTGATTGACTAGTCTATCGAAATATTCAAGTCTGGGTTTCATTGAACCGATACTATAGCTATCGTTTACCGATCGGAACAACAGGTTTTCCAATTGGGTTTCATTTTGTTTGCCAGCCCTGACCTCAACCAACAATGTGTTCAACAATTTTCGTGTCATCGACTGATAGTAGCTATAGTTTGTCCTCAACGTTGATAACTGATTTAATTCCCAGTCACTGATAAATGCCTCCAATTTGGTCAGTTCCCGGTAATAATCATTTAATTGTTGATCAATTTCAAGCATTTCGTCAAACAGTTGAACACATTTGGCTGAAACAACTGGACTAATATCGTGGACGGCATTGCCATCATTATTAGTGACCTCCAGTTCCCACAGTTGACGCAATGCACTGACCGGTGTCAGTATATAAAACAATTGTTTACCTTTACCCTGGTTAGCATCGACAAGCAATCGGGGCGTACTGTTCATGAATACCAGGGCGTCGACTAGATTTTCCGGTACCCGATCGGGCATTATATCGCCATAAATTTCAAACCTATAGGTACTGATGCTTTTAAATGCCGGATCGTTATAGTTGACACTGGCATCGCCAGTAACTTTGCCCATAGCCTTATTGACATTTGAGTTCATCAAACCCTGAGCACCCTGATGGCTAGTGACTACTGTGCTGGTATCCTCAACCGATATGATAACTTTACCGCCCCATTGAATACCGGTAACAACATGTGTGCCGTCAAACTGGCCCAACGATTGCTTATTAACTAACTGGCTTATCCAATGATTGGACAGTTGAACCGATTCGTATCGGGTACTGACCGACTGGACAAGCGATAGTTTTGTAGATGTTTGTTGTGTTTTGCGGTCATTCAGAAATCTGGCGCTACCGCGTACTTTGATTAGGCCACCCAAAAACGATAGCTGTATACTGGCATCGACTTCTAATTGTTGAAATTTTTCCACATAACTGTGCTCTGATGTAAATTTTAGATTACTATACGAATTATCTACGGCTACAATGGATGACTGGTTTAGTTGCTGATGAAATAGGTTGACAATACCGCCGCCGCCAATAAAATTATCCGTACGGCTATCATAGTAGTCGCCCAGTTTGGCTACCCGTCCCAGTGATGCTGTCTTGGTTGTTGCCACAGCTAACAGTGACTTACCAAGTACCTTTTTTTAACAGAAAAAATAATAAGTATTTATTAATAATTATATATATATATATTTTTATGATTAAATTTATATTTCAAAAATAATTAATCAATTATTATAATTTTTTTGTTATATGAAAATAAATTTTAAGTTTCATACTTACATTATTGTATAATGAGTTAACTAAAGTTGTGTTAGTTAAATCCAATGAATTTATTATACTGGGTACAATTATAATAAATATTGTAAATAAAATCAAATTTTTCATATTTAAAATAATTTATTTTACAAAAATATAATATTATTTGTTTTATATAATTTAAATAATAATTACAAAATGTATTAGTATTTACTGTAGTTTGAAAAAAAGTATTATAATTGTATTATTATAATTTAATCATTTTAATGATTAATAATTATATATATATATATATATATATATATATATATAGGGATTAACCTAAAGTGCTATTTCAATAAAACTTATCTGTTTTTTTCAATTCAATAATAACTTTTAATACATTAAGTAATACTATACAACAAGAAAAATAATAAATAAAATATAAATTTATAATAGATTGTAATGTTTTTAATTATTTAACAAAATATGTTTATTTATATTTAATTTTAATATGTGTATGGTTTAAATAAATTATATTTAGTAATGACTTTTAAAAAAATATAGCAATATTTAACTTAAACTTAGAAATAATTTTAAATTTTAATAAACTCATTATTAATAAATTACACTAAAATTTTTTGTAATAGATAAATGTGTGCCTAAAATATAAATTACAAAATACTTTACAAATATTTAATACATATCATTTTGTAGATAAATAACAAAAAAATTTACAATATTTTTAATAAACTAAAAAGCTTAATTAACTGAATTATTAATCTATAAAAAAAATTGAAAAATTTTCCTAAATATTTTAAAAATTAAACTACTTCAAATAATACTTAAGATAAATCGATATATAATAAATTAACTTTTATCACATAAATAAATATAAAAAATATTATATAATAATATTAATAATTATCAATTGTGCATTTCAACTGTAAACAATGTTATCAAATATTATATTAAGTATTTTAAAAAAATAAAAATAAAAATATCTATATCTCTTTGTCCGAAAACTAATCTAGGCACATATTAAATAACAATTAAAATTATAGTTATTAAGTAAAAATAACTTTAAAAATATGATTAGATATTGATTTTTTATTTGTTAAAATTTTTTAAAAGTATATAATTATAATTCAAGGCTAGTATTGTTAATTCATTATAACTACAGTATATAAACTCTAATTGAAAACAATTAATAACAATAATTAGTTAACAATAGTTATTTAATATGTCATTTAATTGCACATTATTATTGCTAACTGTCCTAATTGTAGGACAGTTTGCTAATACTATTAGCGATAAACCAGACTGTAAAAACTACCTGTCCGGTCACGGTAGTTTTGTATGTGTCTGTACTGAGTCGGAGCCGTGCGCTAAAATCGAGACACCGGTGCGTACGGCACCCGATGTAGTGACCAATTGGTTTTCGAGTCGTGACGGCGCCCGACTACGCAAACAGACACTCAAGTTTGGCGACAAACTCGACAGTACTACTACTGGTAATGGCGCTCAACTACATGTCAAAGTAAACCGTGAGATCAAGTATCAGGAGATATTAGGTTTTGGCGGTGCCTTTACCGATGCCACCGGTATTAATCTGAAAGCATTGGGCGATAAATTGGGTGATCAGGTACTATACGACTACTTTAGCAAAGATGGTATCGAGTATAGTGTAAATCGGGTTCCCATAGCTGGCTGTGACTATTCGGCACGCGGTTATGAATACGATGATAAAGGTGAGGACAAAACACTGGCCAATTGGAAACTGGAACGGGAGGACTATGACTATAAGGTACTGTAGGTCCCAATTAAAAACAGTTGTTTCAAGTTTCTATGTTTTATTATTTGATTTTTAAAAAATTATTACCGTATTTATAGATACCATACATTAAAAGAGCTAAAGAGTTGGCCACACATGAGATCCGTCTATTTGGTAGTCCCTGGTCTGCACCGTCGTGGATGAAGACCAACAATGATATCAGAAATGGTGGCACTATTAAGGGAGAGGTGGGCACTGAGTATTGGCAGATATATGCAAAATATCTAATAAAGTATGCATTTATATTGTTTTGAAAAATTTTTTTTTTATTAATAATAACATTAATCTATACAACTATATTACAATATTAATGGTTAAACTGTTTATTAACAAATAAAAATTTATATTATAGATACCTGGATGAGTACAAAAACAAACATAACATAACACATTGGGGTCTAACTGTCCTCAACGAACCATTGATAACCACCAGCTATAACTCGATGCACATAACAGCTGAACAGATGCGCGATTTTGTGGCCAAAACACTGGGTCCGGAGCTTCAACGTAGCGGTTGGGGAGTTGATAGGCTAAACCTGATGACCTGGGATTTCAATATGGAAGGCATTGAAGCCTACACTAAGACAGTCTACGGCGATCCCAATGCTGCCAAATATATAGCCGGCACTGCATTTCATTGGTACACTACTATTAATAAATCGCACGAACTATTGGATGTCATACATAAGCAACAACCGGGAAAATTTTTGTTAGGTACCGAAGCAACCTGGGGTGGTGTCAAACTGGGACAGTGGGAAGCGGCCGAACTGTACGCTAATGATATTACACAGGTATGTAATTTATACATGATATGTCATACAAACAAATACAGTATATGTTTTAAATGTAATTTATTTATTTTTAAGGATCTATTGCACCATTCAATTGGTTGGGTAGACTGGAATATGGTGTTGGACACACAGGGAGGTCCAAATTGGGTTCACAACTATAACGATGCACCAATAGTGGCCAACGGTGCCAAACACGAGTACTACCGACAGCCGCATTTCTATGCATTGGCTCAGTTCAGTAAGTTTATTAAACCGGGATCTGTTAGAGTCGACACACAAGTTGTCAAACAGGAGGCCAACAGTGCACTCGTCGGTGCCTTTCGTACGCCAAACAACTCGACAATTGTAACGGTTGTCAACAACGACGACACGGATATTGTGTTTACTTTGGAGGACTCGAAAGCCGGCAAACTTGTCAACACTATTACGAAAAAGTCAATTCAAACTTATGTTTATTATGATTAGTCTTTTAGTTTATTATATAAATTATTTAAAGTAAAATAATTTTTTATTATTTAATTATTGATTTATTATAAAATTAAAATTATTTTTAAAAATTCAATAAATAAAAAACTTAAATATTGATAATTAATTTGTTAATAAAATTAAATAAAATAAATAATAAGTTTATATACAGTATATATCATATATACTTTAGTTTTATAAATTATTTAATTCAAAAATAAAACTAAAACACTTAAAAATGATAATAAATAACAATTTTAGTTGAGATTTTGTTTGATCCAATCGGTATAGTTGGCAATACGTGTAAATACTGCCGGTTTGCCAACAGTATGATCGCACGTACGATACCACGAGTTCAGGCCTATCAGGTGACCTGTACTGGTGGTCAATGGGAAGCCGATATCGTGCTAAAACAATATCAAAAATAACTGATATACAAAATTATAGCTCAAAAAAACCTCCCATACCTCGCATAAACCTTTCCGGGCATTTTGGGGAACGGCACATAACATTTGCTCAGTTAGTTTATAAGGGTTATCATCTTTAGTTTTTGTACGACACGTTTGCTGATCAATTATAGTCATCGGTAAACTGGCCAATACAAAATTTATATCCGATCGTTGAGGATCGGGTAAATATAGTCCATTAGCTACAGCCCTGTCGCCTACCTGTCCGTCTTTACCATTGGGTAATTGAGCCAAGGCGATTGTATGCCGATTTACAGGTACAGGTTTGGCCAGTTTGACAATAGCCAGATCGTTTGCACCAGTTTCTGGATTATAATCCGGGTGCAATTTAAACTCATCAATGGTTATCATGGCACCCACCTCCTCGAGTGAGTGATTGTAAAATTGGTCGGTTCCCATATGAACTACATAGAAATTTTTCTTTCTTAAAATTAAAAAAAATAGTTTAATTTTTTTTACCTAAATATTACTTAAAAAAATATGTTATATTTTTTTTTAATTATTATTAAATACTTGGGTAGATCGTGAAACACACGCGCGTTTGTCAATACGTGTTGTTTGCCAACTATGGTACCGCCGGCTAGTATTTGATTTTCAAATTCAATCGATACTGTCCACGGGTATTTGCTGATACTGGCCGGTTGTCCATGTACATTGTTTATGTCCGATAATGATGATGGTGATGACGATGCTAAATTAGGTATTACTACTAAATGGTTCAATGCTAAATAAACTATGAATATATAACATATTGATAATATTGATTTAGCACAACACATGGTTATTTACTATTAATAAATAAAACTATAATTAAATAATATTAATTTCAAATAAAAATAATAATTATTATTATATAATGTATTTAAATAAAAAAAATAACAAAAATGCATGTAATAATAATAATAATAAGCTATTGTTTTAATTATACAAGTAAATTACAATACACTATTTATTCAGTAATATTTTATTGAAAATTGTTTATAAAGTACAGTATAGTGAATGATAAAGCAATTGTTATAAAAATTATAATTATTATACAGTATATATATATACAGTATTCATAATATAATTTATTAAATTAAAAAAATAGATTTTTTAAAAACTTTATTTAATCCAGCAAAAAAATGTAAATCATTAATAATTATTAATACCAATTATATTTTTTTAGGTTTGATATCTTATTTGATCTCCAAGTTTATGTGTTAGTATAAAAAATCGCATAAATAACAAAAACACCTGTTTTATAAAAAAATAAAATAAAACAATACAATTAGGAAAACAATTATAAGTTATTACTTTTTTTAAAAAATGATAATAATTATAATAATAATTAATTAATTAATTATAAATAATTACTCTAAAGGCTGTAATTCTAGTAATTACAAAAAAATTACTACAAGTAAAACCAATCAATCGATAACTAGTAGACACCCTTTCCATAGATGAGATTAACTATTAAGTTATAAAAATTAATATCATTTATATTTTTTTTAAATAAATAAATAAATTTATATGAATTAATAACCTTTAATTTTAGATGAAAATTAATTTTGTTATCATCATTATTATTATTATTATTGACTAATATTTTATTTATAAGTCCATAGATTTTTGATATATCACTGTTAATATTTGATACAATAATATTCAAACTAAATGTAAACAAAATAAATACTAGAAAATTTGTGCCAATTATTAGTTTAACATAGATTAAGGCATTTTCAAAACAAACTAAATCCAAACAAATCATATTAATGGGTAGATTAATAAATATTAATATACAATAAATATTTTTCCAAAAGCTATTGTGTTGATCAATATCGTAACAAATTTTATCCAGATCATTGATTAATTTAATTATAAATTTTTTATTCATGATTTTTGATTTATTATTATTTGTTACAATAAAATTGGATAAAGTTTTGATACGATAATTAAAATAAATACAATCCATTAGATAGTAGTATACTATCCAAACACTAACAGTATTATAGACATAGACTTGACATTGCAATATAGTACCCGATATTATGCCAAAACATATTAGGGGTAATGTCTTAAAATTGAAACCAATTACCGATATAACACTGACAAACATTATTTGATTAAATAAAACAGTTATATAGTGGGCATTATTATAATATAATTTCATTTTGTAGATATATTGTTGAGCCAATCGTCTATTGGTTAGACCGCTGGCCATACAACTACGGTAGCCATTGATGACGGCAATAGTGTCAAACCATTTCAATTGTCTACTATCAGTGATAGTGTTTAATAGTAATAAAAATCCTAAACACATTATCATTGCCAATAGTACTGCAATTAGTATGAATTGTCTATTTTTCATATAATAATTGACCAAGTTTAAATAGTATAATGGTAATGGTTGATGATTATGTTGATTTTGTGATGGACAATTGTATAATACAATTGTATAGTATATGACACTGATTATAATAAATATAATTTTAGTATAAACTTTATATTTTTGTTTACTACCATAATTATCCAGGTAATTATTAAAATGTTTTACATTATTATTATGATAATCTTTATTTAGTAAATAAAATTTATAAAATAAACACTTTTTATATAATGGATACTCTATATTATTTTTGGCGATCATAATTATTTAGATTATATAATTTAAATTTTTAAAATAAAAATATATACAAAACTTAAAATATTATATAATTATTATATTTGAAAAATAGTTTTATACTATATTGTAATATTTGAATTGTATTTATAATTTTTTAAAAATCAATTTTATTAAATATTAAGCTAATAGAGTCTAAATTATAGACTCAATTATAAATATATAAATATATATTTTATATCATTTATTTATATTAATGTTTTATTTTTATATTATTTTAAAATAAATAGTTTTTTACCAACAAAAAAAATCCCAAACAATAATTATTTAAATTAGTATTGTGAACCAACTATTATACTAATTATCATTAGTTATTATATTAAATATAATTATTATTGTATATACAATATATATATAATAATAAAACAAAACAAATATAAGTTTAAATTATATTTGTTTTGTTTTTACTATAATATATTATATATAAATAAATAAATAATATAAAAATATTTAAATTACTAAGTACTTAAATAAATATAATTACTGTATATATAAAATATTTTTGAATAATAAAATATAATCTAAAATGAAATTGTATTTCCGATAATTTGATATTTAATATACACTACCTATATATTGACTTAATGATAATTATTTAACTGTTAATATTATGTTTAAAAGTAATTTTTTGTTATATGATTATTATTATATTTTAGTAAAACATACATTTATAATCTTAAAATATTTTAGTACAATAATAGAATACATATAAATATATATATTATATACTAGTATTTATTATGCAATAATTTTTTTTAATACAAATTTATTATAATTTAAGATTACAATTAYTTTAATTTTTATTTATTATAAAATAAAATTTATTTTAGACGTTTAGCCAATTTTTGTATAAGTATAAAAAATCTACCAAAATACATGTTGATCTATTGATTTTAACATTTAAACAAAAAAAAACAACAACATATATTATTATTTTAAATTAATCAAATCAAAATTGATAATTAAAATATTATAATTTCTCCATGCTCACTTTAAATGCGCTCAATGATGTCATTATTAATTGATTGCCGATTGACATACCAATTAAATATCGTCTATTGCTAACTTGTTCAGCAGTTATTATTAGCTGCAAAAATAATTTTTAGCATATATATATATATATTTTTAAAAAAAATTAGCATGCTAAAAAATTATTTTTTAAAAAATTTAAATGTAAAATTAAAGCATATTAAATAATAAAATTAATATACTAACTTTAAGTTGTTGATTTACATTGACACGGCTTAGCATTTGTATGCGCGCCAAATGTACATATGATTTGCGTGTTTGACCATTGATTTTGGCGGCCAATAAATTCAGGCCAACGTTTGAAATCATGGTAACCATTAATGACGACATAAATGCCAGATAATAGAAATAGTTTGGTGTCATCACGAAAACCGATTGATGTAATAGAAGCAAATTTATTGGTATAAGTGTTGAGTTTAGGCCCAAAAAATATCGACTCCAATATCTATTGTAGGACGTAATCAATTGACACGTTGAACGGTGTCGGCGTATAATATCGTCGATAAGTTTACTATTGTTTGTTATTAGTCGAGGAGGGTACCTGGCTAGTTTTTTCAATTGTAAATTTAGCATGCTAAATCTAAGATAACAATATTCACAGCTAATATAGAAGCATAGCATGCCGTACAATATGGACGGCCCTATTGTATGGCCAAAACCGGCCATAATTAGTATACCCATCAAACCGTATTGTAGAAAATCTAGGATATTATTACTATTATTATCATTATTATTACTATAGGCTGTCCAAACAATTAGCAATGATGTCAAAAATGTCGAACCAATTATCGATATCCATGTGATTGGTATTAATCGATGAGCCAGGTAGATTATTTGCAAAAATTTTGACATACACTTTTCACGTATATTTACTACTCTATTATTTATATTATTATTATTATTAGTATTTTTATTACTAGTGTTGTTGTTGATTATTATTTCATAATATCTTAATATTTTGAATACATTATACCATTGATTAGTAGTAGTAGTGTCGGAAAAATTAGACAAATATACGGTTATCAATGCTATTAGTGATGTAAATATATTGAGCGCATAATGAAATTGTGGTATTGTTTCGAATAGCAATATAATATCAAAATAGTACCATGCTATTTGATTGTTTAATAGTACCTGGATCATACATATAGTAAAATATATAACATAGAAAAGTGGCCGAGATATATGATAATATTTGCTGGAAAATAGATGTTTACGTAAATTTTTGCTATTATTATCTCTACTATCAATTACTAAACCATATTTATATAAATCTATTAATAAATTGTCAATTACTTGAAAATTTTTGGCAAATAATAGTTTTGATTTAAACAAATTTTTGTTACACATTTTAAGAATATTTTATTTTTTAAAAAATATATTGACTGTTATTATTAATAATATTTTACTAAATAATTATTATACTATCATATATTTTGTTGTTGTTTTTTATATAACTATTTTTAAAAAATATATTTTATTTTTTAACCTTAACAACAATCTTTAACCTTTATATGAATAAAATATATTTTATTGTAATATTTATAATATCAATATATATAAATTATTTATACATTATAAGAGCACATAAACTAAAAAACATATGTTAATATTATTTATTTATTTATAATGTTATTTATGTTTACCAAATTACCTGTATATTATTAATACTACAATTTCTGAAATAAAAATAGATAATGATTTATTATAATAATTAATTAATAATATTATAAAAATTTCATTATTGAAATTCAGATTCAAGTTTATAAATCTTATGAATTTTTTTTGGACTTTTTTCCCCATAGTTTTGATTCATTAATTAAAATTTATTTATAAAATGCATTCATATTTAATATAATTAGGGTTAGATCAGATTCCCTCCCTCGTCTTATTTTCCATAAGTTCCTTATATTCCCTGTTCCCTGGGAATTCCCTGGGAAGACATTTCCTTGTGGTACCACCTATCATACACTAACTCACATTACATAATGTTTAATTAAAAACACGTTTGTATAGTAAATGTCTACAAAATGTATTTAATGTTTTTACTAAATGTTTAATAATATTTTAATCATATTTTGATTGAGTTATTACTAACATAATGGTCCCAATGAAACACATAGATTAGGTACTTTTTAATGTATGACAAATTATATTTTCCCTTTCTAACGATCAAGGGAGGGAATATAATATATTTTCCATATTTTCCGGGAAAATTGGAGGGAATTTATTTGGGAACTTCCCTCCCTCGGAATCTCAATCTAACCCTAAATATAATATAATATAATTATTATTTTTATTGTTATTATGCACTCATGTTCATAAATAATTGTTAATTACTAGTTAACATGCTTTATGAAAATTTTTTTCATAAACTTATTTTGAAATTATTATTGTTTATTTATAAAGTTTTATTTTTATTTTTATTTTTTTTTATTTATTTAGTTGAATTAAACTTATAGTAAATTTATATTTAATGTTATTATACGTTTTTTAAAATTTTTTATTATATATAACATTTATACATTAATATCTCAATTACAAAATTATGATATTTACATAAATAATTTTTTTGGAAATTTATTTTTATGACATAGAGTATATTAATTTTAAATGTAAATGAAATTAAGTAAAGTTAAGATAATATATTAAAATTATAAATTATTTTATCAACAAAAAATAAACATATTTAATGCATATTATTTTGGTAAAATTTTTTAAGCAACTGAAAAAAATATATACAACTTAAACTTAAATATTAAATAGCATTTTTTTTATTGTTTTATTTAAAATAACTAAATAAATATCAAATGTAATATTAATATCTAATATTTTTTGTTATCTATGTTTGTTTGTTTATGTGGAAATTTCTACCAAATGTCAAACAATATTGATTTATCTAAAAAAAATTATCAATAAATTTAACTCATCCAGTATTTAAGTTTTTTTGTTGATATAGATAACATACAAACACAATTAGTCTAGCACATTTTATTTTTACTTTTTTTTTAATTAATTGATATTTTATCAAATAATAGTTTATTGACAATAACAAAAAAAATTGATAATTAATATTAAAAAAATTGTGAAATACAACAGATTTTAAAGAAAATAAGTAAAAAATTAAATTTAAAAAATTTATAAATACATAGAATAATAATATTAATAATGCAATAAACTATATATAAAGTTTAAATAAATGCATATAACTTAATAAACTAATAAATTATATTGCATTATATTGCTAATACTGTACAATGACTCAGTGCAATGACTTAAAACAAAATAATAATATAATTAATATAAAGTACAATAATTTTTAAGCAATGTAAAAAATTGCAATTAATAAAATAAAAGCTTAATGACATTTCTCATTACTTTATTATTATTATTATATATAAAGTTAGTTATTAAAAGTAAAATTAATCAAAATAAAAAACAATCTAGTTGATTAAACTTTTATCAATAACACAAAAAAATAACTATTAAATACTAGTAAACTAGTAATTACTAGTATACTAACTCTCTCTCTCTCTCTCTCTCTCTCTCTCTCTCTCATAATATAAATGATTAGATAGACATTAAACTATCATTAATTATGAACTCATTTAAACAAGTGTCTCAAAAAACAGTGTTGTTATGCATAGTATTGTACCGTACAGTAGATATAGGTATATAAACCTGAAAACATAATAACCTAAATAGATTAGTAATATAATTGAAGAAAAAATTAATTAATTAATTAATTAATTTTTCATTATAAAAATGAAAATAAATTTTTTCTTATTATTAGTACTGGGATTATGTGCAGCACCATTGGTAGTAGTAATCCATGCCGTACTACTACAACCTGACTGTCCCAATCATCTCAAGGGTCACGACAGTTTTGCCTGTGTCTGTACCGAACAGCAACCGTGTGCACAGGTAGTCCAGCCGGTACGTACATCAACAGGTTTAGTAACCAAATGGGAATCGGGCAGAGATGGCGCCCGACTACGCAAACAGACACTACAGTTTAGCAAATTTAGTTGGTGGGACCTGATAGCCGGTTTCGGTCGTTTTCATGTTGGTGGTGGTGGTAGTGGTGGTGGTGGTAGTGGTGGTGGTGGTAGACTACACTTTCGTGTGAACCGGAATATCCTCTATCAGGAGATTTTCGGATTTGGCGGCGCTTTTACCGACTCGACGGGTGTTAATCTACAAAAAATTGGCACAAAACTGACGGATCAGATATTGAGAGACTATTTCAGTTCCGATGGTCTCGAGTATAATGTCGGCCGTATTCCTATCGGTGGATCCGATTTCAGTACCCGTGGCTACAGTTTGGATGACAACCCGGGAGACAAATCGTTGGCTCATTTTAATCTAACCCACGAGGACTTGGACTATAAGGTTATTATTAAATTTAATTATTTTAATTTTAATTATTTAGTTTATTATGATTATTAGATACCATACATTCAAAAAGCCAAACAACTGGCCACACATGAAATACGATTGTATGGCAGTCCCTGGTCGGCACCGGCATGGATGAAAACTAATGACAATCTGGTACATGGTGGTACATTGATTGGACCGGTAGGCAGTGAATATTGGCAAATATATGCCAAATATTTTGTTAAGTAAGTTTTTTTTACATACAGTACAGGTATAATACAGTATACATTTACTTTATTAATCAATTAGCCTTATATAGCCATTAATATATACAGTATATCTATCTAATTAGTATAATTATATTGATAATAATTAGCTGATTCAAAAAATGTTTATTTTTTGATAAAAATAATATTAATAGTATAATAATTAGTATTAAAAAGCAATAGTTTAATTTAACAAAAAAATATATATATTTTAAAATTACACCATGAAAGCAGTTACTAATAATGTTATTTAAAAAAAAAATTATATACAACAATTTTATTTTAAGAAATTATTGACAGTTTATATCTACAACAACAATAACAAAATTAAAATATATTATCATTTATCTATATAATGAAAAATTATTTTTATTTTACAAATAATTTTTTATTTCATATAAATAAATAAAAATTAAATAATTAATTACTCTAACTTTTAACTAATAACAATAATTTTTACATTACAAAAAAATAATTAAAAAATAAATAGATATCTGAACGCATACAAGGCTCATAATATTAGCCATTGGGGACTAACTGTCCAAAACGAACCGGCCGCTAGTCAAACGTGGAACTCTATGCGATGGACACCCGAATCGACACGTGATTTTTTGGTCAAAAATCTGGGCCCTGAGCTCGAACGTAACGGTTACGGCCCGGACAACCTTAAAGTAATGATATGGGATCATAATCTGGATCAAGTGGCTGAATGGGTTCATACAATATTTGCCGATAAAACGGCAGCCAAATACGCGGCCGGTACTGCCATACACTGGTACTCTAATTCACCGCAAACATTTCTGGACAAACCTTACCTGGAGCACCCGGATAAGTTTATACTAGCTACCGAAGCCTGTATGGAGGGTGGAGCCAAACTAGGGTCATGGCTGGCAGCGGAACGGTATGCCAAAGATATACTGGAAGTAAGTTGTCGAGTTGTATAATAAATAATTTTTTTAAAATTGAAAATTATTATTTAATTTCAAATACCAGGATCTACTGCACCATACAATTGGATGGACCGATTGGAATCTAGTGCTGGATACCCAGGGTGGTCCCAATTGGGTGGGCAACTTTGTTGATGCACCCATACTAGTCGACTATAGCAAACAGCCCCACGTCTACTACCGTCAACCACATTACTATGCTCTGGCACATTTCAGTAAATTTCTACCGCCCGGTTCAGTTAGAATAGACACCTCTATTGTCGATCAACGTAATACCGGTGCAATTGTCGGCGCTTTTCGTACACCAAACAAGTCGACAGTTGTTATTGTGGTGAACAACGACAACAATGATGTTGAGCTGACCATCGAAGACACCAAAACTGGACGATTGGTTACAACAGTTGCGGCTAAAACAATACAAACCTATGTCTACTATGATTAGTAATTGAATACTAATATTAATAATTATTGTATTATTTATGTAATTAGATATAAATTATGTTTTGTTATTATTTTTTTATATATATAAATATATAAACTGTTAAGTTATATTAATATTTATGTATTTGTTAAATAATATTTTTGTTTTGTTACGCTATTACCAAAATTGTTATAATTAATAAAAATTAATTATATATTATTAATAATTTTATGTAGAATTATTATTATAATTATTATTGCTAATGCTTTTTTAAATTTATTGTTTTATGAAAATAATTATAATTAATGTCAATAATTAAAAAAATAGTTTTTAAATTTATTGTATATATTATATAATGTTTAATATAATAAAAACTAAAAGTTTAAAATAATTGATTGGTGCATTTTTTTATCAATTATTATTAATATCAATAATAATAAATAATAAAATTAATACTTTAGTGATAAAAACCAAATAATTAGTACTTTCTTAATAAAAACTATTAATTAAAATATTTTATTGAAATTATTATCAAAAAGATTTTTTTTTCAAAAAAACATTTTTCTTATAAATGACAAATATATATATTTGAAATTCAAATTTTGAATTACTAAACTGTACTTCAATATAATAACTGTACAATTGATAAGATACTACACACTTTATTTTACAGTAATTTTACTATAAAAACTGTATTCAAGAAAAATAATTATAGTTGAAAAAAAAGTAATTATAAAATAAATAATTTAATTATTAATCTATTTTTTTAAAATTCAAAAATATAATATTGCATATAAAATAATGCATAAAACAGTTTATAAGTTTCAGTTTATTTTATTAGTAAACTTTTTGCTAATAAATACTTTTACTATTTACTACTACTACTACTACTACTACTACTACTACTACTACTAATAATAATAATAATAATACGAAAACTCATACTATTATAGTCCAACCTGACTGTCCCAATCACCATACAGTAGTAGGTCACGACAGTTTTGCCTGTGTCTGTACCGAACAGCAACCGTGCGCACGGGTCGAGTCACCCAAACGGACGGCCACCGGTATTGTAACCAAATGGGAATCGGGCAGAGATGGTGCCCGACTACGCAAACAGACACTACATTTTGATAAATTGGATATCCATGAGCTGGAAACATGTGCTGGTAGTGATAATCAGCTACACTTTCGTGTGAACCGGAATATCCTCTATCAGGAGATTTTCGGATTTGGCGGCGCTTTTACCGACTCGACGGGTGTTAATCTGCAAAAAATTGGCACAAAATTGACGGATCAGATAATGAGAGACTATTTCAGTTCCGATGGTCTCGAGTATAATGTCGGCCGTATTCCTATCGGTGGATCCGATTTCAGTACCCGTGGCTACAGTTTGGATGACAACCCGGGAGACAAATCATTGGCTCATTTTAATCTAACCCACGAGGACTTGGACTATAAGGTTAGTATTGATGATAATAACAATAATAGTTAGTTTAGTAAATTTAGTTATTTTTATTTTAATTATTATTATTAGATACCATACATTCAAAAAGCCAAACAACTGGCCACACATGAAATACGATTGTATGGCAGTCCCTGGTCGGCACCGGCATGGATGAAAACTAATGACAATCTGGTACATGGTGGTACATTGATTGGACCGGTAGGCAGTGAATATTGGCAAATATATGCCAAATATTTAGTTAAGTAAGTTTTTTTTATACATAAAGTATAATACTTTTACTCTATTAATCAATTAGTCTTATATAGCTATTAATATATATATACAGTATATCTATCTAATTAGTATAATTAGATATTGATAATAATTAGCTGTTTCAAAAAATTTGATAAATATAATAATAGTATACTAATTAGTATTAGAAAGCAATAGTTTAATTTAATAAAAATATATTTTTAATAAAAATACATGTTTAAAGCAGATACTATTATTATTATTTATTTAACAAAAATATTTATATGCAACAATTTTATTTCAAAAATTATTTACAGTTTCTAACTATAACTATAACAACAACAATAACAAAATTAAAATATATTATTATTTATCTATAAAATGAAAAATTTTTTTATTTCATATAAGTAAAAAAATAATTAAATTATTAAATGTTATCCAATGTTAACTAATAACAATAACTTTTACATTACACAAAAATTAAATAAATTAATAGATATCTGAACGCATACAAGGCTCACAATATTAGCCATTGGGGACTAACTGTCCAAAACGAACCGGCCGCTAGTCAAACGTGGAACTCTATGCGATGGACACCCGAATCGACACGTGATTTTTTGGTCAAAAATCTGGGCCCTGAGCTCGAACACAATGGTTACGGACCAGATAAACTTAAAGTAATGATATGGGATCATAATCTGGATCAAGTGGCTGAATGGGTTCATACAATATTTGCCGATAAAACGGCAGCCAAATACGCGGCCGGTACTGCCATACACTGGTACTCTAATTCACCGCAAACATTTCTGGACAAACCTTACCTGGAGCACCCGGATAAGTTTATACTGGCTACCGAAGCCTGTATGGAGGGTGGAGCCAAACTAGGGTCATGGCTGGCAGCGGAACGGTATGCCAAGGATATACTTGAAGTAAGTTGTCGAGTAGTATACTAAATATTTAAAAAAAAATTACTAATTGAAAATTATTAATATTTAATTTCAAATACAAGGATCTACTGCACCATACAATTGGATGGACCGATTGGAATCTAGTGCTGGATACCCAGGGAGGTCCCAATTGGGTGGGCAACTTTGTTGATGCACCCATACTAGTCGACTATAGCAAACAGCCCCACGTCTACTACCGTCAACCACATTACTATGCTCTGGCACATTTCAGTAAATTTCTACCGCCCGGTTCAGTTAGAATAGACACCTCTATTGTCGATCAACGTAATACCGGTGCAATTGTCGGCGCTTTTCGTACACCAAACAAGTCGACAGTTGTTATTGTGGTGAACAACGACAACAATGATGTTGAGCTGACCATCGAAGACACCAAAACTGGACGATTGGTTACAACAGTTGCGGCTAAAACAATACAAACCTATGTCTACTATGATTAGTAATTGAATACTAATTAATAATAATTGTATTATTTATGTAATTAGATATAAATTGTTTTGTTATTATTTTATATATATTATATATATATATATATATATATATATAAACTGCTGTTATACAGTATTAATATTTATGTATTTGTTAAATAATATTTTTGTTTTGTTATGTTATTACCAAAATTGTTATAATTAATAAAAATAATTATTAATAATTTTATGTATTATGTATTATTATTATTTTAAATTTATTGTTTTATGAAATTAATTATAATTAATAATTAATTTTAAAAAATAGCTTTTTAATTTATTTTATATATTATATAATGTTTAATATAATATAAATTAAAAGTTTAAAATAATTGTTAGTGCATTTTTTTGCTATCAATTATTATTATTATCAATAATAATTAATAATAATATTAATACTTTAGTGATAACAACAAATAATTAGTACTTTCTTAATAAGCGATTAATTGAAATATTTTATTGAAATTATTATCAAAAATATTTTTTTTTTCACAAAAAACATTTTTCTGATAAATGATAAATATATATAAATATTTTTTAATTACTAAAGTGTACTTCAATATAATAATTGTACAATTGATAAGATACTGTAAACAATTAAGTTTGTATTGTACAATAATTTACTATAAAAACTGTAAAATTTAAGAAAAATAATTATTGTACAAAAAAAGTAATTTTAAAATAAAATAATTTAATTATCTTTTTTTAATTCAAAAATAAATAATATTGCATATAAAATAATGATTTATAAAACACTTTATAAGTTTCAGTTTATTTTATTAGTAAACTTTTTACTAATAAATACTTTTACTACTACTACTACTATTAATAATAATACAAAAACTTATACTATTATACTCCAACCTGACTGTCCCAATCACCATACAGTAGTAGGTCACGACAGTTTTGCCTGTGTCTGTACCGAACAGCAACCGTGCGCACCGGTCGAGTCACCCAAACGGACGGCCGCCGGTATTGTAACCAAATGGGAATCGGGCAGAGATGGAGCCCGACTACGCAAACAGACACTACATTTTGATAAATTGGATATCCATGAGCTGGAAACATGTGCTGGTAGTGATAATCAGCTACACTTTCGTGTGAACCGGGATGTCCGGTATCAGGAAATTTTCGGGTTTGGCGGCGCTTTTACCGATGCGTCGGGTATTAATTTGGAAAAAATTGGCCCGAAATTGTCGGATCAGATATTACGTGATTATTTCAGTTCGGATGGTCTCGAGTATAATGTCGGTCGCATACCGATTGGTGGATCCGATTTTAGCGCCCGGGGATACAGTTTGGACGACACTCCTGAGGATAAAACACTCAAACATTTTAATCTAACCCATGAAGACATTGACTATAAGGTGTGAGCTCAAGGTGTCAGCCCTGAGCTATGTATTAGATTTTAATTATACAATTTTTATTTTAAAAAATATATATATAGATACCATACATTCAAAAAGCCAAACAACTGGCCACACATGAGATCCGATTGTTTGGCAGTCCCTGGTCGGCACCGGCATGGATGAAAACCAACAATAACCTGGTAAATGGTGGCAGTCTTAAGGGACCGGTTGGTAGCGAGTATTGGCAAATATGGGCCAAATATTTTATAAAGTATTAATATATCTAAAAAAAAATCATTGCTATAAATACTGTATTTATTAATTATTTACTAAAAATTTTTTTTTACAGATATTTAAATGCATATAAAGCACATAACATTAGCCATTGGGGTATAACTGTGCAAAACGAGCCGTACGCCAATACCCGATGGAACTCTATGCTGTGGACACCCGAATCGATGCGTGATTTTTTGATCAAAAATCTGGGCCCTGAGCTCGAACGCAACGGTTACGGACCGGATAAGCTCAAAGTAATGATATGGGATCATAATTTCGATAAAGTAGAGGAATGGGTTCATACAATATTTGCCGATAAAACGGCCTCCAAGTATGCGGCCGGTACTGCCATACACTGGTACTCACATTTACCGCAAACAATGCTGGATAAACCCTATGTGGAACATCCGGATAAGTTTATTCTGGCTACAGAAGCTTGTATTGATAATGGCATCAAAATGGGTTCGTGGAATAATGCGGAACAGTATGCCCAGGATATACTACAGGTAAGTGGGGGGGGGGGTGAGASTACAWAAAATAAATAWATATTTTCTAATCWTATTAAGGGGTTGTTCACATATTACGTTCGCACTTGAGGAGAGGAGGGGTAGAGACTTTAAGAACGTTCGCATTTAGATAATATTTTTAGATTTTATTTCTTGTGGTGGATGGAGGGGGGGGGGTTAGCGGTTAGGAACATGCGAACATAATTTTTTTATATGACTACTGCTAGCCTAGGGGAAGGAGGTGGTTTAGATTTCTTAAAAAAAAGTGCGAACGTAATATGTGAATCGCGCCCCTAATAGAAAAAATTATTTGTCTATACATAAAAAGGATTTAATTCATCATACAATTGGATGGGTTGACTGGAATCTAGTGCTGGACACCCAGGGTGGACCTAATTGGGTACAAAATTTTGTCGATGCACCCATAATAGTCGACTACGGCAAACAACCGCATGTCTACTACCGTCAACCGCAGTACTATGCTCTGGCACATTTTAGCAAATTTCTACCGCCCGGTTCAGTTAGAGTAGACACCAATATTGTTGACCAACGAAATACCAGTGCAATGGTCGGTGCTTTTCGTACACCAAACAAGTCGACAGTTGTTATTGTGGTGAACAACGACAACAATGATGTTGAGCTGACCATCGAGGACACCAAAACTGGACGATTGGCCACTAAAGTTGCGGCTAAAACTATACAAACATATGTCTACTATGATTAGTAATTATTTTTTTAAAAAATTTAAAAAATAAATTTGATATTAGAATTTTAAAAAACAAACATAATTTAGTTTATCAAATATTTTAAATTTGTAATTAATTTATATAAAAAATTATTAAAAAGTTAAAATTCTGATTCTATACTAAATATTTTATAAGTTAATGTAAATAATACATAATCTTATTATAAAAACACTTGGTGCAATATACTTAAAATAATAATAAATAAGCAAAAACAATAAAGTTAGATTATTAGTTAGACTATTTAAAAAAACTTACTTAAATAATGTTCAAATAATAATTTTATATAATAATTAAATTAATAATCTATATAAATATTTAGTATAATTGAATATATAAATAATATTTTACTAAATCATACAATAATAAAACCATTAACTATTAAACATTAAAATAAATATTAAATATATATATTTTTATTATGAATTGAATATCTGATATAAATTATTATATGTTTGAATAAAATATATTTCATATAATCTGAAATTGAAATAAATAATATATTTTTACTGTATTTATATCAAAACAGTTTTAAATGAAATGTTTAAAAATTGTTTATCAATAATTAATTTTCACTATAAATAAAAAAATATTTGAAAAAATAAGTAAAACAATAATAAACTATTTTAGAAATTCAATAAAATATTTTTTAATTAACTTTTCTTTGTTTTTAATTTTTAACCTTGCATAATTCATTGAACTATATGAATTTTTCGAAATTATAGTTAATAAATTAATTTATAAAAAAAATGTTTATTTCATAAATTGATAATTATTTCATAATATATATATATATATATATATATATATATATATTAGTGCAATCAATATATCACTAATGAGTACTGTTGTTACATTAATCGAATAACGACATTATACCAGGGACCATTAGATAAACCATTAAATGATATATTCATAGCTAACTTAAAATAATTATCAATATTGTCAATAATTAATCTATAATATAATAATAATAATTAAGACACTAATTTATATAATCGAAATGCTATTAATAAAAAATTGAGGTTAATGAATTTATTTTTTTTATAAAGATATAATAGATACTACTATATTTGAGCAATTTAATAGATTAAACAATAATAAAAAAGTATATTAAATAGTTATAATAATAAGTAAATATTTTATTATATAATAATAATAAAAATTAACTCCGAATAGATAAAACAGTAATTTTATTTAGATTTAGAATATATAAAACATTGTAAATTTAGATAACTATATATATATATATATTACAGTTTTATATATATATACAAAAAATATGATTTTTTTAAAAACACATCATGTATTACCTCCTGAAGCACGTGTTGTTTGCGCGTGCAGTCAGTTGTATGCAAATGGTTTGTATTTGAAACCACCGATAATATCAACTCAGAGACACTGGACATCACATCCACTCCTGAGTACAATATGTTTATTATATTCTATAGTTTGGAATATTTTGCTATTAATAGTAATCAAAGACCGGGTTTCCATTGAATGGCATATATTTTTCGGTGATTTTATATATTTTTATGGAAATGACAAAATCATGAGAATTATTGCAATCTTAACACTGGTTTTGTGTTTAATAATTCAATGTATTTATTACTATATCTATCTATCAGGTATTTCGCTGACATTTATGTCAGTGTTTGATATGCTGTCTGGTTTGCAAACACCCTGTAGTGTTGAACTCACTGACAGTAAATCACTGATAAAATTTATAAAAATTGCAAAAATTTTGTTTAAAACAACAAAATTATTCAATCAATATATGCGTCCAATGTTTGTTAATATATTAATACTGATAATTGTATATAAAGTTGGGTTTATAAAATTTATAACATATGGTTTGCATAATATAATTATTTATTACATTATTATAAAATTTGGTTTTGTTATTTATACCTGGAATGGTATATATTTTTATTTGTTATGTTATTATTTAAAATTAAGATTTAAATCATTGAATGATAAACTTATTTCTGCTAAGCGTTYAATAAATTATAGAAAAATATTATTATTATTAGATATTATAACAAAACTATGTTATGATATTGATGAATACGATCAACAATTTTGGTCTAAATATTTGGCATCAATTTGGCTAATATTGGGTACAATGATTGTTACAATTTTAGCATCATTGCTATTATTTATCAAAAATATTTTCATTTATATTATATTCCTAATATCACTAATTACTATAATAATATTATTTACAACATTAGTATTATTGGCATCTAAGATAAACAAAAAATTTGCTAGACTTTATGTTTTATTAAATTCAATACATTTTTAATATTTTTCTGTACAATATTTGTATTTTTACTGTATTTTATAATCATAATAATAATGTGTTTTTTCTATAATTTATAAAATTTTTGTTAATAACTAAATATCAATATAAGAAAGCACCAAACAATTAATTAAATTCATACATGTTTAATATTTTATTTTCCTTATAAAAAAACTTTTTAATTTTATAATATAATATATCTATTATATATAAAAAAAATTATAATATTATTTAACTAATAATAAATTCTAACATTTATTTGCATGATATGTAAATTGTAATAAATAAATACATTTTTTTATTCAATTAATAATTTAGTCGATTTAATTGCTTTTATGTAAAACTAACTTAACTAATAAATTATTATATTTACTAAATTTAAATTGAATATACATATACAACTTATATCTACACTGATAATGATGATATAAATTAGTTCAATTTTAATTTATTGATTTTAAAAATGTAATAATAATAATAATAATTACTATTTAAGATAAAACTAATAATTAGAAATTGAATTATTTGCACTGTTTATATTATTATATACGTAAATATCAATTAAAACTAATTATATTATTTAGTTAAGACAATTTATAATTTTTATTTGGATATAATTATTATTTTATAATTGAAAAGTAATTAGTGAATAATGTTTTTAGGATATAAAGTATATATTATAATTTTTTAAGGATACATAAAACTATTTTTATTTTTTGAATTTAGATTATAAAAATAATATTGAAAAATTCAATAATTTAAGTTATTATTAGTCAAGATATTTGTTATAACAATTAACTGATTTAAATCAGTTATATAATGATATTAATGTATTTAATAAGACTTATTGGTCAAAAAAATTTTACTATCAATTTATACAGTATTTAGTTCAATGATTATTTTTTGTTTATTTATTATAATATTTTTAAATAAAAATTTTTGTTGTTCAACTAATATTCATATATTTTACTTTAATTATGGTTAACAATATTTTTCATAATAATTTTTACTGCATCATCTGTAACAAAGTTTTGCTTATATTAAAATAAATTATAAAATTTATTCAATAATTTTTGAATACTAATTACTATTGTTTGTATAATTTTTTTCTAATGTAAAGTTCATATAAATTTTTTAACAAGTAATTTATGTTTAAACTGTTTCTATTAATATACAAACAACAGTATTTAAATATAACAAAAAAAAATTATCAACAATTAATAAAAATCTTGATATAATATATCAGTTATAATATAAATATAATACAATTTTTGTAAACATATAAATATTTATTTAAATTTGTAAGATTTTATAATTTTTGTGTATGTTTTTTATAAAAAATAATTTTTATGTCAAATTTATTATTGATTTTTTTCACATATCATTGAACATTAAATTAATTTATCAAAATGTTTATTTCGACACTTGATAATTATTTCATATATATTAACTAACAATATATCACTAATGAGTATTGTTGTTACATTAATTGAGCAACGACATCATTATACCAGGGATCATTAGATAAACCATTAAATAATATATTCATAGCTAACTTAAACTAATTATCAATATTGATAATAATCAATTTATAATATAATAATAATTTACATAATCGATATGCTACTAATAAAAAAAATTGAGGTCAATTAATATATATATATTATTTAATATAATATAATAAATATTATTATTTATTAAATAATTTAATAGAATATACAATAATAAAACATTATATTAAATAGATATCATAATAAGTAATTATTTTATTATATAATACTACTAATACTACTACTACTACTACTACTACTACTACTACTAATACAGTAATACTCCGAATAGATAAAACAGTAATTATATTTATAGTCAGAATATATAAAATTGTAAATTTAAATTAATCAATATTTAAATAAATATTTGATAATTATATATTATTTTTTTATTTGACTTAATAATTTTATAGATTTTAAGTAAACAAAATGAAAAATTTATTTATAAATATCAATAAAGTATTGCCACAGAAATTGATTTGTATTGACGCTTGCAGTCAGTTGTATGCAAATGGTTTGTATTTGAAACCACCGATAATATCAACTCAGAGACACTGGACATCACATCCACTCCTGAGTACAATATGTTTATTATATTCTATAGTTTGGAATATTTTGCTATTAATAGTAATCAAAGAACGGGTTTCTATTGAATGGCATATATTTTTCGGTGATTTTATATATTTTTGTGGAAATATTAAAATCTTGAGAATTATTGCAATCTTAACACTTGTCTTGTGTTTAATAATTCAATATATTTATTACTATATCTATCTATCAGGTATTTCGCTGACATTTATGTCAGTATTTGATATGCTTTCCGGTCTGCGGACACCCCGTAGTGTTGGACTAACTGACACTCAATCACTGATAAAATTTATAAAAATTGCAAAATTTTTGTTTAAAACAACAAAATTATTCAATCAATATATGCGTCCAATATTTGATAATATATTAATGCTTATAATTGTATATAAAGTTGGTTTTATAAAATTTATAACATATGGTTTGCATAATATATTTATTTATTATATTATTATAAAATTTGGTTTTGTTATTTATACCTGGAATGGTATATATTTTTATTTGTTATATTATTATTTAAAATTAAGATTAAAATTATTGAATGATAAACTTATTTCTGCTAAACGTTCAATAAATTATAGAAAATTATTATTATTATTAGATATTATAACAAAACTATGTATTGATATTAATGAATATAATCAACAATTTTGGTCTAAATATTTGGCATCAATTTGGCTAATATTGGGTACAATGATTGTTACAATTTTAGCATCATTGTTATTATTTATCAAAAATATTTTCATTTATATTTTATTCCTAATATCACTAATTACTATAATAGTATTATTCACAACATTAGTTTTATTGGCATCTAAGTTAAACAAACAATTTTCTAGAGTTTATTTTGAACTATTTTTATTAAAATTTTAAAAATTATATATAAATATTTTTGTCTCATAATATGACACTCAACTAATAATAATTAGTAATCAATATTTTGGTTAAATATGACTTAAAATATAAAATATATATGGTTTTATTTTTTATAATTTTTGATATGACTTCTAATAATGATAAATAGATTAAATAAAATTTTTAGTAATACATTTATGTGTGTTATCTTTTTATTTATAAATTATAAGTTTGTTAATGGCAATGCTTTCTAGCATTTTCTATGGTTTTTATCTGTAATATAGTTTAAATATATATATAATTATATATATATATATATATTACTGTGTATTAAATTGTAGACACAAACAAAATTAACTAGACAAATTGTTTTCAAAAATATAACATTGTATTTAAAAACCTTTTACATAATTGAGATATTTTATATTCAAAAATATAATAATAAAAAATAAAATAAAATTTTTAATAAAATTTTTATAATAAATTATTTCTTATTTTGATCACTATTTTATATTACTGTATTAATATATATATATATATATAGTAATTATATAAAATTTGTAATTACATAAAATTATTATTATAATGTATTAGTTAATTAAAAGTAATTAAAACTATTTTTTTCAATTTTTAAATAATAATAATAATAATAACACTTTTTGATTTTGATTTTAATCATATTGATTTAAATTGCTATATCTTTTAAATTGCATAATTTTATAATAATTTGTTGATACTTTAAAAAGTTCGTTAACATATTTATCCAAATTTGGTATATTTAGTCTAGTATTAGCCAATAATAATTGATCCATAAGTTTAATAATTGTCGGCCAAAAGTGATCCCTAATTATGGCAATTACATTATCAATGGCTTGTTGTGGACTCAACTGATCTCTTAAGACAATCAAATAAATATAATTCAGATTCAGATCATTAGTTTTTGCTTCCTTTTTGAATGAAGTGATGTCATTGATTAGCAACGGTATGACCGATGCGTACCATTCAAATGTCTTCAATTGTTGGCCAACTGATGGATCGGTGGTTACTTGGGTTTCGGCGGTTAGACTATCCAATTGAAACCGAGCGGAAAACTCGTTTAGTATCCATAAGGTTTTAGTACCCGATTCGGGAATTCTAGTTTCCATAAACTTTTCCAATGTTACCGATTCGGTAGACAAATGAAATGTCTTAATATCGGCACAAATAGTAAGCCATTCAACAACTTTTCGATGAAACCGATTGAACATTGATTTAGACATTAGTTTTTCAAATTCTTTTTGTTTGATTTTTTTACATATCATATGAAAATGTTTTTATATGAAAATAATTAAAAAAAAATTAATTAATTTATATTAATAATAAAATATTTGTTTTCATTACTTTATACTAATTTTTCTGAACAAAAAACTTACCACTCATTATATAAATATACAATTTAGCTAAACTTGTTGGTAAAGTATCATCAAATACATAATGTTTTTCGCTAATAACTGGTAGAAATTGACTGAATTTTTCAGGATTTTCAGCGTAAACATCGTTAAAATAAAAGCCAAAAATCATATACAATATAACTAATTCATATTCATCACTGTTTGGACTATCGGGTGATATAAAACCAAAATAAGTTATAAAATCTACTGAATCTCGGGTCAAATATTTGTCGGCATTTGTACCGAACAGTCCCATCAATTTAGTTATGACTTTATCGCGTACAGCATCTGTCCATTTGTTTGCTTGTAATTCAATATCATTACCTAAAAAATTGTAATCAATTTTCACATCTAGACATTGCTTAACAAAATTTTCATCAAGCATTTTGTTTGGTTATTACTATTATATTTATTATTAATAATAATTATGATAATAATTTAAAATTTAAAAATTAAAATCTAATTTAAAAAACAGATGTTTTCTATTAATATATATATATTAAGTCGTAACAGAAAGTCATATAAGAAATTAACGGTTTTTACAGATGACTGTAACGTTGTTTTTTGGGTCGGTTTTTAAATAATAACATATAAGTAATAATTTTCTACATAAGTATTTTATAATTTTTTTTATATGTATTTTATATTTAAAAAAAATCGCTAAAAACTTTAATACTATTAATTACTTAACGTTAACAATTAGTTGATTTTAAAATTTTTTTTTATAAATTTTTACCCCAATTGTTTGTTATGAAACTTAAAATATACTTAAAAAATAAGTGTTTAGACAAACTTATGACAAACATAGTTTGAAACAAATTGAAACTAATTCAATTAAACCATATATCATATTGAAACGGTTGGATGGGTTGGTTAGGTGTCCGGTGCTGACTCGACGTTATCGGCACCAAAGTGTTGTCGGTCCTAGAGATGAGTTGGCACCAACACCTATGTTGTTGAGGACATCTGCGACCACAGTATGGATCTGGCGTTGAGCGGTGATGGCTATGATTAGCCAAACGTGATGAGCGGTGCTGTGATGGCCAAAATGTTGAGTGGTGTTGAATCGGCCAATGAGCTGAGCGGTGCTGTATCGGCCAATGTGTTGAGTAGTGGTGGCGGTGATGGATACGGGAAAGGGACACGACTGACACGGCAAGGGAGCCCAGAGATGAAATGAAGAGAGAAAGCAAGAGAGAAATATAGAGAGAAGAGAAGAGAGAAAGTGCGGGCCGAAGGCCCAAATGACTTACTCGGGACTTATACCAAAACCGAGTTTTATTGATAACACATATAAAAATAAACTAATACAATGTAATACAATACACTACAATGTATTGTGGAGCAAAGTGACGGCAACCGACCAGTTCAAGAGTAAGACAATTTGTGTCGAGCATTTCGCTCGACTGAGAGCTCAGCAGTCTGATCGCTGCATAAGCCACTGCCTATTGCGCGCGCAAACTGTTAAACTCTGCATTCATATTTGATGACAACTTTTACATATAGGGGAAATGGTCTCAATAAGGGACGCCAAAAAAAATTATAAAAAGTTAAGCAATTGTTAGGATACGAGATCTGACAATAAATAATGTCTACAAAATTAATAAATAAATTAATTATATACTACACACACAAAATTAAATACAAAAATTATTTTCATTTATTTTTATATTCTATCTACTCAGAAATAATAAAATGTTCATTTTAAATTTTTGTAAATAATATAGATATAATATTACCGATTCCAACAATTATAGTTACAAAAATACAGTACAACATATTTATAAGTTTAAAAAATTATAAATAATTTATTTAAATATAACTTTATTTATAATCATTTAAAATGTTCAAAATCACAAAAACAAAAAAATAATAATCAAATAATTCAATACAATGGTTGGTAGAGCTCTTTAAGGAATTTAAAATCACCAACCTATTGGGTTGGTAGAGCTCTTTAAGGAATTTAAAATCACCAACCTATTGGGTTGGTAGAGCTCTTTAAGGAATTTAAAATCACCAACCTATTGGGTTGGTAGAGCTATTTAAGGAATTAAAATCACTAACCTATTGGGTTGGTAGAGCCATTTAAGGAATTAAAATCACTAAGATAAATGCATTGATTTGTTAAATACAATTGGATGTGTTGTATTCATTTGTTATACTACAGTATTGGGATAAATCACTATTCATAATTTTAAATTCCTTAAATAGCTCTACCAACCCAATAGGTTGATGATTTTAATTCCTTAAATAGCTCTATCAACCCAATAGGTTGATGATTTTAATTCCTTGAATAGCTCTATCAACCCAATAGGTTGATTATTTTAATTCCTTAAATAGCTCTACCAACCCAATAGGCTAATCTTAAATATATAATGTCATATTTATAGCTATTTATAATTTTTACGGATTATTTAACATTAAATATAATTTATAAAATTTTTTTTCAGTGTAACTTATTGATAATTTGTATTTTAAAATTTTTTCATTTTAATTATACATTCAAAATTTACTATTATTTTTTGTGTGTAAAAATTATATTAATAAATAAAACTATAATTTGATGACGTTATTGACACTCATTTGTTGATAAAAATTATTTTGAATTACATGTCCCTAATTGAGATTATCGGCTAATTATTGATTTTTAATTAAATAATTAATACATAGATTAATAAAAGTGATTATTTTTGTTATTAATATTTTTACTAATATATTATTTATGTATAAAAAATAATAGTTATAATTTAATTATACTAAATATTGTTTAATTTAATTTCAAACTTAATGTTAAATAAGGGATGAAATGGTAATATTTTATGTTATCTTTGTTGTCAATTAATTGTTGATTTTGTGATAAAATTATAACAATTTTGATTCACTTGTCTTATAAAGTATATCCTTAGGTTTGTAATGACATATAAATGTCAACAATTGTTTAATTATTTTGTGATTAAAACTAATTTAAAGTATGCCGTCCCCTATTAAGGCTATCCCCAATTAGGATTATTTACACTACTACTATTTTGCTCTTATTGGATAATTCAAACTCTGCCTATTTTTGATCAGTCGCACACTACCACCTAAAGGCAAATTCTCATTTGCATTAAAATACAATACACAAGTGCGCTTAGAAATTAATTAATTCATTAATGTTAAAGTATAGAAAACAAAAACCCTTGTTAACCCCTGTATAACCAATGGTTAAATAGTATTCACTGAAACGCAAGTGCGTCACTGCAATTACTGACACTATATGTATCACAAAATAAACCTATATGTTTGTATGTTAAAGTATAGCTAATGTTATTTCTATGGCAATGTTAAACCTATATTTATAGTAGTGAATGTGCCGCTAATGCAATTCCTATGGGTATAGTAAACACATACTTTATAATACTAAATAACCCGTTAATGTTATTTCTATGGGAATACATATCTCATATTAACTATGTATTTAATACAATAAAACATTACTGTAGTTAAAACATATGAGAAGTTATATAAGTAATTAAATTTATAATTTGAGTACATTTACTATTGTTTTAAGTGATCTATTATTATTCCGCTACAATATATATTGATATTTTTTGGTTATACTAATAAACTATGTTAACAATAAAGTTATAATAGCATTACTTTATTTTATTGTATTTTAGATACGCTTTTTCTTGTCTAACTAACCCTATATATAAAAATTTATTTATTTATTTATAGTCATTATATATATATAGCAGACATTTTATATTTTTTAATCATATGTTACATAAATTAAAAAAAATAATTAGTTTTATTTAATACTTTTTTTTGTTTAAATCATAATATTTTAAAATTAATGTGAGTGGGTGTGTGTGTGTGTGTGTGTGAGTGTGACTTAAAACTTATGTCACAAATTTATATATCCGTAAATTGTTTCAGACAAATAAATAAAATTATTTTTTAATAGACTCTACAGATTGGACAATAAAACAATAGACATAAAAATTCAAAATAAAAATTAAATTTTTTATCAAATATAACATAAATTAAAGTGTTTAGCACTTTTTGTTTAATTAGACATATTATTTTTAATTATATTTGGATATGTGTTTTAAATTGTTAAATTTTTAATATACAATTAGTTTTTACATTTTGAAAATCAATTTATGTGCATAAGTAATTATTAGTTATTAATTATAAGTATATATATATATAGTATTATAACTTGTTTGTTAAAAACTTTTATTTAAATTAAATAATTTATAAAATGCATGTATATTATATGCAGTATAATAAAAATTACAAAATAATAAAATACAGTGTATATTTTTTTAAAAAACTAATTGTATTTTTATATTAAAAATGTATTGAATTTAATAAAAAATAAAATCTAAAAAATTGTTTGTTTATCTTAGATGCCAATAATACTAATGTTGTAAATAATATTATTATAGTAATTAGTGATATTAGGAAAATAATAAAAATGAAAATATTTTTGATAAATAATAGCAATGATACTAAAATAGTAACAATCATTGTACCCAATATTAGCCAAATTGATGCCAAATATTTAGACCAAAATTGTTGATCGTATTCATTAATATCAATACATAGTTTTGTTATAATATCTAATAATAATAATATTTTTCTATAATTCATTGAACATTTAGCAGAAATAAGTTTATAATTCAATAATTTTAATCTTAATTTTAAATAATAATATAACAAATAAAAATAAATACCATTCCAGGTATAAATAACAAAACCAAATTTTATAATAATGTAATAAATAAATATATTATGCAAACCATATGTTATAAATTTTATAAAACCAACTTTATATACAATTATCAATATTAATATATTAACAAATATTGGACGCATACACTGATTGAATAATTTTGTTGTTTTAAACAAAAAATTTGCAATTTTTATAAATTTTATCAAATAAAAAGTGTCAGTGAGTCCAATACTACGGGGTTTTCGTAGACCAGACAGCATATCAAACACTGACATAAATGTCAGCGAAATACCCGATCGATAGATATAGTAATAAATAAATTGAATTATTAAACACAAGACAAGTGTTAAGATTGCAATAATTCTCAAGATTTTAATATTTCCACAAAAATATATAAAATCACCGAAAAATATATGCCATTCAATGGAAACCCTGTCTTTGATTACTATTAATAGCAAAATATTCCAAACTATAGAATATAATAAACATATTGTACTCAGGAGTGGATGTGATGTCCAGTGTCTCTGAGTTGATATTATCGGTGGTTTCAAATACAAACCATTTGCATACAACTGACTGCAAGCGTCAATACAAATCAATTTCTGTGGCAATACTTTATTGATATTTATAAATAAATTTTTCATTTTATTTACTTAAAATCTATAATATTATTATTAAGTCTAATACAATATAATATATTAATATCAAATATTTATTTAAAAATATTTAGCTAACTAAGTATTATTTTTTTTAAATTCTTAGTTTAGTTTAATATTATTTTTTATTAATCTATATATTTCTATATATTTAACTAAAAAATATTATACGACTAATTAATTATTATTAGTATATATTAATAAAAATATACTAATATCTCTAATTTAACTTAAATAATATTATTATAACTATAATTATTACTTTTTATTTCCTACTCATATTTATGATAATAAATAGTATTAATATTTTTAACTAAGATTAAGACATTATAGACATTAATTATTATAATAAATGTATATTATTTAATAATATTATTTGAATAATAAAATATATGTTTGTTATTAATGATAAAATGTATTTTTAGTTATGAATAAATTACGAAAATTGTTTACTATTGTCTACAATACAGTAAATAATTAATGTATTATAAAGTTATGAATGTCTATAAACTTTAATTTTTCAAAAATAATTTTTCATAATTAAACTGTTATTTTAATCTTTTTTTATCATTAACTATGATATTACCGATAACTAGATATTACAATAATAATAATAGTATATATGAAGATAATAGTATATTGAGATGAATATCTATAGTTTAACTAAATTAGTAAAAAAAAATAGTATTTAACACAAATATTAGATATTTTAAGTTCATCTTAAACACCAAACAAATAGTATAACAATAACTATAATATATTAATATCAAATATTTATTTAAAAATATTTAATTAACTTATTATTATTTTTTTTTGTTTAAAAATACTCAGTTTAGTTTAATTGTAATTTTGAATAATCAATATATTTCTATATATTTAAGTATAAAATACAGTAGTATCATAAACTTTAATTAGACAAAAATAATTTGTTTTATAAAAAAAATAATAGTTAATCATTAAATTATAGTTAATGGAAAAATTCATGGAAAACTAATTTTTGTTTAAATATTATTTTTGATTAAAGATATTTATAATAAATTATATTAATAATATATACAGTATTTAAGTATAATATAAATAATAATTGACAAAATAATACTTATATTTATATAAAAAAATTTTTTTATTAAACTAATATTATTATACTTTAAATAGCTTTTCAAATATAAGTATTATTTTAAATATTAAATAATATAATGTTTTATTTAAACTTTTTTTAATGCATACATAATTTGTTCAGTTTTCAGATGATTATACTTTTGGTTTATTACTAGTTTTAGTTAACATTTATTGTACAAACATTTTGAGCTCAAGTATGTTATTACTGTATAGCAAACTATTGAGTGACTTTACAACTAAGTTAGTCAAAATAACAAATTTAAATTTATCAAATTATACAATCAACAAAAAAAATCAAAATATTTTTTAATAAAAATATAAAAATCATTTGTATTTAGTATGAAAACAAGTAAATTATTAATACATTAATACAATATTTAAATTAAAATTTATCAAATAATACAAAGTTTAAATTTGTTAGTTGAAGTATTGTTTATTAGATTATTATATAGTAAGTATTTTAAATTAAAATAATACTAACAATAAAAAATTTATTCAACATAATTAAATAATAAAAATCTAAATAATAGATTAATTTAAAATTTTAAAAATGATACATTATTCAAGTTATTGAAACAACTGAAAATAATTCAAATTAAAATTTTGTTTTAATTCAAGCAACATATGTTCAATTAAACAACAAAAAATATTAAATAATAAACAACAATATTAACAAACAGATATTCAGATAAATTTATTTATTTATCAGATGTTATATAACTTTATTATATTTTGTAATTTTTGTAAATTTCTGATGAATAAATTAATTTTTCTGATATAAAAATAACATATGATAATGATATAAATTAAATCATATAAATACAAATGGTTTATATATATAAGTCAATAAATATAGGATAAAAATTTATTCATCAGATGATACATAAATTTTAATGATAAGTACAATAAAAAAAACTACATTTATTATAGTCATCTACAAAATTTTTCTAAATGTTAATTAAACATGTTAATAATGTATTATAAAAATTAAATAAAATACTAGTTATTGATGATGCCAAAAATATAATAGCAAAAATACAATTAACATAATTAACATGAAATAAAAAAATTTGAATAATTATTTTTTCATAACAAAAATTATGTTAAATATATTTAATGTAATTATTAAGCCAAATATAAGCCAAATAGCAGCCAAAAGTTTGGACCAATAAGTTGTATTATATTCATTGATATCATTGCATAGTTTATTCAATGTATGCAATGTTTTCAATATACAGTACTATTAATGTTTAGACTACGTTTAATATAACTATTATTATTATTATTATAAATTAGTTTATTATTCATTGATTTTATACGCAATTTTAAATAATAACATAATAGATAAAAATAAACCATTGATTAAATTTAAATTATAATAGTTAATAATATGAAATATTTATAAGTAAAATATAAATAAATATATATATATAATAAATAAATTTATATATATTAAGTTAATGTTTTTAAAATATTTATTAGAAATTTTTACAAATTTAAAAATAATAATTTTAACGTTTATTAAAAAGTTATAATTAAAATAATTTATTTAATTCATAAAATAATTAATGTTTCCCAATAAATAAATAAATCTTATTAAAAATTATTTCATTAAAAGCATATATATAAAAAGAGATATTCAACAATTTTTTTTTAATAATAATAACACTTTTGATTTGATTAATATATTTTAATCATATTGGTTTAAATTATCATATCTTTTAAATTGCATAATTTTATAATAATTTGTTGATACTTTAAATAGTTCATTAACATATATATCCAAATTTGGTATATTTAGTCTAGTATTAGCCATTAATAATTGATCCTTAATTTTATTAAGTGTCGGCCAAATTTGATCCTTAATTAATGCAATTACATTATCCATGGCTTGTTGTGGACTCAACTGATCTCTTAAGGCAATCAAATAAATATAATTCAGATTCAGATCATTAGTTTTTGCTTCCTTTTTGAATGAAGTGATATCATTGATAAGCAACGGTACGACTCCACCGTACCATTCAAATGCCTTCAATTGTCGGCCAACTGTTGGATCGGCGGCCACAACAGTATCGGCGGTTAGGGTTTCCAATTGAAACCGAGCGGAAAACTCGTTTAGTATCCATAAGGTTTTAGTACCCGAATCTAATAGTCTAATATCCATAAACTTTTCCAATGTTAGCGATTCGGTAGACAAATGTAATGTCTTTATATCGGCACAAGTAGTCATCCATTCAAACATTTTGTTGTGATAGCGATTGAACAATGTTTTAGACATTCGTTTTTCAAATTCTTATTGTATGTTTGTTTTGGTTTTTAATTTTTTTTAATTAAAAAAAAAAGTTCATATGAGTTGTAAAGCAAACATTTAGTTATTTTTGTTGAAAAAGTAAAAATTTTATAATTATTTAATTATAAAAGAAATGTTATTATTATCATTAATTTAAACTACAATATAAAACAAAATTGTTTCTAAATACTTACCACTCATTATATAAGTGTATAATTTAGGCAAACCAGTGGCCATTGTATCGTCAAATTTATAATGTTTTTCACTGGCAATTGGTATAAATTGTTTGAATTTTTCCGGATTTTCCGAATAAACATCATCAAAATGATAGCCAAAAATCATATATAATAAAATTAATTCACATTCATCACTGTTTGGACAGTCAGGTGTTATAAAACTAGTATAAGTAAAATAGTCCATTGAATCCCTGTTCACATATTTGTCTGAATTATTGCCAAAAAGTTTCTTCAATTTAATTATGAGTTTATCGCGTACAGCATCTGTCCATTTGTTTGGTTTCAATTCAATATCATTGCCTAAAAAATTGTAATCAATTTTCACATCTAGACATTGCTTAAGAAAATTTTCATCAAACATTTTATTAGTTTTTTTTAATTAATAATGACAATAATTGTTAGCTAATATTATAAAATACTAGATTTTTTTTTAAAAAAAAATAAATAAACTTGCTTATAAAATGTAGTAAAATTTATAATACAGTATATTATATTAGATTTATATATAATACTTTGATAAATTTTTATAAATTTATACTGTATATCATAAATAAATTTTAACATTTGTATTTATATAATCTAACCTAAATTATTATCATGTGTTATTTTTATATCAGAAAATTTATTTGATTCATCAGAAATTTACAAAAATGACAAAATATAATAAAGTTATGTAACATCTGATAAATAAATAAATTTATCTGAATATCTGTTTGTTAATATTGTTGTTTATTATTTAATATATTTTGTTGTTTAATTGAACATATGTTGCTTGAATTAAAACAAAAATTTTAATTTTAATTATTTTCAGTTGTTTCAATAACTAAATTTTAATTTATATAAATGAAAAATATCATTTTTAAAATTTTAAATTAATCTATTATTTAGATTTTTATTATTTAATTATGTTGAATAAATTTTTTATTGTTAGTATTATTTTAATTTAAAAACTTACTATATAATAATCTAATAAACAATACTTCAACTAACAAATTTAAACTTTGTATTATTTGATAAATTTTAATTTAAATATTGTATTAATGTATTAATAATTTACTTGTTTTCATACTWAATAYAAATGATTTTTATATTTTTATTAAAAAATATTTTGATTTTTTTTTGTTGATTGTATAATTTGATAAATTTAAATTTGTTATTTTGACTAACTTAGTTGTAGAGTCAGTCAATAGTTTGCTATAATAACATACTTGAGCTCAAAATGTTTGTCCAATAATTTAAACTAAAACTAATTATAAACCAAAAGTATAATCATATGAAAACTAAACACATTATGTATTAAGTCTGCAATAAAAAAGTTTAAATAAAAAATTATATTATTTAATATTTAAAATAATACTTATATTTGAAAAGCTATTTAAATTATAATAATATTAGTTTAATAAAAAGTTTTTTTTATAAATGTAAGTATTATTTTGTCAATTATTATTTATATTATACTTAAATACTGTATATATTATTAATATAATTTATTATTAATATTTTTAATCAAAAATAATATTTAAACAAAAATTAGTTTTCCATGAATTATTCCATTAACTATTATTTTTTTATAAAACAAATTATTTTTGCTAATTTAAGTTTATAATACTATTTTATACTTAAATATATTTAGAAATATATTAATTTATCAGAAATACTATTTAACTAAACTGAGTACAAAATAATAATAACTTAGCTAACTAAATATTTTTATATAAATTTTTCATAATAATATATTATAGTTTTTTTGTGGTTATCTTATTTTTTGTTTGTTTGTTTGTTGAAGATTAACTTAAAATTGAAAATTTCTATTATTTGTGTTAAATACTATTTTTTTACTAATTTAGTTAAACTAATGATATTCATCTGAATATAGTGTTTTATATATACCATTATTATATTATTGTAATATCTAGTTATCGGTAATATTATAGTTAATGATAAAAAAATTGAATCATTAAAACAACAGTTTGATAATGAAAAATTAAAATTGATAGACTTTCATAACTTTTTTATTTTTGTTTGTTTGTTTAATACATTAATCATTTACGGAATTGTTTAATATTTTACATAAAAATAGTAAACAAGTGCATTTTTGTAATATTTTTAAAACTAAAAATTTTAAAAAATATTTTTAATGATTAATAACAAATATATAGTTTATTATTCAAATAATAATATTACATTATCTACAGTTATTAAAATAATTAATGTCTACAATGTCCTAATTTTAGTTAAAAATATTAATACTGTTTATTATCATAAGTAATAATTATGAAGTAATAATTATGATTATAATAATATTATTTAAGTTAAATTAGACATATTAATAAATTTTTTATTAATATATACTAATAATAATTAATCGTATAGTATTTTAAACTTAAATATATAGAAAAATACTATTTAAATAAACTGAGTATTTTTAAACAAAAAATAATACTTAGATAACTAAATAATTTTAAATAAATATTTTATAATAATATATTATATTGTATTTGACTTAAAAATATTATAATATTATAGATATTATAGATATTAAGAAAAGAAAATGATAAATATATTTATAAATATCAATAAAGTATTGCCACAGAAATTGATTTGTATTGACGCTTGCAGTCAGTTGTATGCAAATGGTTTGTATTTGAAACCACCGATAATATCAACTCAGAGACACTGGACATCACATCCACTCCTGAGTACAATATGTTTATTATATTCTATAGTTTGGAATATTTTGCTATTAATAGTAATCAAAGACCGGGTTTCCATTGAATGGCATATATTTTTCGGTGATTTTATATATTTTTACGGAAATGACAAAATCATGAGAATTATTGCAATCCTAACACTTGTTTTATGTTTAATAATTCAATATATTTATTACTATATCTATCGATCGGGTATTTCGCTGACATTTATGTCAGTGTTTGATATGCTTTCCGGTCTGCGGACACCCCGTAATGTTGGGCTCACTGACACTCAATCTCTGATGCAATTTATAAAAATTGCAAAATTTCTGTTTAAAATAACAAAATTATTTAATCAATATATGCGTCCAGTATTTGTTAATGTATTAATGCTTATAATTGTATATAAAGTTGGTTTTATAAAATTTATAATATATGGTTTGCATAATATATTTATTTATTACATAATTATAAAATTTGGTTTTGTTATTTATACCTGGAATGGTATTTATTTTTATTTGTTATGTTATTATTTAAAATTAATATTAAAATTACTGAATGATAAACTTATTTCTACTAAACGTTCAATAAATTATAGAAAAATATTATTATTATTAGATGTTATAACAAAACTATGTTTTGATATTAATGAATACGATCAACAATTTTGGTCTAAATATTTGGCATCAATTTGGCTAATATTGGGTACAATGATTGTTACTATTTTAGCATCATTGATATTATTTATCAAAAATATTTTCATTTATATTTTATTCCTAATATCACTAATTACTATAATAATATTATTTTCAACATTATTATTATTGGCATCAAAGATAAATAAACAATTTTCTAGAATTTATTTTTTATTAAATACAATACATTTTTAGATTAATATATTAATACAATAAGTTTTTTTTGAAATAAACATTGTATTTTATAAATAATTTAATTAAAATAAAAGTTTTTAACAAACTAGTTAATACTATATACTACTTATAATTAATAACCAATAATTACTTATACACATGAATTGATTTTCAAAATGTAAAAACTAATTGTATATTAAAAATTTAACACTTTAAAATACATAGATAATTATAAGTAAAAATAATATTTTAATTAAAATAATGTTAAAAAAAACTTTAATTTATGTAATATTTGATAAAAATTTAATTTGTATTTTAAATTATTTTTATTGTTTAATTTTCCACTCTGTAAAGTCTATAAAAATTAATTTTATTTTTTTTGTCTAAAATAATATATGAATATATAAATTTGTGACAGAAGTTTTTAGTCCCACACACACACACACACACACACACACACACACACACACACACACACACACACACACACACACACACACACACACACACACACACACACACACACACACACACACACACACACACACACACACACACACACACACACACACACACACACACACACACACACACACACACACACACACACACACACACACACACACACACACACACACACACACACACACACACACACACACACTCACTCTCATTTAAAAATAATATGATTTAAAACAAAAAATAATGTATAATTAAAATTAATTAAATTTTTAATTTATGTAACATCTAGTTAAAAATTTTAAAACATTTCCACAAAAATATATAAAATCACCGAAAAATATATGCCATTCAATAGAAACCCGGTCTTTGATATCAAAATTTAATATTAATATCATTTGCTATATATTTAAACAAAATGTAATTAAATATATTATAATTTTATATACTTTGATAAATTAAAAAATTAAATAATGATTACTAATAATATTATTCTATTATATGTATACTGTATATATAATTTATATAAAACTAATTGTTTTATTATGTATAGTTTTTATAACATGTTAATTAATTTTTTAAATATTATTTAATAATAAATATTAATTAAAAATTAACTAGATTTTAGTACATATTTTTTGTATTAATTTTTGTTTGTTTCTATAATTCAATAATTATTACTGTAAATATGTTTTCTATTTTTTTTGTCTAATGTTTTTTTTTGTATTTTAATTGTGCATATATTTCTTGAATTTAACAAATGTTTTTTTAAAAAAAAAATATTTTCTAAGTTAATTTATAAATAATTTTATTTGTATTAATACAATTAAACTCTATAATTTCAACAAGTAATTTTGATGGAAAAAAACTTACTAATTATTTTTTTAAAAACTAATTTATTTAACTTTTTTTTGTAAAAATTTAGTTTGTCTGACATAATACAAACACATGACAACAAAATAACTATTTATTTAATACTTATATATTTAGTGTTAAAAATTATATGATTTTATTAATAATTTATAAAAGTAATAAAAACTTGTAAATTATATTATGAGTTGATATTTTTTATTATTATAAACTACATTTTACATTAGTTTTTTTTAAATTTAGTGTTTTATAAATTAGTTATTGAAATTATTGTTATTATTAATAAAAAAAAACATGTTTGATGAAAATTTTGTTAAGCAATGTCTAGATGTGAAAATTGATTTGAAATTTTTTAGGCAATGATATTGAATTAATAACAAACAAATGGACAGATGCTGTACGCGATAAAGTCATAACTTAATTGATGGGACTGTTCGGTACAAATGCCGACAAATATTTGATCCGAGATTCAG